AAATATATTTATTTTTAGAAAAGTGCTGATATTTTCTGTTATTGGGATTATTACAATAACACGATTATAGAATGCAGTCAGTTCGTTATTTCTCGTTGGTATTGTTTGACGTCTTCCGTAGTTCCGCGAGTGAATATCGAGTGTCCGCCTTTTTAGATTAACTTGTGTTAAAATGCCGAAAGTAAAAACATCAGTTACCGTTAGAGGTAAAAATTACGTTACTGAATTCGGTGAACATATTTTCGCGTTCGACGGGAGTGTATTATTTTGTAAGATATGCGAAGTCAAGGTAAAGTGCGAAAAACGTTTCAGTGTCACTCAGCACTTAAGTACTGAGAAACATATAAGAGCCTCTAATCGTCAAAATAAAAATGCCACACAACAGCTAATTACTACTCTAACACGAAAATCTGACTTTTTTAAGGATTTATGTGAAGCATTCTTAAAATCAAATATTCCATTAGAAAAAATTAGGAAATCCTCATCTACGTTTATTCCTTGAAAAGTACATAAATAAAGATATACCATCTGTATCTACACTGAGAAAAACATATGTCAATGATTGCTACGAAGATACGATGAATGAAATAAGAAATCAAATACTTAATAAAAAAAATCTGGGTGTCTATAGATGAGACAACAGATACAGAAGGACGTTATGTGGCGAATGTGATAATTGGAACCTTACTAACCGACGGACCAGGTAAAATTTTTTTAATTGCTTCGGAAGTATTAGAAAAAGCCAACCACACGACAATAAGTAAATTATTTGATAGAACCCTTTTTTCTTTATGGCCAAATGGAATTAACCATGACGATGTTATTTTATTTGTGACCGATGCAGCACCATATATGGTGAAAGCTGCAAAATCTATTCAATCATTCTATTCTAAAATGGTACATATAACCTGCCTCGCCCATGGTTTGCATCGTGTATGCGAGAAAATTCGTGCAGAATTTTCAAAAGTTGACGAACTTATTTTGAATATGAAAAAAGTGTTCTTAAAGGCGCCAGCTCGCGTTGAATTGTTCCGAAGAGAAGCCCCAGAAACACCATTGCCTCCTTCTCCTATCATTACGCGTTGGGGAACCTGGTTAAAAGCTGCAATGTACTATTGTGAGAATTTTAAAGCAATTAAAAAAGTCGTACATTTATTAGATGCTGATGATGCACTAGCCATTGGAAAAGTTAAAAAAATTATGTCAGAAACAAATTTAGAATCTAATTTAGCTTTTATTTATACAAATTATGGATTTCTAACTACGATTATTACATGTTTAGAAACTCAGGGAACTCTTTTAACTGACGCAATAAAAACAGTGGAGAATGTAGAAAATAAATTAAATACAATAAAATGTTCCAAAGGCATTACAATTTATAAAAAATTTGAAGAAGTTATTGCGAAGAATCTGGGCTTCAAAATACTAACCAAAATTTCAAAAGTTATGCTGGGAGAAGAAATCACAATGGATAATTTACCTGAAGATATTTCTTGTGATGATTTACTATATTTCAAATACGCACCAATTTCTTCGGTTGACGTGGAGCGGAGCTTTTCGGTATACAAAAATATGTTGGCAGATAACCGGCGGTCATTTAAATTTGAAAATTTATCAAAGTCGTTGATTGTGAATTGCAATATTTAAAAATGTATATTAATTAATAATATTTTTAATTACCTGTCAAAAAAAATTTGAATAAAAATCGTAGTAGTATAATAATGTTTTTTCCTTATATTTATAAATTTAAAAAAATAAGGGCATATTTAAGCGCATATATCACGATTTTTAAGCGCATAAGTGCATGCATATTTCGGTAGTTTTTAGTGCATAAACTTCCGGGCCCTAATTATTATATTTATTAAAACGATAGTACTTACGGAGAAAATAACTGCAGGTTTTTTAGTATGGCGTGTAATATTATATGAAATTACTGACTGGTCTTGTCGGTGTAAATAAAGCGAATAAAAGAAAATACTGTATATAAATTATTTATCTTGGATTATTAAAAATAAGATAATAGTTAATATAGCAGAAATTAACGACCGCAGAACACTGGCATCACGATAACGGATTAAATATTCTCGTGTTTTTCAATTATAAATAGACACTGATTAGGTGGTAAGTGAATAGCAGATATAATATTTATTTTTATTAGATGGGATATTGACAAGCAAATATAAAACACAATAAACGTATTCTTTATGACTAATAAAGATATTTTTAGTTTCAAGTCGTTAGTTTATAAAATCAAATAAAAGAAATTTTATAATCGAAAGTTAATTAAAGGGTGCTTGAGCACCATCTTCTAATTATAAAAAGAAGCTGAAATTTTAGCATGACAATACTATAGTTAGGTCTAAAAAAATTGAGGGGAGCCCGGGTCATAAATGAAAAAAAAAATTTTTTGAACCACCCTAGTGTATATATGTGCTTGGTGTACTGAGAATCAGCGCCTAGTTGATAGAACCTAGATGGTATTCGTTATGAGATTGTAATTAGTTCTGTCTGTTAATATTTCAGTGCGTTCAATAGCATATGTTGGGATGGCCACGAGCATCATGAAGAATGGTGCTTCTGTAGCGTATTGTACCAATCAATTAAGAATTAAATTAAAAAGAATTTAGTTTCAATTTTATATTGAAAATTATTATTTATTTTAAATTTTACCAATATCTAACACATTTAAAAATTATCAAATTAAATAAATTATAATATACTCATATAAAATATAAGGTGAGACCGTATAAGGAAAATAAGAAGAATTCGGACAAAGTTTCAATTATTTTCTGTATTAATTTATTAAATATAAGCTATAATGCGTGTAAGCATACATACAATGACCATTAATTATAAATCGTAAAATAATTTTAACTAATGCTGTGTACATATATATATATTTTTTTTCTATATCTCATATATATTTAATTAATTAAAATTGACATTTTTTTGATAGAGTAATTATAATTAAATAGCTTCAATCATTTATACCAGTGGTTCCCAAACCGTGTCCTAAAAGCACCACGAGCACTTTTCGAGGGCACCGTAATCCAGGGGACTAATTTTTGTTAATTTAAAATTGAGCCTTATAAATAAAATGAATTTCGTTTATTCTGATTTGGGCCTCATAATAACTACATAATTTAGATAACATGATACTCACAAAGTCTCGGAATCAGGATTTATCAGGATAATATTAATAGTTACAGCCAGGGGCGTGTTTGGAGGAAGTTTAAATATTCAAACTCCTCCCCATTAAAAAAATGATTTAAATTAAAAGACTCGACCAAACGTTAATGTTGGTCAATCACTAACTTCTACTATTTAACAGTACAAACTGAATTATTCGTCCGACGGTCAAATATTTATTCTTAAAACTTACGATTGCTGTAAATACGAAATCGGAGCGCAAAAGCGCAACATTTGACAGGTTAAACAGATTATTCCGAGGGTAAAGGATTACGCAGAATGGGTATAGATTGGTATATTTTTTTTTGTGAAAATGCAAGTGTAACGCTAGCACCACTACGCTGAATTTTATATCCGTGACACTGTATGTGTAGAGTAGGTATCCTCCAAAAGTTAAATTCTTTATACGCTTTGGAGCTTGAAGAGATGAACGATTGTAGTCAGTTATACTCATCGTGAGGGTAGCGGATGGCGGAACAAGCAAAACACATCCAACGAACGAACCATAATTCGTAACTTACCGATAAATAAATGATATTACTTTATAACCGTAGTTATGAGAGTTAACTATGACGTATGGTCGAGTAACTCGATGGGTGGATACCGAGTTATGATATTGCGTATGCACAGTTAATTGTGTTTATTTTTAACTTTTAATCGAGGAAATGTTCGACGGGCCATAATTAAATATTATCGACAAATAATCATCATGATCATCATCATTACTACTACTATTAACACCATTGCACTTGTCGGTCACCGTTATCGCAGTCACAATCCGTTCCGACACGTCCCAGTGCTATTCGATCAGTTACACATCGGTGACGGGACGATCCCAACGTACGGCACGCGCTTGTCCCGGCGACAAGAAAATCATTCGACGCTCGCGGCACGTGGAACCCCACCCCCTCTTCCTGCTGGTACGTGCAAAACGCCGCCGCTGCCTCCGAAAATGTTGGTCCAGTTGAAGTGGCCCGTGGAGTGCGCGGCGTTTGTGATCATGCTCGCGCTGTCCATGTCCGTAGGCCTGTACTACGGGTGCGTGCAGGGCAAACAGAACACCATCAGCGAGTACCTGCTGGGCGGCAGGCACATGTCCGTCTTCCCGATTACCATGTCGCTGATCGCCAGGTAGATATGTGTATTTTGTCGTCGAAGTGTCCGTGCACGGCACGCGGGACTGATGTGCGAACGATTTCAGCCGCCACCTTGGAACGCGAGACCGTCTTCCGTTGTACCGTCCGCGGGTGTAATATTGAGATAACAACAACAAAATTATTACAGTTACAATAAATTAGTATTATTCAACAGTGTGTTTTTGTCGCAAGAACAATAATATTAAGGAATATTTGTCAACATATCATTATATAATATTTATATTTATCAATAGTTATTCAATATGTCATACATCTGTAAGATAACTGCTGGGTTAGAAGAATCAATTATTAATCGTAGCAATAAGAAAGAATTTAAATTGGCTCAAAATTCGTGGTCAAGGTCGTTATGTTGAGACTGCCAACATGAGCGGTATTTATTCAGGCGTTCAGGCTAGGTTAAAATCGAATCAAAAATCAGCGACATGTGTCCATTGTGCTTCACATAGCTTGAACTTAGTTCTAAACGATACATTCATTTTTCATTAATGGAAGTAAAAATTTTCTATGGACTCGTGGAAAAAAAATGTATACATTTTTTCGAATAGTATCAAACATTGGTAATTACTTTTATCTTCCGAGACACAAGATATTTCAATTACATTAAAAAGGTTTTGACAATTCGTTGGTCATTAAGGTATGATTTTTTATTAGATGTTCGATATCATTGATATTTTAAAATTATTAACGTAAATAATTTTTAAAAGCAAAAATAAAGATGAAATTAAACAAATTATTTAAAAATTTATATGAAAGATTTTAAATTTATATTTAGTGCAATTTTCTTAGGTACAATTTTGGGAACTGTAAATGTTGTATCAAAATGTTTTCGATCTCCTACTAACTGAGCACAGCAGCTTTTTTTGTTTAATTTTGCGTTGATAAATCTTTGAAAATATAGGTCAAAATATATTGATTTTTTTAAAATTATTGTAGAAATCACAAAAAAAGTTGGGGTGTACTGTAAAAATTTAAAAAAAAAACAACCGAAGAGTATAACGATTTTAGGATGAATCCTCCATGATTATTAATTAATAATTGACTTTAGTAAATTTTCTTTAGCAGAAGAATATCTTAAAATCAATATATTTTTTACTTTTGCAAACGGGCCCATTTTTGATATAGACTGCCCATTGAGTCTATACATGAGTCTCTACATGAGACATACACTTGAGTTTTGACGTATCAATGAGATAGTGTTCATCAAAGGTAATAAAAATCATTAAATTTTAAAACTTATGTGGTTTTGATACTAGTTTAATTTAATTAAAAAAATAAAGGGGTATACGTAAACTGCGCCCGAATTTTTATCCATGTTAAAAAGATATAGTGTAAACTGCGCCCGACTTATTAACTTATTAAAGTCTCTATGTACGTCGCTTTCATTTTGCACAGTCTTGGAATAGAAGTATCCAACAAAATGGTTTAAGTAATGACTATAAAAATAAAAATATTGATATTAGAAGATGGTTAGTTCAATGTTACGGTTTACCATTTCTAAGTCCAGGAAGTATTTTGTCAATTATTTAATGAAATCAAAACCTGACGACAAAAGAGTGAAACGATTTGCGGATTATTTGGTAAACGTAATTATAAGTGAAGAAGCTCAGTATTCACTTGAAATATGGGCTCAAGCATCAGCAGAGCCAACTTTAACCACAAATGCATGCGAGTCTTTTCATTCTCACATTAATTCCAGCTTTTATACAACTCATCCAAATATTTTCATGTTCATAGAAAAGTTAAAAAAAAAATTCAAATAAAAGTATACATTAAACTAAATAGTATAAATGAACAGTTTAAATTCCAAAACTCAAAAAAAAAAAACGCGAAAACTTAGAAAATTTTATTAATAAATATAATAGTGGTCAAATTCCAATTGAGGAATATGTATCCACTATATGTTATTATTTGTAATATTTGTATATATTTTGCTTTTTAAAATTACATATTTTTTTTAATCATTCATATTATATGGCTGTAATGAATTAAGTATTTACCTGGTATTTTACCCGGGCGCAGTTAACATGTCACCTTTCTACACTTGATAAAAACTCGAACGCAGTTTATATGTGTGATTTTGTGTTTACCTGTATTTTGAGCGCAGTTTACAATCGTCGAATTAAAGCTTTCTTTTCCTAAATCAACAATAATTATTTCAGTTTTGTATTGAACTCCAATGCGATCGTGAACATTTTCGACTATGTCTCGAAAAGACCTTTTCGTCAAGAAAAAAAATTGGGATTTTGAACAAAGTGAAGTCTCTTCCTCCATCAATGTAAAATCACTGAACAATTATGCGTTCCGAAATTATATAATTAATTATTGTTTTTTTATTTTAACATTTTTTCCTCAATTGTATGGTTTACGTGTGTAAAATAAAAACTTTTCGATATTAAATATGTAGGTGATTTTGAACCAAGTTTGGTTTATATGACCAATCACTTAATGCAAGCAAATAGATTTGGGACCAACGTATCCATATTAAGTAAAATTCACTGTATTTGATTTTATATTTAAAACATAAGATCTGCTATCAATTATGTTATTAAAAGAAATTCAAATAAAATCAGAAATATATATACAACATAACATTTAAAATTAAGAAAAATCAAATAAAACATTAACATTTAAACTACATAAAATATATAAAAGATTATTTAATTATGCATTAAGAACACAAGAATTGCTATCAATTATATCATTAAAATAAATACAAATAAAATCAAAACAATACTCAACCTCATAAGCTTGTTAATGTTCATCATGTTATGAGTTAGTATTCTCAATTATACATGCTGTTTCTACACAACTAAATAAATTGTAGTATAAATTGAACTCTATAGATGTTGTTTGTGTTGTCAAAACATTTAATAATTTTTTGATATTTTTAATATTTTTCAATTATTAATAATAATTTTGTCTTTAATAGGGTAGAATAAAAAGTCCTCTGAAATCTACCGATAAAAACAGATAAATGCGCTCTTTGCAATAATACGAATACCCTTTACTCATCATCTACCGTCAGTAGACGTACATGCTACATGGTATTACGTATCTGATAAAATGCATGAAAAAATTAAAATACAACAATAGACGCTTTATCGATGAAAGACAATTATTTTATGTTATCAAATGCTAACATTTTAATTATAGAATACATTGTAAAACCAACTGTTGGAAATCTATATTTAATTTCTAAAGAATTTTTGAAGAAACAAATCTTTACCATCAAAAGTTAGAGGAATATTTATTGTTAAATACTCTTACACATACTCAATTTTAAATACCTTTTGTGCTCTAATTTGTGACATTAAATATAAGTACCTAATAGTTTATTCAAACTACCACCATGTTTGCAGTTTTAACAAATTAATATTACATAAAATTAACGATTTAATTTAAACGAATAAAATGTTTGTGTGCACTAAGTTAATATTTATTAACATTTACATAATTTTGGTAAGAAGGAGAAGTCGATTCATTGAAATAAATTAAATTGATGGTCGAGGATCAAAAAAGTTTGAGCCTCGTGGGTTTAATACAGGGATTCCCAACCCGTGGTACGCGGAAGGCTCGTAGATGGTACCCAAAGAAATGTTTTGGTATAATTATTTTTATTACTATTCAATATTATTTAGTTTAGTTTATTTGATATTATCTAATTTTATAAATATCGATGACATTAGATTTTTAATCGGAGCAATTTATTATTATTATCTATTCAGCTTGATATTGATGTTCTTGTACAAAATAAATAACAACAAATATCACATTAAATTTAAAAAATATAAATGTAATTTAAATATTAAGATTTTTTTACTTTCATAGATTTCAAATAATAAAAAATATTAATAAATGAATGAATAATAAAAATAAACGTTATTAAAATGTTGACTCCTAAGTAAGTTTAAGAATTAAGATGGTACGTGTATTGATTATATAAATGTCTGATGTTACTCGATGATTAAAAGGTTGGGAACCTCTGGTCTAGAAAATATACGTGTCTTCCCCGAGCAATATCGTGTAAAATGGCCGTTTTCACCTAAGTGATTTGTTTAATATTATTTTGTCGAATATTGAAGAATTATTATATTTTTCGAAAAAATCCGATTGGTTATGTCACTTAATGCTGCTATAGGACACCAGTGATATTGTGCATTCGAATAATTACAAATAATATAATTATGATAAACTAACTAAATTACTGTTTTCTTGCGTATTAATTACATTAAATGTATAATCATAAGCATGTACTATACAAATTAATATTTACTTACTATATTATTATAATTGATAAGCAAATAATTGTTTGAGTACTTGAAAAATTATTGCTATTATTTCTAGAAAACGTGGTATGAGAAAAGTGTCAAGTCTGTCAACGAACATTTTTATCCTTCTTATAGATAATCCCATTGATCAATTTATTATAATTTTGTTTTCTCGTAAAGGATAGTATTATATTTATTTGACTTATTCAAAAATATATATAATATTATACAATTTATTTATAATTGGCGATTAATACTAACACAAACATTTTAAAAATAAACGAAATTCTGGAATGATTCAAATTGCTTATGAAGTTTATACAAAAATGCATGGATGTCATATATTTCAAAAATATAACCAATAAAAGTTCAATGTAGGTTTTGATTTATTTTTAAAAGTAACGATTTTAAATATTTGCAAATAATAATAACTTCATCGTCTTAATTTTTAATGTTTTATTTGATGTTGTTTTTGTTTAAAATAGTAATTATTTTTTGTACTTAGAACTAATTTTTATGTTATTTTATAGTCACATTTCTGCACTGTCATTGATCGGGGTTCCGTCGGAAATATACAACTTCGGGACACAGTATTTAATTGTTATCGTAGTAATTGCAGTAGTGTCTGTTATGGTATTACAAATATACTTGCCGATATTTTATGAACTCCAACTGACATCTGTTTACGAAGTATAATTTTAATATCAATTTTATTGATCATTTTACATTAAAGAATTTTTTTTAATATTTACATTTAATTATAGTATCTGGAACTTAGATTCGATTCCAGAGTCCGAGGGTTGTCATCATTAATTTTTACAATTTCTCTTTTACTATTCGTACCGGTTATGATTTACATATCAGCCTTAGCGTTTAATCAAGGTATGTACAACTTTAAAGCGAAGTGAACAATAATGACTAAGTACCTACTGATGATTAAATAGCTAAAATGTTGTATCTGAAAATGTAAAAAAGTGAACGAAAATCAATTTACCTAAGTTCCATCTATCAGAATAAACAGTTAATATTATTTATTTTTTTTTTGTATTACAGTTATGGATATAAATGTGCATATCGTGACTTTAATCATATGTACTGTGTGTATATTTTACACCACTATTGTAAGTAATATAGACAAAACCGTTCAGACCATTATTATGTAATAAATATTGTAGGGTGGACTCAAGGCCGTGGTATGGACAGATGCAATTCAGAGTGTTTTTACCTCTGGTTCAATAATCATCGTTGTCATTCTGGGTCTCATTGAAATCGGAGGATTTGATAGTCTGATAAAATCAAATCGAGAAGGAGACCGAATAGAATTTTTCAAGTATGTGACGCTCGCATATTTATTTATATGTTGCATTTGAAGTCATATTATTATTTTATACAAAATTAACTTTTTTCATTAAAAAGAGATCGTAATGTAATTTTATCATTAAAATTTTAGGATGGACCCGAATCCATTTCTAAGAAATACTTTTTGGACCATTGGTATTGGTATGACGATACAATGGGTTACACATCTTGGTATACATCCTGGCACTGTTCAACGGTTCGTGTCGTTGCCTTCATATAAAAAGGCTAGGTATTCGTTGATGTACTTTCTTCTTGGCGTGGGCGTAGTGCAAGGCTTAACCGGTTTAATTGGAATGTTAATTTACGCTAAATATAAAGATTGCGACCCCATTTCGGCTAACGTGAGTGCATTTCATTAGTGAATTATTTTCATTTAAATATAATGAAATATAATTTACGAAAATGTATACTTATTTCAGTACATCAATAGTGATAGAAATCTAGTGCCGTATTTTGTTATGGATGTCGCCGGGAAATATCCAGGACTTACCGGTATATTTATATCTGGTATTATAAGCACTTCTCTAAGGTAAATAATTTATTTTTGTGGCGTGCCTGTTTGAGTTCTGAACCGTTTAACCGAACAGATTTCGTATTGTAGTGTAATGTCAGCACAACTTAACACTGTATCTGGTACGATTTACGAAGATTTCGTGGTGAAATTGATCGGCATAAAATGTTCAGATTTGACAGCTAGCACTATCATGAAATGTACTGTCGTGATAGCAGGAATTATATGCGCAGCCTTAATAATTGTGGTAGAAAAATTGAAGGGAATAATGCAGGTAATATATTATTGGGCAAATGGTAATAAGTTGCAAGACTTATTAAGCTGTTAAACTATAACGGAAACATGCATTTATTTTATTAGTTATCACTTAGTTTGTATGGTATAACTAATGGAGCGATAATGAGTGTTTTCACATTGGGAATATGTTTTCCTCGAGCAAACTCTAAGGTGAGTAATTTTCAGTTTTAATATTGAATCACAACTCAGTAAAGGTTTATTATTTATTTATAAATATTTATTATTTATATATTATAATACATTATTATTATATTATTTTTATATATTATTTATTATTTATTTATATAATACGTATTTCTATAGGAACTAATAATTTATATATCATTATTTTTGCATTTTGAATCAGTTTCCTTAACTTTGATATCAAATTCAATAAAACGCCAATTAATATATTGAGTATGCACTACTGTACTAATTTAAATGCAGATTTAATGTCAGAATAATATGTACACAGGCAATTGTTAATAATGTGAAGTAATATTTTGTATTTATTCATATGATGTAATATAAATCAAATTAATAAGTACAAATTAAAGAATAATAGAATAATCTAATTTTAATTTAATGAAATTAATAGATGGAATTTTTTCTTGGATTAAAATCCTTGTATTCGTTACCACTCACATACACTCACACATATATTACTTATCATTATCAAATTATTTTGTTTTGATTAGGGCGCAATGTATGGGATGTTGGCCAGCATAGGAGTTATGACTTGGATTGTTTTTGGTGCTCAGATTGCTATTACCAAAAACGAATTGGTATTTGTCGAAAAAAATGTTACTGTTGTTGGATGTCCGACAAATATTACCGTGAGACGCGCGATCGATCTTACCGGGTAAGACATTAATACGATATTTGAGTATTACAAACCGTCAAGCAGTTGTTTTATTGTTGTGAAGTGGACTAAATCAATATATTATTTAAAATACTACAGGAATAAGTATCTTAAGTGTTTAAAAAATTATCCAAGTTCAGCAGTAGTATGCTTTATGGTTTTAGGTTGTACCGAATGAACGAAGATGTGTACGTTAGCCCGAAAGTGTGGAAAATTTACACCGTTTCGTATATGCACTACAGTACCATCGGTACGTTTATTGGAATAATCGTTGGAATAGTCGTCAGTTGGTTGTTTCCCTCGGACCAGAAAGTCGATCCTAGACTTTTGACGCCAATTATTCGACAGCTTATGCATCCAGATTATAAAAACAGAGAAATGTTGAACAAAAATGAAACTGGACAAATAGTTTCTCTGGATACGTTAGGACGACCGGGCTGATATGTGACAGCTGCTGCAGGATCATACATTTTTGTGAGAGTTTTAATAACAGTTGATAACCCTTTTATAATAATTTAATAATATAGATTTTATAACAACAAAATATAATGGTCCCGGTGTTCTAGTATACGTTAACGGTTCAGTTTGTATATAACTAATTTGATTGGTAATATAGATTTATATAATTTAATATGACCATTGCTTTGGGATAAGTTCTTATGTATAAACTGTTTACCCGTATTTTAGAGCACTATTTTTCTGTATATTTATTTCAATGTAAATACCTAGTTTTAACAATTTTGTACAAAATGAATGAATACATATTTAAATGTTATTTTTCATATTTTAATACACTGCAATTATGTTTGATTTTTATATTTTATGTAAAATTTTTATATTTGTTTTGGAAAATACAAAAATACAAAATCACTGAGTACGTTTGATTTTAATTTATGATAACATTTTATGATTCTGTGAATTATTAATAATTCTAAACATTGGTTCTTCAAAGAAGTATTTTATTGCTATGTAATGCTGCAGGATCTACCCTAAATGTGTTGAATTTTTGAATATAATATATTATATATATATTATGTGATGAGAAAAAATGAAACGATAAATGTCAAATATGTTAGTGTTACACGATGTTCATAAAATTGGTTAATAGGCAGAATAATAAATTCGTGGAACATAAAAGGTATTAGTAGATCGAGTGACTAATTAGATGAAGGAAAGAAAATTTTTGAATCTAGGCAGGAGAATCGATTATAATAAATATACAAAAGATATATGTTTGTCTAATTTCAATCCCATTTTTTCATCAGATAATAAATGTAAACAATGATTTAATGGTTCACTAGAAGAATAAAACTGTATAGGAATATCGCATTTTCTACATAAATAATATAAATTAATTAATGTCACTAGTGGGGTAGGAAGACTCGCTAGCGCCCCTGGCAAACTGTACAACAAAAAACGCTTTTTTAACCAATTAAAATTTGATGTTACGATATTTTTTTAACCTTTAATTTTACTAATTTTTTTAAGTATACAATTTATATTTATAAGTTATTATTACAGTGTTAATTTTGAACTTTGAAAATTTGGTTTTCTCGCTTTATGACTAGCACATTCATAGATTATTTCTTCATATAAAATTTTTATTTAAATGCCCTTGTGTATTTTCAAAATTTCATCATTAAATTCACATGAAGTGCGTAGGTATAAATAGAAAACATCTATACATTTCAAAAAGTATAATGGAAAAATTTCGATTTGATTGTAAGATAAAAATACGACTTTTGGACAATTTCGCGACCCTGGCGTAGGCACAGTTCGCCATACCCTTGCTGCGCCACTGAATGTCACTGAAATCACTAGAGTGTAATCTATAATGTGTATGCTTTAGTTTATGATTTCAGTTTCTAAGTTAAACAAGAAATATATCGGTTTAACCATGGTTTAATATTAGTTTTTGCATCCATTCCGATTGGTTAAAATTACAATTTAAAAATTCCTATTCGTAAAAAATATTAAAAATAATTGCCATTTATTTATCATAATCAAATGGAATAAAATTATCAAATTTCCTTTACATAAAATCTTTAAATAGTATAAAAAAAAAGTCGTCCCGCGTCCGTCCCAATGTATGTTAAAACTAGGCAACGGATTTTGATGCGGGTTTTTTTAATTGATAAAGTAATTCAAGAGGAAGGATTTTTGTAAAAAAAAAAAAAGATAAGACTGAAAGCTGAAGACTGAAAACTGTATTATTGTACTATATGTGTAGTGTGTTACCATGACAATAAATGTATCACTTAGCTGGGAGCTTATTACCACATCAACCCGATGATCACAAATTTCTACAAATTTATTTTATTTCAGATCCAGATAATACCCGTGTGGAGCTGGGGTGGGTCGCTAGTATAATATAATACAGAAATTCTATTTTTATTGAAGTTTATTGAAGAGGCTTGTTGATAATGTTATTGTAAATTAAGTTATTGGAATAAATCATTTTAAAATATTTACAGAAAAATTATATTCTTTATATCACCAATCACCAAAAAATGAAAATGTGTTAAGACTAGAAGCAAATTTTAGAAAAAATTTTTTAAAAATAGGTAGAATTTTTTCCTTGCTGGGTTATGTCTAGTTACTGGACTCTAATAAACGAACAATAAATATTGTTATAAATCATTTTTCAGCTCTTTATGAACATAAATATTTCTAAACGTAAATCTACTTCAACAGATTTAACAAGAGATTTAAAATAAAGAAGCAAATACAATGTATTAAAATTAATGATATCCAGCGTTGAATTTATTAGTAACCTTAATGAAATGGTAGATGTATTTTAGATGACCTAGAAGACTTATCGGAATAATTTGCAAAGGCCTAATATCATTTTTGTAGAAAACGATAAAGCTACTCATATTTGAACAATAATAATAGTATTTAATTCAATGATGAGCGATCTTGGACATAAACTAGCCGTCGCTTTACGAGCGATTGAATTTAATATGTATACAAATGTTCCCATTCAAAATGGAAAGGTAATACAAATTCATACAAGCCAACTATACAGAGATTAAGCATATAATTTAATAAATCTGATGATAAAAACTAATTCAACACATGTAAAGAGTTAAAATGAAAAATATCAACATCAGAACATATATAATTATACAGGTTTACTCGATAGTCTTACCGTACTAGATCTAAAAAAATGATCTACTTCCAAAAACGGTGAAGTCGAAAATATTTAACTTGGAGATGATAAAATACATCATTTGTGTCGCAACTTTTAATTAAGTAAATAAAAAAAATATATTTTTAGGGGTTTTCGAATATATAAATTGGAATGAAGAAAGTGTTTTGAACAACTAAATAATAGATACTTTTTAAAAATGCAGCTAATATTCTTATTTTTACAAGTGAGTGGGAGCAAAATTATAACCCCATCTTCATTAAATATTAGTACAGCCTCTGAACGTTTATTTGTTAATCGTATTGGCCTTACACTCACTGAATTGAAAAATATGTAAGCTCATGGTTTGATTACACCGATTTAACGAGGATGTTTACTTGAGTCCAAACGTGTGGTCAATATACTCCATTTCATATATGTATTATGCGGCTATAGTCACTTTTGTTAGAATCACTGTTTGACTTGTCGTTAGTTGTTTGTTCCCCTCGGATCAGAACATTGATCCCAAACTCTTGGGTCTTTGCATCAAAATATTTATGTATCCCAATTAAAAGACTGATAAAAAAATTGACAACACTGAAGTCGAAGAATACCAAGTGGGGTTCCTGGATACTAAACTAAGGCGTTTTATTGTACTGAAAAATAATATATCTTTGTATGGTAATTAATTTTTATTAATCTATATGTTAATTTTGATAACCATTTTTAATAAATAATGTATTTTTAATTGCTTGGAGAAATAAAATATTATTTTTAATTTTTTTTTTTATATTGGAAATGAAAACTAAAATGTCATTCGGTTGGTTAAATTTTTTATTGCAGATCAATATTTAACAAAATGTATCAACAGATATACTTATGTTTAATGCCGTAGAAGTTATTTATACCTAGTAACTTGACAGAATATTGCTAGCCACTAAAATTTTTCAGCTACTAGTTACCAATAGTAAATACCTTACTTGTAATTTCGTTTTATTAGTAATAAAATAAATTAAATACATGACAATTATATTTATAGATAAAATTATGAATTATTTTTAAGTAAATATCATTGTTTCATTTGGCTTTATTGTTATACAAGTGTTTTTGTTCGTGATTAATTTTAACCTGGATAAAGTTTGAGTGGCAATTAGTAATTGATTTTTTATGAAATATTTACTACAAGTAGTAGGGGTTTTCATTTTGTTTTTGTTAAAGTTTTTAATTCGAATACTAATTTTGAAAATTTTTTGAATAAGTATATGAGTATAAATTAAAAATTATTTATTTATTGAATAGTTTTATGTGTTATAATGGTGCCGTTCGTGCACTTAGTTCACATTTTTTTTAGTAGTTTAGTTAAGTAGTGTGTGACTTGGCAAATTAAAACTTAGTAACTAACTAAGCGGCCTGAACGCGTTATTTTAGTTTAGAGTATTATTTGTGCCTGTCCTCTTAACAACCAATATATCCCTTCTTTTGGTTCATTTTCTAACCTATATTCACTTGAAATCTTCAAGTTTTTTTCTACCTCTTAATAGAAAATAAATATTAAATAGCCGTTAAAATAAATCATATTGCTTTATTTAATTTATTTTTTTTAGTCGATTCATGTTTACAATTTTATTTTATATGACGTATATTTAAATAATATATATATTACTAAACTCGTTAAGAGCACCAAAACGACTAATAATGTACTAAAATAGTTGATTTATCTTTTAGTAGTTAATAAATCACTGACTACTTGACTAAATTACTAACATAGTGTGAACTAAGCTTAGGTTTATATTCTTATCTTTTTTGAGGTTTATATTTTATAATGAAACGTGATTTTTTTCTGTTACACACATGCACATTGACATACATGCAGTAATTTAATGTCGTAACATTTTTATTTTTAAATATCTGTGGCTCATTTGATTATTTTTCTTACAATACTTTTTATTGATTTAATTTGTTAAATGCCTGACAATTAATTAATATTAATAATTATAATAATTAAATTAAATTAAAAATAGATATTAAATTAAATTAATTAATTAATAATTGAATAATAATATTAATAATTAATAATACAAGACGAAAAATCTATATTTTTCTCTAAAGTTTACCTAAAAATTTAATCACGTCACTGTTTCGTGATTTGCATATCGTTATTTTTTTTTATTTACTTTGTGGAGTGGGGAAGAATGCGTGAAGTTAACTAATTAAAAATTTTTCTCAATCAACCTGTCGGATACTTAATGATGCAATATATTTATATATAAATTTTATGATAGTCATTAAAGAATTTCAACATTTTTATTTTCATACACTTCATTACAATCGTATAAAAAAAATTCTTATATTTAGACTGTACAAAACATTTCATCTACACTATAGTTGTGCTAATAACGATGATTACATTAAAATCTATAATCTAACCTACTTTAATCTAAGAATTTAATCATAATAGAGATTATTTTATTACTTATCGGTAGGTACTTTATATTGTGTACCTTTAATTAATTGTATAACTATATAGAATATACAATGAAAGAATAATGTATTGTTATAAAATAATGTAATGTTTCAACCAATTGTTTAATTAGTAATTACGTCTTGATTAGCAAAACTAAGAAAAATATCAATGTAATAATAATTAATTCTCTTAAAAATAACGTATCACGTATTATTATTGCATGTAATAACTACACATATTAAAATTTACAATGTTTAAATTTAATATGCTTACTAGATTTTTAACATTGTTACACGGAAATAGTACAGGTTATTAGCAATACTCTTATCCGACAAACTATAAAAAAAAAAAAAAAAAATACAAAATACAGAATAACTGTTGAAAAAAATAAATCGACAATTTAGAGTATTGTGTATTCTAGGTGTTTAATCGTATGGAATATTTTTTACAAATAAAATTATAAAAAAGTAGTGTACACATACTTCAGCGTATAGGCACGTTGCTGAGCACAAGAAATTCATAGATAAATATTAAAGCTTAAGCGGGAATAATAAAACATAACACACACGTACGTTTACAATTAATATTGTATAATGTTAGTGTTTTTTTGGTTTTAAAATCATTAAATTGTCAACGAGAAAAGGACCGACAGAAGGGATAAAAGTGAAAAGATTTCGCACTAAAAATGTACACGTTAAACGGTAATAGTGTTCGGACGTATCAAATGTCTGATTTCTGGTTTCCTAACAAAAACAGCAATTTCTAATTTTTAAACGTTTCTTTTTCATCTATTTCACCTTGTCCAATCGTTGTGCTCTGACGATGTACAAACAAACGCTTTGATGAATATTAAACACTTAAACAATAAAAGGCTTAACTTGTACGAGGGGAGGGGAAATCAAAAATCAAACATACTAAACGTTTCAGATTTTACGACAGAGCTTTGAAAATATTGACGATAATGAACTGCGATCGTAGCATTTATACGAACGCAGCAACACATATGATATTGTGCACGAACGTTGTTCGTTAATTGACGTGCCATTAACAATACAGGTATTCGTTATGATTGTTACGTCGGTAAAAACAGATTCGCCACGTCGTGCTGCGGAAATTCGACAAAGACGCGTAAAACAATGAGTGTGCCGCCAAATGAAATCCTTTATGGTAGGGTGGGTCACGTTTCGGCGCGTTAGTCGGTGCTGCCGACGTGCATCCAACAGTCGAGAGCTTGGCCGAAAGAAAACGTACGAACGAAATTCGAGCCCGCGTGTCCGGTTAGAGCGCGTGTAGTTGTTCTATTGTAGTTCTACGCGGTACTACTGCGCGCGTCAAGTGCAAAAAGTCGAGAAACGGCCGTCGCCGCGTTAAATGCCATTACAATGCTGCACGTAGGTACTGCACGCATACGGATAAAATTATAATTTTAATAATAATCGTACCGTACACCGGATTGACCTTAACAATTGAATCGCACGTCCGGCGGCGTTAAACGCGGTAAAACGTCGTATTTTCTATCCATTTAGACACCGCGTACGCGTATAACATACTAGAGGGCCGGGGGAGGGGAAGAAAAAACGAGGATCACATTTTCGATTCTCTTTACTCGCTTCGACGTTGTACAACAGACCGCCGGCGGTTTTACAGCGAATTGTTTTCGTAGCCGAACTGCCCGGCGAGTGCCAGTGCGCAAATCCAACTCGACATCGCGTCCACGGCCAAATATAGTGGTAAGTTTTTTCGGAAACTACGGGATTTCGGTCGCCCGACAGCGGACCGATAAGCAGTATTCGCGTGGGTCGACGAATAGTGAAGTACACTGTTGTTTACGATATTTTACCAGTCTGTACGGATGATAGTCGTTCGGTGAGTGATTTGTATTCTATATCGCGTGTCGGCACATGCCACCAATAATGTGTGAACGCTGTGCGATAACATCGCGCTTAGGGTCGGACACGAATATAACACATCTCGACGGATCGGTATCATATTTATTGAGGCCGAGAACCGGTAAGCGCGTGTCGGTGTTGGATATGATGTATGGAGTTTCTTGGACTAATTGTTTCTATGTGTAAGATATTGTATTAGATAAGCATAGGAGGAGCATATTAAACCAATATTCATTACAAGTACAGTAATAAGTTATATATTTGCTGGTATGTCATCCAAGACAATATTAAGTAATGAGTAAAATTCATCTTTCTTTACTTCCTTCTTTTCCTCCGTTGGAGCATGTATTTTTACAAATGCTATATTGAACCATCTGGCTGCTATCGTCAGCACAGTCATTCTATTACTTAATATCTTTTACCGAATTGAGGAATGCTTTGTTTACAGCGAAACCGCTCCCTCCAAGTCGTATATTATCACATGCTCCATAAAAGAGTGTAGTATTTTTTAATTGCATTGATCCAGGGTCAATCCATCTTAATTCTTGTAGTGCAAAAATTCCAAGTCTATACTTCTCCACCTCATCTACCAATGTTCTAAATGCGCCAAGTTTAAATAAAGTCCGTATATTCCAAGTACCAAAACGTAGAGCCGATTACCAATTTTCCAGTCAAGTGTCCTGTAATCCACTAATCCAAGGCATTGTGTTTGTGTTCTGAACAAAGTTGTTTTTTATAGTGACGGGTTGTTAGCCCGTCGCCAAACCCCCAACGTGGAGGACCAGACTGAGCCAATCAGTTAAGGCCAACTCAGAACTCGGGGCCCCGGTCAAATCCCTAGTGCTAATTACTTAGCACCCCCTGAGGGCAATCTCTTTCATTATTTATTATATTCTGACAATGAAATGTTAAATATGAAAATATTCATGATTTATATATGTATGAATGTATTAACTAATTTGTAATAAAAATAACTGTTTTGGTTTTGTTATATTTTTTGAAAAAGAATTTATATTTATTGAACACCGATATGTTAATTATTTTAAGTGCAATACAATTATCATTATTACTATAAAATAAATTTTAAATATATTATACATCAATATTCGTCGAAAAAATAAAATAAATAAATAATATAATTGTAGCATTATGTATTTTGAGGGTCACGTGCCCCTGTTTCATCTGAACAAGGATGCAAAGATTTAAGAAGAAACAAAGATACATGGACTTAAAACACAAACTTCCACGAATACATGAAAAATTAATATATGGGTACCATGTACATAGGTTCTAAATACACACGTACAAGTGTATTTAAATTATACAAATTTGAACACTATTTTCATAAAAACACGTAGGTTCCGGTTATATATACACGTGAAACAAAGACACGGATATATATCCCTCGTTTAAAACCAATGGATTAGTAAAATTTTAAATAAGTATAATGAGAAAAGCGTAAGTGGTTATGTACATTACATTTTGTTTGATGATTATACTCACGTAATAATATTTTTATAAATTCAGTAACAATTAGCGCCTTTTCAACAATATAAAAGTATTAATTTACGGTTAATATCGTTGTAAAACCAATATATTAGAATTATATTTTTAATTCAATAAATACATATTATTCGAATCAAATGTGTGTATGTTTGTGACTTTTTGGTTTCCAGTTATATCGATACATTTTTACGTAATTCTATGTTAAAATCGTAATGGAGCTGTCCAGAGGCATGTAAAAAATCTCAAAGGTACGAACTAAAAACTATTGGCATGCATTTATTCGTGATGTTTTTGAGGTGTACAAATATTTTCCGTATGAAAACTAACACGAATCAAACCAGGAATTGACGTCACATTACCCAAAAGGTAGGTACGTATCTTGAACGTGAAGTAATTGTGTAGAAATAACGGATTGTACGACGAATACGACTAACTCATGAGCATGATATCCAACTGATCGTCTAGAGTGCATCGGGTTGACCTCAAGTAGGTGTGCGTTTCGTCGTCAATTTCGCAAATTCTTTGGGCGATTTCCGAGACACAAGACGCTCGATCTAGATTGTTTTCTCGCATACGGACGATATCCATTAAAACGTACACGTAGATCCTTCACCAAACCGTCCGTACGACGTGTACATCACATACTGAACCGAAAACTCAATATGGAGGATCTGAATTGGATTTTCGAATGCAGTGCGTTCGCGATCATGCTCAGCCTGTCCGTGGTCGTTGGTCTATACTACGGGTGCGTGGAACGCAAACAGAACACCGTCAACGAGTACCTGTTGGGCGGCAAGCACATGTCCGTCTTTCCGATCACCATGTCACTGATCGCCAGGTATGAAATATCATAATGATGTTGATCGCTTTTTTCTTCGTGTATAACTCAAACTTACAAACCCGATCTCTAAATCACAAGCAAACACATTATGTGAGTACGTTTTTTCGCCCGAGATTTACCAATTAAAGAGTGTAGTATTTAAAATATTTTGTCTTGTATCTACATCATTTTAAGAAAAATCAGTTTTTCATTTATTGTTAGTGTTCTGCCGAATAATGTCGTTAATTAAATAGAAAAGTTTACTATAAAAATTGTCCATAATTAGATATATTAAAAAGGTTGTCGGCATACAATCGAGATCCAGAGAGAAAAAAATATATTTTATTATGTCATTAAACAGTTATTACTAAAGTGTTTTAAAAGAATTACAATAATTATTATTTAAAAATCATAATCTGTGTTAGATAAATCAAATAAATTATATATTTTTGTATTGATCATCAAAATAAAAAAATTAAAAAATTAAATTAAATTGTATTAAAATAAGATATGTTGACGGTCTAGTTGTCTACATTTTACTGTTCGCCAATTGCCGATCATTGCCCTAAAAGATAATAATACTTTGGCTATAAATACTTTAATCTTTAATAACTCACACTACGAACAAAATGTGTAGGTATTTTACGTTTCAATTTCATTCTACAGGAGTAAATATAATGATGTATTATCTCTATTGCCGTGTTTAGTTACGTATTATTACCACCCTAGACACACCAATCTGAATATTTTTTTCACGATTATAAATAATCTGAATACAATATGTATTTTAGCCGCCTATTTCAATACTTTTTTATTGTATATTTTTTATGATTTTGTCTACTATAAATAATTTTAATTCTGTAATTTTGAATCAACTCGGTCGGATAATTCAGAGAGGCTGATAAAAGATAGGCATAATAAAACCAATTACTTAGTATCAAACCGGCACATTTAATTTACTTTTGAATTAATAAAATATGAATAATTAATTACCAAAAAAACACTCTTACTATTAAGGCAGACTGATTATTTATAATTATTAATTAGATCTACCATTTATTATTAACTTTCAATACACAGATACGCTCTATCAAGTTACTCTAATTTACACTAACATATTATGCTGTGTAATCTATTGCCTCTATTGTCTATGTACATCGTTGGATTTATAATGTAAAAAGCAGATGTTTAATAATGAACTTTTAAAATTACCTCAATTATTTTAGCCACATTTCTGGAATAACGCTGCTTGGAGTCCCATCAGAAATCTACAGCAATGGGACGCAATATTTAATCGTCAGTGTGATAAATGTTTTTATTATTGCCACCATAGTATGCATATATTTACCTGTGTTTTATGAACTTCAACTTACATCAGTCTATGAAGTATGCCGTTGAATTATTTGTATTACTTATAAGTTACTTAACATTTTAATTACATTTTAGTACTTAGAATTTCGATTTAATTCTAAGATCCGAGGATTTGCGTCATTAATTTTTGCTATTGCACTTGTACTGTACATACCGGTAGTAATTTACATACCAGCTTTAGCGTTCAATCAAGGTATGAAATATTTTTAAACTCAATAATTTTTACCAAATGTTTGTAAATCAGTGCATATAGTTTTTGTTACACTGATTGTGATAACATAAATGTATAATTAATCAATAAAAATAATTGTATTACAGTCACCGGAATCAATGTACACTTCGCCACTCCGATAATATGCGCCATATGTATATTTTATACCACTGTCGTAAGTTTTCTATGCAAATAATTATTATTATCATAAAAAATTTGAACATTTATCACGTAAACACATTTTAAGGGTGGACTCAAAGCAGTCGTGTGGACAGATGCGATTCAGAGTGTATTCACTACTGCTTCAATAATTATTGTGATCATCTTAGGATTAATAGAAGTCGGAGGGTTCGGTAATGTGATAAAAGCCAACGAAGAAGGTGGCCGAATAGAATTTTTCAGGTTTGTACCTATGTAAACACAGTATGAAATTTAGACAATATCTAAACTTAGCTAATAAGCTAATAAGAATGATTTTAGCAAAACTTATTTTTTTCTTTTATGTTCTGTTTTTACTAACGAATCTGCTAGCAGATCTAATTAATTTGAATTGTTTTTTTTTAATATTTTTCAGAATGGATCCAAATCCATTTTTGAGAAACACATTTTGGACTGTCAGTATCGGTACGATGTTTCAATGGGTAGCACAGCTCGGTATTCATCCAGGTGCTATTCAACGGTTCGTGGCGTTGCCTACGTATAGTAAAGCTCGCAGCTCATTGATTTACTTCGTGCTAGGGATGGCCGTCGTTAAAGTGTTGACTGGTACTGTGGGAATGTTAATGTATACCAAATACAAAGACTGTGATCCCAGTTTAGCCAATGTACGTGTTATTTATAGGTGCAATAAACATTGCTAAGTAATAAACTGAATCAAATTGATTATTTCAGTACATCGAAAACGATAGAAATTTACTGCCATATTTTGTGATGGACGTTGCATCCAAAATTCCAGGAATAACTGGTTTATTTATTTCTGGTATCATCAGCGCTGCACTTAGGTACATTGATTCCGTTGTTATTCGGAATATTCTCGTATGATATATATTGCGAATATATATGTTATGATAGGATGTTACACAACTATTAATTAAATTGTTTTTTAAAAATTTTATATTGGATACATTCAGGATATTATTTTACTGTTTTTATTCTTCGTTATACAATACATAAACATATTGAAATTAATCTTAGCTTCTTATAATAATATCGATGTTAAAATACGATTTTTTACAAACAATAATTCATTCTCATGAATTGCACATTTTCTATCAAAAATTACATTATTAAATTACCATCTATATTTTATATATTATATTATATTATCTATTTATATTATTTTATTTACCATCTGCATTTGAAATTGGACTAATTGGAGTTCATTTTTTCAAAAAAAGATTATTTTCATTGTTATTTCTAGTACAATGTCAGCACAATTGAACACTGTGTCCGGTACGATTTACGAGGATTTTATTGTGAAAATGATGGGTATAAAAGTTTCTGACTTAACAGCTAGTATAATTATGAAATGCACAGTCGTAATAACGGGGATGATATGTGTATCCTTAGTGGCAGTAGTGGAAAAATTAAACGGAATTCTCCAGGCAAGATTTTTCTAATATTTTAATTACTATTGAATCATTAATTTATTCAAAAATATTATCTTTTTACAGATGGCAATAAGTTTAGGTAGCGTGACGAATGGTGCATTATTATCCGTGTTTACATTGGGACTTTGTTTTCCATGTGCTAACGCTAGAGTAAGTTTTTATTTAAGTTCTAATAATTATTCATATTTGAGTTAAATATAATAATTATTTTAAAGTGTCGGTTTTCGGAATTTTATCCATGGTGATTTGTCTTCTAACATTTATATTTTCATAGGGTGCGTTGTATGGAATGTTATCTAGTATAGTAATTATGTCCTGGATTGTGTTTGGTGCTCAGTATGCAATATATAACAAAGAATTGAAATTCGTGGAAAAAGACGTTTCAATAGTTGGATGTCCACCCGAATTACATTTTAAAAATCGTACAGATTTTTCGGGGTAAGTTTAAAAAATAAATAAAAATTTTCAATTAAGTTGTATAAAATATTAAAAGTTAGTTGTAAAATACACCCATTGTATTTTAAATATCATCCAATAAGATATTTATGATTATTTATTTTTGAATACGGTATAAATTGGTTTTGGGTATTTAACAATTACTTAACTTATGTTTGCCATGTATCTCCGAGGATATTTTAACTGATTTGGAGATTATTAGATTATAAGGATGCTATTGTGTATATACGCCTAATAGTACACATAGGTACATAAAAATTTACTCGTATATGTGGTATTGTAACATTTATTAAAACTTATTTTAATAAGTTGTATTGTATAAGGTGTGGAATTGAAATACTTGAAAAATATTATAACGTTTTATCTAATTATAATAATAATTATATAACATATTGGTAATTGTTTTTAGGTTGGAGCGATTAAACGAAGATGTTTTTGTGAGTGAAAACGTTTGGAAAATCTACACCGTTTCATATATGCATTATAGTACGATAGGTACTCTAGTTGGTATCGCAGTTGGACTCGTCGTTAGTTTGCTATCCCCTACAGAACAGAAATTAGATCCAAAGCTTGTAACACCATTTATACGAAAGTTTGTGTATCCCAGTCATTCGACCTCTCAGAATTCAAAAGAAACTAATATCGAAGAACAAGAAATGGAGAACACTAAATGTTAATGACTACAAATAAGGGTCAATCCACGAAATGCAATCTAAACTGAATGTTATAGGATTTTAATTTCAGCTCTAAATTTAAAACTTTGTTTTGTAAATTTGAAAGATATCGTGATTTCGATTTAGTACTTGATGTCATGACATGTATCGAATATGATGTATACACATTTGATTTTTATTTATTTAGTTTTAATGAGTATTTATTAGTAGATCAACAGCAGATATTACACATGAATCTTTCTTTTATTACTCTATATACCTCATAACCGAGGTTACCGATTTTGAAATTATTTTATTCTCAACAATTATTTTTTAGCATAAAATATTACCGAACGTCATAATCTTTTGATTAAAACTGCATATTTATTATTATTATATATCTTCACGCTTTACGTCTTCCCGAATAACATGTCAGGCACGTTGTTGAGAGGGGGGGGGGTCTTAGGGGGCCTGGCCCCTAAGAAAAATCAGTGGCCTCGAACTGGCCCCCTTGATTTTGATTTTTAAATATTATGGTGTTTAGTTATTCCAAACAGGCTAAATCCTGAATGTATATTCTATATGGGCGATTGTAAACTCCGCTAGAATATTGGTTAAGATAAAAAGATAATAAAAGATCTAGTGTAAACTCGGCCAGTTTTTTTTTCTTACCTGTAATGGGTAAATGTAAACTTCTCCAGTTTTTTTTTTGTTTACCTGCTCAGTGCTCATATTGCCACGTGCCCTTTTTTACATTAAATTCGTTGACATTTATTGCGATGATGTATGTTGAAATTGATAAAATTATTGTCATGGTTCGATTCATTTCAAGGTGGATATATATCCACATTGATTTATTTATTAATAATTTTATCTTCATATTATCTGAAATTATTATTTCCAATGATGATATCGGCAGGAGATAAGGTATACGTAAAGTATACTCTGACGAACATAATCATTTGTAGTTTGCGTGTCTCCGTGTATATTTTATTTTGAACGAAATATGTCGCAACAAAGTAATAATATAAAATTAATTACTGGTCAACGAGGCAATTTATTGGTTTTATTTAACAACTGACTACAAATATAACTTAAATATAAAATATGCGTCTGGTGAAATAAAATGGAGGTATGATATTATATAATATTATAATTATAATATTCACTTATTATTACTTATTATTCAATTTCACCTGATTTTTTTTAGTGGCGTAGTTTACATGAACCCAATTTCAGCTATTTTATTTTTCTGGCGGAGCTTACATGGGTCTATTCCATATAATTAACGATCGTATAACAAAAATTATATTCTGAAATTCTATTTTATAAATATTCGTCACATGACAAATTGAGATAAGACAATAGTACGTGTATTAATAGATTGAAAACTAGGAATTCTAAATATGAATATCGAACGTACATTTGAAAAACACACTACAGAAAGGGGTCAAAAAATGTTGGCACCCTTATAGAGATGTGTCTGGTTATGTGCCCGCAACAAGTCATAAATACTATTCCTGATAATAACATGAAAAAACAACTTTAGCAAATAATTTCTATTTAAATAAATAATGAGCAGAAGATAATAATTTTAATTGTTATCTTTACGCAGAAAATCGAGTTCTAGTGACAAACTAATGTAACGTACAGGGCCATAGTAACCAAATATTGCGTCCGGGGTGAAACTTCAAAATACGCCTTTAAGTATTTTAATTTATAAAAAAACTGAATATTCTTTTATAGATGTAATATAAATAATAATTTTTCCTTATAATTATGCAAGCGTTATTTAATTTTATTAAAATCAATAACCTATTAAAATATAAATATACATAATAACTATAAGTAGGTCCATAGGTATAACATAATAATATTTATAAGTTATATATGTAATTACATAAATACATAATATTGCTTTTACTTATAAGTAAAAATTACATTTCAAATTTTTCATTTTTGCACCCTCCCAGGAATTGCTCCCGGGGCGTAGGCCACCCCTGCTACGGCTCTGGTAACGTATTATTTATATTTATATATAAATTATTTTTTTTACTAACAAATTAGTAACATATCTGTATTCAGAAGTGTCAATACTTGTGTAAGGATTACTTAAATAACACTTTAAGCGATTATTATAATATTTATGTTCATAATTTTATTAAAAATTTAATATATATAATATACAAACTATTAGCTTGATCGGAATTTTGTAATATAAACAATGTCGCTCGATTGCCTATAACAAGCGCCGTCTAATTTGTAATATTCTTGAACTCTACATTAATAATGATGATTAGGGCCCGGATTTCAATGCAAAGTGTATATTTTTTTGGTTGATCATACACAATGCTCTCTAAGAACATAATTCGTTTCATGTAACGAAGGTTTCAAAACTACACATTTTATTTTGCATTTTTTTGCATAGTTCGACATTTTTTCATTTTTAGAGCATTTTTAGTATTATTGGGTCATTTTGTTGGTTTTTAATGCATATTTGTTCGACATACTAAACAAATTTAGCCTATTCAAAATAAAATCAAAAGAAAAATTATTTTTTTGGTATTTAAGTAGGTTAATCGGGTTTTTCCATACACATTGTCAATCTTTATTTTTTGATTCAGTTTTTATCTTAATTTATTATAGACTATAAACGTCACCAATATTCGGTCAAATAACAAATAATCAGTCAGTTCGTATTACATCGTAGATGTTGCTCGTATTATGTGTTTGTGATTTTAATATATTAAATAGTGTTAAATAATACCTAAAATAAAAAAAAATGTATATCATTTTTGTGGTAAAATGCATTTTTTAAGAACATTTTTGGCTATTTTTTAGAGCATATTCTTATGGATTTAAGTGCATTTAAATCCGGGACCTAATGATGATGAACTGTACTCATAGCTATGAACATTATTCGGTCAATATTTAATTGGGTTCTGAACTTGGTTAATTGATTGTTACACCCTCGGAGACATTTGTGTACTAATAATTTGCCTGAAACAAAGGTATAATAAAATTTAATTCCAATTTCAATCGTTGTGGTGGATATTAAATTTTGTTCGATCACCGTAATCGTTTATTTTCACATTGATAATGTTCATGTTTTTTCCAGCTCTTGGATCAACAAAAAAATTGTATTAAATACTTCAATAAAACCGGAAACTGGCTTTGGTAAAAATAAGTTTTTTCGGTTTCGGTATTAGTTATACAATTGTGAACACGAACTGTGTACGTCAGTATTAATATCTCATGAGTATCTACTTTTATTGTTACAGCTAAAAATTAAGTTGTGCAAATAATGATAACTGTTTAAAAATGTATTCTCAAGCGTGTTTAAGTTAAAATTACCATTACTTATTATATTATCATATAACAGGAATAATAAGTATTTGTTAATATGCCGCGTGTTTATTTAATCTATATACGTATAGTATACAACTACCATTTTAAAACACGTGTCTAGTTTGGAATAATATTTATGAAGTAGTTATTTACTTATATAACTATTATCTGATAAAGATGATACATATAGTAACATCAATAAAAGATTTCAGCATTTGATTATGGTTTTATTTAATTTATATACTCGTACTTGAATTGCGTCATCTGTTTAGTTGAGAATCTTTTTCTTCCATAAATACTATACAATTAAAAAAAAAAAAAAAAAATGAATTATTTATTGAAAATAAAATTAAACAATTTGAAATACTATGTATATTTGGTGAACTTAATGATTAGGTATTTTATAAAAATTATAGCAAAGTATATACATAGATTATAATGAATAGTGAAAACTCGAAAATATAATCAAAAGATCAGATGGGAGTAATAAAATAGCATTTACTAGTTGATTTAAAAGAGTAACAGTACTAAAATGTATGAATTTTAATTTGACTTATTAGATCGTAATTAAATTTACCGATGATAAAAATGTAAACAGAAAGAAGAATTGTTTAAATTTAAAGCTATGATTGTAGTTCATAATAATGTTTTACATACCTATGCTAAACGATGTGTTTATTAAATTTTGTAGGGGGGCAACAACTGGGATGTTAGTTAGTTTAAGGATATTGTTTTAGATTATTTATGGCACTTATATGGCAAATACAATGGTGAATTGAAGTTTGTATTTACTATATTCAATAGCTGAATGTCCACCTGATATACAATTTAAAAATCGTATTAATTATTTGGGGTTAATCAAAAATTAATTTATATTATCTATTTAAAATGACCTGTTTTAAGTACAATTAATATTTTTTTAGTCAGCTTGTTTAATTTTTGAAACCTAAATAAATTTAAATTTTTATTTTAAAATGATACGTTAATTAACTATTCATTGTAAAAATATAAAAACTTATCATTGATACTGTCTATGTACTACTTATAATCATAAATGCATTGGTTAAAATTTTTGAAAATAATTTAGTAAATCGAGGCGTACACACCGAACTTATACCTATTACTCAGAGGCCCTTGTACAATTTTTAGCTAGGAGTATATAGTTGCTAAGTTTGATAAATTGTAAATTCAATTAAACTTTTATTTATAATCGGAAGGAGGATTATCAGAAGAGGTTTATTTTACAATAACTTGATCAGTAGTTGAAAAATAGTTGTTTATTTACAATAATGGTTCGGTGAAATCATCTAGTGTTATTGAAAAATTGTTTGATAAATATCTGGATAATCTATGTTTTACCTAAGATTACACCAAACGAACGAAGATTATTTCGCGGGTCCAAATATGTTGAAATACCATTTCATATATGTATTTACAACATTCTATAGACCAGTGCTCCCAAACTTTTTCGACTCACGGCGATCTTTTTGATCTAAAGTTTTTTCAGGGCGCTCTTCCCTAAGTCATAGCATGACTAATCATAAGGAAAATTTTAGACCAGATAGTATTTTATGATGGCACGGCGCACACTTTGGGAACTGCTACTATAGGCAGTTTTATAGGAATAGCAATTGGACTTGCTGTTAGTTTGTTATTTCCTCAAAAGCAGAGTATAGATCCAAACAGTAAAATTAATTAAAGAACTTAGCTTTTAACCCATTTGTCCATGAATGGTTTAATAATGACACCCTTTATCCTTAGAAATTACTTAATAATTTAATTGATTATCTGGAGATATTAGCTTTATCAATAAATAATGTGTATAATCAAACATATACAATTATAGTATTAAATATAACTTAATACAATTTTTGTTTTTAAAGAAATTGATAAAAAATACCCGGTGTTTACTAGTTGTGATCATAGGCGTGTGCACAGGGGAGGGTACCGAATGGGTCTAGACACCCCCTCCGAAACGGGGCTCGACAATTTAGTCTAAAAATAAGAGGCCCGTATTTTAACGAATTCTGCTCAAATTAAATGTAATTTATTCTAAAATACAATAATTAATATTAATGGACTAATAATAAATGCGTTTTCTGATTGAAATCCCAATCCCAAATATTATATATAAGTTTCGATGAAATCTTCAAGTCCATGAATAGCTAAATAAAATACAACTTTATTAGGATTTATTATTGTACACAGATGTACACAAGTGCTTGAAATGGCTCTCACATCATAATAATATAATATGCTGCGGCATATGACCTTAACGATATTGAATCACTCGCCTGGCTGTTAAAAATATGTTAATTGTTATACGTTTAATAACAATATTATAACGATAACTTGTAAGCAACTTATTTGCGATATTGTAATTTTCAATATGTACATGAATTATTGAGTTGACCATGATCTGATACTACACTTTTAAGTGGGATCACTTTAAACTTATATTTCTTATCAGTGTCTATGTTGAATTTCCTAGATATAAGTTTTGCTGTTTTATTTAATATTAATGAATTATAATATTTGTCAATTTAATGATTTATCTTGTGTATCACATGCCACGAGTGGTGATCAAATTGAAAAAAAAAGATTATATGAACAATTTATTGAATTTATTTCCTTAAACGGGAAGTAAAAATGTTCCAATTACCTGTTTGACTTGTTTGATGAGTAATTATTTTTTCTGTTAATTTTTGTATTTTATCAATGTCATAAAATCTTGACGTGAATAAAAAACGATTACATTTTGAATAAGTTCAAAGTATACATTTATTCGTGATCACGAACATTTGTATGAACTTTTAAGTTATCTATTCGTATCGAAACGCAATTATATTCCATAGCTCTGCGCCATGACACTATGTGTATATTATTTAAGACTTAAATATTTGTACTAAGTATAACTCATTTTCAATAAGTGCTTACACGTAGAAAGTGAATTTAATATTATATAAAATTCCAAAAAATTATTCAAATGTTTACAGTAAAAGAGCATATCCAATGCACGAGTAAATATTATTTTGATCGATGTTTATTTTGAACAAAATATGGGGGATAACATTAGTACGACGTTATCATATACATGTTGCACCACTGTACATGTTTGGTTGTTGAATGATATTGTTTAATAACAATTACACTAAATTTTAATATCTATGTACTTGTTCAACACTATTGTAATGTAATATTCTGTAGAAATAATTTAAATAAATCGAATCTCTTTTGCATAACTAAGATTATAATACTTCATAATAAAATACTATTCCTTAAATTAATGTGAAACATATTATATTACTGGATTGTGGACGTGGCACAATGATGTATATCAGTAACTATTATCTTTAAATTTATGGATTTGTGCACTAAATTGGAATTATTCTAATGACTCATGACGTCATTATTGAGTTATTCGGTACTTCGGGAATATTTAGTAGTTCAGTGAACTATTTTCGTGATAATACACTGGCTATTCGTATGAATCATATGCGACAAAAAAGTCTTGTTGTTTAGACGTTTCTAAAAATAAAAAAACACGAGCCGTGAGAAAAAAGTTAATATTTTAAATCTTAAAAATAGAAGGCGAAAAAAAATGGAAATACAATAAATTTGCTTTTTCATATTTTTTTCAAAAATCGTTCTAATAATAAATAAAGGACATTGTATCGATGTAAGCAGTGTTATTTTCAGACACTTTATCGGGGGACTGAGCTTCCTGGAAAATGTCCTAAATAGATGATCCAAAATTATCAACTGATTTTTGGCTAGTTTTTCAATAAGCTTATTATAAGCTTATTATAAGCTTATGATGCGTATTCAATTTCTCTTGTTTTATATAGAAAAGGATGGCTATAGGCAAGATTTACAAAAATGCCACCTTCCTCTCCACATATATAACCAAATTACGTTACTGCACGATAAACATGATATATTTTGTGTTTAAAAATGGGGCTTTAAAGATGGCAGGCTCAACAGAAGTTTTGAACGAATCACAACATGAACTGATACGATACATAACAATGACGCCTATCTTAGAATTGGCGCATTATAAATAATTGTAATTGGAATATTATTTCCGTAATAAAGAATATTATTATTATTATTATTACTATGAACCATTTGAGCTATGTGTTATAAATTTTTATCATTTTTATACCGTCCAAATGTCAAATTGAATATCATTGGTAAATACGTGAAGACAAATATTGCTATAACAGTAATACAAGTAATATCCTGATGAAAGGCCACAGGCCTCAATCTTATTAAATTACCATATCACAAAAGAATCAAAAAACCAAAAAAAAAAAAAAAAAATTATAAAAATTAAAAACACCAAAAACTAAAAAAATAAAAATATGAAAATAAACAAAGTTAAAGACAAGGGCACTATCGACAGAGCTGAAATAGGCTACAAGGATGCAAAAAAGCAACATCAGAATAGTTAAAATAAACGTAGAGGACATGTCAAGATCGAAGACCGAGATAATCAACCAGCCATTTTCCTATGCGATGTCCTCACGATCCAATTGACCCACGTGATTGCAGATCAGTCGATGCGATTAAACATTAATGGCTTTCGACTAGTAAGTTTCACTGGTCACCCAAAACATGGTATGACTACCTATGTCAATCATAATGTACAACCTCAGCTTGTAAAACCTATAGAAGGAAATGACCATACAATTGGTATCAGAATCGGAAACTTATCCATCTACAGCGTCTACAAACCACCGTCTGAGAACTGGTCAGCTACTGTCTTATCGACGTGCAAACATCCGGCAGTGTACATAGAGGATTTCAACTCCCATTGCTCTGAGTGGGAGTATAACAGTATAAATGATGATGGTGAATGGATTTCTACCTAGGAATCTGTTAACAACATACAAATTCTATATGACATCAAGCAAGGAGAACTTTTGAGTCAGGCAGATGGGGCACGGCCATATTCCCTGACTTATGTTTTGTCTCAAAAGATAACACCAGTATACCACTCAGAATCTATCGCAAACTTGGACGCAAATTTCCCAAAAACCAGCACCGATCGGCAATAGTTGAGGTCAGGGTTGTCCTACTAAAAATTAACAAGACTGTAATGCAAAGATGGAACGTACGAAAAGCAGACTGAAATATTTTCAGGGCTTATGTTGAAGAGAATGTAAATCGCATAGAGCCCACACCGAAAAAATTATGAGCGCTTTGTGAAGCTAATAAAAACGACAGCTGGCAAAGCCATGCCACGAGGAAATAGAGGAAATTACATCCCTTGTTGGTCCAAGGACTGCAGCACACTGCTGAGTGAGTATGAAGAGAGTAGATGTGATGTCACTGCAGACAGACTTATAAGATTGCTTGACGAGGAAAGAAGGGTAAGATGACAGTCAGCTACGGAAAAACTGGACTTTACTCACTCCAGTTGCAAAAGTGTGGAATTGCTGAGAAAACTAGAATCTGCATAACCAGCCTTAAGCAGTACCGCGGATATAGCAAAAAAAATCTCAAATAGCCTCTTTAAAACTTCAAATATTAAGCATTTAAAACAAGAAAAAAATTTAATCAATGATAAGTATAAAGCAGAAGTCGGCAAATGTGCTGAAAAAACCTAGTTGATGGATGACTTTTTGGTAGAAGAGGTTGACCTAGCTCTTAAAAGTGTAAAGAGTGGTAAAATGGCCTATCTGGTTTTTTATGAACATTATAAGAACAATTTTCATTAAATACATACAAACCTCAAGTAAATTCACAAATTGATTATTTTCATTTCAATTATTTTATCAACTATTATTAAATAAACTATTGTAATGGTACTATTATAATAATATTTCTTAGATTATCAAAATTATATGAAGAATTGATTTATATAAAAATTAAACTTATATTTTTATTTCTGTATAAAATCAATTTGAATTGAACACGTTTTATACATTAAAAAGGTAAATTATTAAATTAAAAGTTAATGTCAAAATAGAATAACGAATAATCAACTTAATGTTAACTAAACATTTTAACTTAATTTTTAATTCTTTAGTGCCTAGCCGTAACTAAATGCGTAAACATTGCACAAGTTATATGTGACTACGGTTATAGTTGATGAAAATAGTCAGCTATCTAGTTCTCGTGCAAATCCATGTATGATACGCGTCAAGTGATTTCGAGAACCATGTTCGTGTGGATCTCGACCGCGCGCGTACGCGAAATTGAAGAACCTCGTCGCGTCTGTCGTACATGAGTACGATTACAATAATTAGAGGTCGATGACTATCGAGTAGGGATAAATCGTAATCGTGAGTGTGTACAAGCGCAATTTGTCGAGTGCGATTGAGCGAATCTAAACGACGAATTAGATTACATCGACTCAACAGACACTTTTCAATTAGGTGAACTCCCGGTTTGCAGTCCATAAATGTTGAACGCGATCGTTCGATCTGTGCCGGTACGACGTTTACGATCATTCGGTTCGACGAGGAAGATTTATCGGATTTGCACGTACGGGATTATCGGACCGAAAGATTGTGAACCGTGATCGTGATTACCCGAAGAGCCCGGCGATAACTATGGAAAGATTGAACTGGTTGGTGGAATGCTCCGCGTTCGTCCTCATGCTCGGAATTTCCATGGTGATCGGTTTGTATTATGGATTCGTGGAGGGCAAACAGAACACCATCAGTGAGTACCTGCTGGGCGGTAAGCATATGACAGTTTTCCCGATCACCATGTCGCTGATTGCCAGGTATTGATATTATACGTTTATGTAATAACGGCCAAACGCCCCGAGATTAAACGTCAATACGGTTTTGTAGAATTCATGAAAAATATTAGTGAAAACGCGGTAGGGTGGAATTTTATCTGCGATCTAAAACATAAAAAAAAAAAAATCATTAAAAAATATACCATAAAAACCAACTTATTATCATTTTATATACATATCGATACATATAAATACATATTCTCAGTGTTCAAATTAGATAATGTAAGTCAAATGTATCTAGATAAAGATAAATTAATTCATAATTATCTAAAATAAGAAATGATACAATTTTCAAATGAGTGTAAACATTACATTATAGTTTTTTTCTATTATTATCATATTACATGATTTTGCTTTACAACATAATAGAAAATTTATATAGTTCAAACACAGATATGTGTATTATAATTTTTTATAAGATTTATAAATTATTTTTTATAAAAACGAATAACATATATTTAAAATTATTAATTATTAATTAATATAAATATTAATAATGTTATGTTAATAGCAATTATCATTTAGAAATGTCGTAACAGTTATAAATATAAATTTAATATACACTGTGTGATGTTCAATTTGTAATTATCCATAGCTCAAAAGCAAACGTAATTAATAATTAATATATCAATAAATTCAAGTGCTTATTTATAGAATAGTAAATTTTCAATTTTTATTTATCAACAATAAATATGAATCTTAACGATGTTATTGATAATTTATTGTCGTTTTTATTGATCGTATTAATCGCAAGAGCCTGTATTGTTTACACGCTATGATTTCTTGTCCAATATTCTCTGTCGACCGCTGTATACTCAGATTTTATCCGTGAACAACCAATGCAAACTAAATCAAATCGAAGGGATCGAATGGTTGTTACATGTTAATACGTTTCAACTAATCTTAACGATTCACAGAAAATAATGCAGACATTAAATCACTACCTACGATGTTTTATTTACACGCAACGATAAATCAAAACAATTCAGCGTTGCTAGATATGCATTTATCGTATAGCGAGTAACTTATATGAAAATATAAGTAACGTTATATGAAAATTTAAATAAAAATGCAACAAATTTGTTTGCACGATTCTGGTGATCCAAAATATCATGTAGATTAATAAAATATTCATCCAGGATAAATGTTTGGATATCTTGATTTATATGAACAAGATAAATGACGAACAAATAACTGTCTAAATAATTCATCTAGATAAGCCTGAACAAGGTTCACAATAGGTATTGTTACGTAGAGGCGACTCGTAAAGGGAGACTTTGAGAGTGCGTATCCCTTTAAAAAGAAAAACAACTACTTGTAAATAATAACTATTTAAAAATGTATAGAAATATTTTTATTTTTATTGAAAATACTCGTATGTTATAGCATTGATTTTAGTCGCGTTTCTCATATTTATTATTATAAGCCACAAAATATAAAACCTATAAATAATTATTTCGATGGAAACATTATTTTAGTCATTTCGACGACGGTCGCTGTTTCAGTGTAAAGGTCCGCACAAACTGCGGTGGTAGCGATGACTGGTGGATTTTTAATTAAACTGCTTAAACTCCCGGGAAAAAATAAACTGTCATTAATTCACAATGCATTGCGGCGATTTTTCAATATTATGTAATTTATAATAACATAAATAAATGGTTTTGTAGAGTATAGTATTGTTGTATAGTATTGTATTATAATATAATATGTTACGGAATAAAATAAAACTAATTGCGTACACCTGTAATTACAGTTATGAGTGATTATTACATTAAATTAAACAAAATTAGTTTATATGCCTGAAAATAAAAATAGACTATTCGATTTCAACCGTGCACGATTTATTGTTAGATATTGGATACATTTATGGACACTTTTAGAAATGATTCAAATTAGTATACAGTTTAGATATTTTAGAGTAGTAGATAATTATAACTATATTATTTATTGATAATAATATATAATAATAAAATGTGTTAATGAATGCTAAATGTTAATTTCACATAACTATAGGTACATAGATTTTCATTATCTTGTACACGGTAATAACTAATAAATAATAAAATTTGAAATACTGGCATTGAATTTAATGACGACGGATTTCAAGTGAAATATAAAAAACCGCTGGGCGGTAGCGGTAAAATTCGAGCATGCAGCGATTTCTGTAAAAACCGCGTCGCGATATCATACCGCACCCGATTTACCGCTGTAGTGTGTGCGGACTTCAACTGACGTCCGACCAGTTCAATCGTAGCATCTAATGGTTTTGCTTGTTGGGCGGAGGGGGCTGGGGAGAATAATCCGTGAATTATAGAAGCTATTGAAACTGTGTTCACGACTATAATTTCCGTGCCATCGTTAGTCGCTGTACACCGTCATCTACGAATTCGCTGATAAAAAGAATTGCAGAATCGAATTAGTTTATAAAAAAATTTACCATTAAATTAAGTTAGAAATATTAACTTAACGTTAAATTAAGTACGAAGTATAATTTATTTTCCAATTAAAGTGTTTTTTTTTTTTTTTATTTGTCCGTCGTTGTATGGAGTTTAATGTTTGAAGTTTAATGTATGGAGTTTATGTTAAATAATTTAAGTCTCTCCAGAATATTTACTACGAGCCGCTACTATTGTTACGATAACAGTGTTGTTTTTAATTTACATGTATTGTGTACACTTCTGATGATTTCAATAATGTTTGTAGTCATATTTCTGGAATCACGCTCCTTGGAGTTCCGTCTGAAATCTACAGCAATGGGACGCAATATTTAATCGTCGGTCTTGTAAATGTATTTGTTATTATCATTGTCATTTACATATATCTACCTGTATTTTATGAACTTCAATGTACATCTATCTATAAAGTATGCTATTGAATTATTATGTTATTCTTAAGTTAAATAACGTTTATACAAAATTTAGTATTTAGAACTTCGATTCAATTCTAAGATCCGAGGAATCGGGTCATTGATTTTTGCAACGTCTCTAATATTTCAATTACCAGTGGTGATATATGTGCCGGCCTTAGCGTTCAACCAAGGTAAAAATCATATTTAAGACTGATGAACATTTCATCATCTAGTCAAAGTTCAACGTTTTAAAACCCATGAAGAATTTAAAAAAAAAGTTGTATTCACATAACAATTAAATATTTTTCGAAATTTTAGTTACCGGTTTGAACGTGCACTTGGCAACTCCAATAATATGCGGCATATGTATATTTTATACAACTATTGTAAGTACAATGAATGATTATTCATTTTAAAACAATATAACTACTACGTGAACTGTATCTTAGGGTGGACTGAAAGCCGTCGTATGGACAGATGCTATTCAGAGCATTTTCACTACTGCTTCAATACTGATTGTTATCGTCTTGGGATTCATACAAGTTGGTGGGCTTAGTAACACGATCAAAGCTAACCAAGAAAGCGGTCGTATAGAATTTTTCAGGTGTATAAAATACTAAATTACTTTTAGATATACATAAGAGTCTAATATTTTTAATATTTCGTGTTGTACATGCATCGCCATCACTACGAATGGAGTATGTATTCCGATTATGTATTTCGTTAAGGTCTTGTCCAATATATGTTTTCTAGAATGGACCCGGATCCGTTTTTGAGAAGTACGTTTTGGACTGTTGGTATTGGTACGATTTTCCAATGGATACCACAATTAGGTATGCATCCAGGTGCCGTTCAACGGTTTGTGGCATTGCCCTCATATAAAAAGGCTCGTAACGCGTTGATATATTTTCTAATTGGTATAGCCGTAGTAAAAATATTAACTGGTGCTATTGGACTATTAATTTACACCAAGTACAAAGATTGTGATCCCATTTCGGCTAATGTGAGTGTATTTATCGTATGAAAACATATATTTCACGATTTTCGTTTATGCCATACATAGAATCATCTGTTTCAGTTTATCAGTAGTGACAAAAATTTACTGCCATATTTTGTGATAGACGTCGCTGGGAAACTTCCAGGTGTCACTGGTTTATTTATATCTGGTATCATTAGTGCCGCATTAAGGTACATTTTTTTATAATTATATTCCACTTTAAGTTTCACGTTGAAATACTTAGTAGTAATTTTTAGTACAATGTCAGCACAACTCAATACCGTATCGGGCACGATTTATGAGGATTTTATTGTAAAATTCTTGAGCGTCAACGTTTCCGAGTTGACGGCAAGTTTTATTATGAAGTGTATCGTTGTAGTAAGTGGTGTAATATGTGTGGCTCTAGTCGTAGTGGTCGAAAAGTTGAACGGTATTATACAGGTAAAACATTTCTATAAGACTTATTCATATCATAGAACACAATTTAGTAAAAATGTAATATCTTAATAGATGGCAATAAGTTTGAGCAGCATGACGAACGGAGCGTTTGTTGCTGTATTTACATTAGGGGTTTGTTTTCCTTGGGCTAATTCTAGAGTGAGTGTATACATTTTTGTAAATTAAAGTGATTTTTATAATTTACCTTCTTACTTACATAAGTACTGTAACCTGACTAATGTATTTATTAATTTTTTCAAGGGTGCATTAAGTGGGATGTTGGCTAGTTTTGGGATAGTGCTTTGGATTGTGTATGGTTCTCAGATGGCAATATACAATGGTGATTTGAAGTTTGTCGAGAAGAATGTTTCGATTGCTGGATGTCCACCTGATACACAATTTAAGACTCATACTAATTATTCGGGGTAAATTAAAAATTATTATATTTTTCTTTTATGATCTTTATTATGAATAATTTCTGTAATTTGATTGATAATTTATTACTCATTTTAAGATTATTACTCGTCTTTTAAGTAGGTTTTGTAAATTTCTATTTAAGGTGATTTAATTTAGTATTTTTGCTTTTATCTAAATTAATTTTATATTTTTTATAAAACTAAAAATGGATTTATTTTGTTCCATGTTAAATAATATAAATGTTTTGTAGTCCGATAGTGTAATTGTAGGAATTAATAAGTGAATACACTGTTAACTCATGTGTTTAACTAATTTTAAAATGTTTTGTACTCAAGTAAAGATTTACTACGTACATTTTATTTTTGTTATTTTAATGTAATTTTAAATTATTTTCTACTTAATACCAGATTAAGTAAAATTTTAGATTTCAGATTTAGTAAAAAGTTGCTAAAAATGCTTTCATCAAGTTTTTCACGTTATAATTTTATTTGGTATCAACGAAAATTAACTACCAGATTTAATTATTAAATTTCTAAATAAAACCTAAAACACATGTCCTATCAAATGTAATTATATTAATCACTTGTTAATAAACCGACTCTAGTCTGGAATATATAATTTTAATTTTTTTTTATCGCCAACAGCCTTATAGCGTTTAACAATAATTTTTATATTAAGTAGGGTTTAAAAGAAATGTCATAGTTTTATTGACAAATTGTGTGATATTGATTTATGTTTTTTAGGTTATATCGAATGAACGAAGATGTATATGTGAGTCCAAATGTGTGGAAGATTTACACAGTTTCATACATGTATTACACTCTTATAGGCACTCTTACAGGAATAGCAGTTGGACTCGTAGTTAGTTTGCTATTTCCTGACGAACAGGAAGTAGATCCCAAATTATTGACTCCGTTCATCAGGAAGTTTATGTACCCTAAATATATGTCGAAGGAAAAATTGAACAAAGTTAAGATAGAAGAATACAAGCTAGTGTCTCAGGACACTAAATTATGAGGGCTACACAAGTACTTATATAACAGTGTTCATAATTCCACCAGAAACGAGTTCTAAAATATTATTTTCAAGACAATAAATTAAGTATTTTAATATGTTATGTTAAGTATAAAAACTTTATTTTTTATATTAATTTCCAGATCACATGGATAGTTTTAACAATAAATTTATTTGTGTGTTGTTTTATTTACGAATTTGAATTAATTTGACCAATTAAATTGTATTAAATGTTTTAAAACAATAAAAAATAAAATAAAAATTACTAAATGGTTGATAATCGTAAATTAATAAATAAATAAATAAATGCTTAGCCTAGAGTTTAATTATATAAATATACATTTGTGTAAAATCGTCGATTCTTATCGAAGAACTCACTCACCAATATTCGAAGTAATAATTATCAAACTGATAAGTGACAGAAATTAAAACTGTCGTATTTCAACGTAGAGGGGCGCTTAATAACACTCCAGGCTAAGCATTTATCTATTTAATTATATCTATATATTTATTATTTGTTTATTTATGTATATACTCGTATTAAATAATTTCAATTGAAATGAACATTCTTTATCAAATATAAACCGATTTTACTTCTTTTAGATCAACCAAAATCCACCAAACAATTTTTAAACAACTATGTATATATATATATATATATATATATATATATATATATATATATTTGTAAGTGTGTATGTGTATCATATTATTATACATTTAATTTACAAATAAATAATTTACCGGACGGAAATCGCGATACATATTCGTTATGGTAATTCATATGTAAAATATGGATTGTTAGAATAAAACTAATAATAACAAAACAGTGCGTTACCAAACGGTTCGCGAACCTGATCGCAGCCGTTGTGGCCAGCGTGGACAGGGTTCGGATGATTCCGAAAACACAGTAAACATTGTAGCCAAATAACCTGTGTTATTTTGGTACTTCAGGTACTAACTCACGATGATGTACAAATTGAAAAGCTTGATCCCGTACTTCGGACCGATTTTGTCGCAGAGTTGCAGCACATTGGACGCGTTAAGGATTGTCGAGCTGTTGGCCCGTGTTCTCCAATTCGCTTTACCATTCTTTTTTGTACGCACTGAACGTGAACGCGAACGAGTTCAAATTTTAAGTGAAGTTCCAAACACTGTTATGATTATAGTAATTTATGACAACGTTTAATAATTTAAAATTATTTTATAAAAATTATAAACCAATATGTCAAATAAACGCATTTCGAATTGTTTTTTCTTATAAAATCATCGTTTATGAAAACAAATAAGAGTAATACTACATAATATTTCAAAACCATTATTATAACACATTAATTCTATACACGAAAATATAATTGTCGACTCAATGACATTGTTTAGTTATAGACGTTTAAAAATTAAATTAAAAAATAATAAATGTATTGAAGTGTCTTGGTCGAAAAGATTAAAAATCTTATTTCGATTCGAACTTGACGCGGACCCGTGCGGCAGCCGTTATCGGAAACGTCTAGTGTCGATCGTGCCTTTACGTCGGTGTTTCCCAACTGGTGTTCCGTGGAATCTAAGGGTTCCGTGAGTTTGCGCGAAGGGTTTCATGAGAAATTTGGGAAAATATAAATTAATTAGCAATATTTTGATTTGAACTATGATTTGAACATAGAACTCAACATAGAACTGGAATTGAAACATTTCCCGATGTGAGGTTCGTAGTTTGTAGCTTTTCGGCGTATACAAAGACTAAGTTTCGAAATTAAGTAAATGCGGCTCCGGACTTACAAATCCAACTTTCAGGAATAACTACAGATTTAAAAACAGTTATGAAAAAAACACTGGAATGATTCCAATCTTCCCATTGAATCTATCTTCGAAGTAATGAGAGGCAAATATTGCATTTTAAGCTTTGATATATAGGTACATTTATAATATTGTAATAGTAGATAACAAATAAAATGAAATGTTAGAGCCGTCTTGTTTTTTTTATATTAATGACACTCTTGTGCCGGAAGTGTCCGATAACCCACTCATTTAAGTGTACAATACATATTTCTGTATTAATATTATAGAAAAAATATTGGGTTCCACAAAACGTTTAAGCTCCTGCAAAGTTCCGTGGGTAAAAGAAGTTGGAAAACACTGCTTTATGTCTCTCATCAACGACCAGATCGCGATACGCAGCGCTGCCGCGACACCCCGTCCATCTCATCCATCAATTGATAGGGGACGCGAACGGTCGCGACCACGTCCGAACGGCAACACTATCGAACCGATCCGTTCCGTTCTGTTCTCGAAACATCGTGTACGCGAACAGGAAGATGGTAAACTGCGGCAAAATTAATCTTTTTCTAAAAGTCGATATGTAAACTGCGACAAAAAAAAAAAATTAAGATTATACAATCTGCGATAAATCCGATAAGATAAATTATACAAACTGCAGCAATTTATTATATATATTCAGGGCCATCCTGAAGATGAAAATCAAGGGGGGGGGGGGGAATAATATGAAAAATATCGACTACAATTTTTACTCAATGTATGTAATATAATTAACTATATTAACTATATGTAGTTGTTTTTTACTTTTTAACATGTATATATGTGTCAGTGCCGTATACACTGTATTACGAAATATGTAATATTTGTTTTCCGTTAGTAAAATTAGGTCCTTCTAGGTTATAATGAAAAAAGTTCGACCGTCGACTGGTGTTTTCGTTGGATGGGGGGGGTGGTAAGACACCCCCCAAGACCCCCCTTCGAGACAGCCCTGCGTTCTATACATTGCTACAAATTATTTGTGCACAGTATTCGTTACAAATTATTATACTCGGTACCATAATTCTTAAAATAATCAATCAAACAACTTCGAAAAAGATTTGTATTTACCTATTTCCGATATCCTTTTTCCTGTGCCTCCCCCGAAAGGCTGAAAAGAAAAAGGTGCCACGTTATTTTCTCAACTTAACCCCTGCAAACGAATAATAAAACGTCCTAAGAAGTTTCGTCAACGGACGATTTCTCTAACAACTCTAGTTGTCGATGTAAATGACTTCTCTAATCATTTATTTTTACTGTACACAGTATTGGGAATAGATAATGCCAAATTTATCTAGATAAAGATAAAAGATAATTTCATTTTTATCTAGATAAAAAAATATATTTTCAAAAAATGTTATTTTTAGGTCAATATTTCATATTTGTAATAATATCTATGAAGACTCAATTATAATTTATAATCATTATTATCAATAGGTACCTAAGTGTTTAATGTTTATTGTAGTAATGTAGTGTACCATTAAGCAGTATTTATAGTAGTATTTTATGATATATATATATTGCATTACATAATTATAAATATTCGTCATACACTTGAAAAATTAGTTATTATCTTCTCGCGTATTGTCTAATTACGAAATATTGACCGTCATCATGAACAATATTTTATAATAGTCACATTACTTAATAATTATAATTAATGTTCTACTTATGTTCTGACTATTAGCTTCTGCGCTATCGTTTTTTCTTACAGTTTTAATTACATCCATAAGATAAATAATGCACGTCAAATCACACACAATAGCGTTGATAGCTGTCAGGGACGTATGCAGAAAAAAGTTTGGGATGGTTTTTTTAAAAATCAGTTACTGAAAAGTAGACCTTTTTTTTTTAATAAATATACGAAATTCTCGTTTTATATCGTTTTCTTTGGAAACTTTCATAGATATTGAACCATAATCATGGTTACCTCTCAATCCTAGATGGACATTTAGTTGAATTTTGGGGGGGGAGGCTATAATAAATCAATGTATAATAACCCACAGGTGCTTCGCCTCCATACTCCCTTCCCATGTACATATAAGACTTATTACTATTAAAAATATAGATATGTTTAAATTGTATTAAAAATACACTAAATAACGTATATTTAAAAATAATTAATATTTTATTTTAATGACAAATATCTATTTGTATCAACAAAGATATTTAAAATATCATCGCTTTTTATATTTTTCAATATATAGTATTGAAATGTCGCTGAACCTATTTTGAATCAACGATGTCCTTAGCCAAGTTTTTATTTTTTTATTTTGGCAAGTAGCCGAACTAATTGGTATTGTTAATGCTATTGTAAATAGTTTTTTTATTTTTTCTTATTTTACGATTTTCAACAAAACGAATAGATAATTATAAAAACAACGAATAACATTTCTAACAAAGTTTCGATTTTTTTTTGGGGGGGTGGGGGCTATTCAAATATTTGTATTATTGCTCTAATGATTGGAGTCAATTTTCTTCTATTCTCCAAGTGCTATTATTTTCTACCCTGGTCAATTTCATTGACCATATCGTTATTTTGTTTTCAAAAATCAGACGAAAATTGTGTGCATCTTCTATAGCGTCCTTGTGGTATAATTTATTTTGGTGTTCTTTAAATTTTCAAGGGTTTTTTTCCAACTGTGAAACGAAATCTGTACAAAATCTTTTAGATTTTCGTGATCTACACTTTTTGGGGAAAGCATATTCTACAGTAAATTCTGTCCCCAATTGCTGAGTACGTCAACCAAAGAAAATACTGCAACCAAGAATGCTGAAATTTTAAATTCAATTTACTTGAAGTTGGAAAATTATCAATGTTCATTAACATCATATAAGGGCGATTTTACAATAAATTCATATTTCTCATTACCTAACATATAACGTCGTTAACAAAATATAAGAAATATGTCATAATATTCTTATCTGCAGTAGTTGTCCTGTCATGAATAGCTTCGGTGTGTACTGTGTCTGTAAACATTTTGTAACTACATTATACTGACGATAATATATAATAGGTATAATTTTATTTTATTTATAAATCCTGTTTAAGTATTTATTTTTTTTTCAAATTATATTAAAATGTTAATTTGCTAGTTTAAAATTTTTATTTTGCTATAGGCGGTTTTTCGCAAATAAAATGTAATAAAATAAGTATCTATTATATAGAGATGATCAAAACAAAACCAAGATCAAGACTTTCAAAATCTTAGTCTTGGTCTCGGGTATATACCTTAATCTTGGTCTTGCGCAAGACTCTTGCAATACGCTTGCTATTTTCACAAAATATAAAAAAAAACTAAATATCTACCTGTTATAGCTGTGTAGGTTTTTTGCTATGACTTCTAAGATAAAACTTAAGTCCAATATATTATATTGTATATTAATAATATAAAACAATCAAACAATTTAATTTTTATTATGTGTACTCGTTCAAGATTTTGCATTTTAAAATATTATGTTTATATTATTTTACTCGTATTTATATTTGATGAATCAATTTACCAGCATAATTAACTTTGTAAGTTCCTATTAAATTTATAATAAATATTAATATTATAGACTACAAGTTTACGACGGTAATGAAATTATATGCTGTATAAGACACTAGTTTAAGTACACAATGTCTAGTATAGAAAAATCACACAAACTACGAACAAAAATAAAAACCTACTTCCAATCAAAATGATATCTACCATAGTCCGTAATGACCTCCAGCAATTATTAGTATATTAAATTCAAAGTAGAGGTGCATTATGGACATAATTCATAATTTATTCTATGAGCAAGACAACTTCGACGTTTTCATCGATTTTGAAAAAAAAATATGATTTTTCAGTTATTTCTAAGTATGAAACAACTATATTATGTTATTTTGTAATATTAATTCTAATTATTTATAAACATTTTTTTTAATAATTCGTCATTTCCCGAATACTGATCAAATTTAATAACAATACAAATATTTTTTTATTATTTTCGTTATAAATGATTAGTTAATGAAATCTAAATAACTAATGTGTTTTCGGAGGAAAAAAAATTGGCTAGACTGCAAGAGTCTTGCAAGCCTAATCTTGGTCTTGGTCTTGGTTTTGCAGCAAGAGTCTTGCGAGATTGCAAGACCAAGATCAATTTTGATCATCAATACTATTTAAGTATAATATAACAACTAATATGAATATAGAATAAGTAAATGACCATAAAAAAAACCAAATATTTCGGGGGGTGTATTGAGCGTTCAATACAACCCCTCGAGTACGTGCCTGTTAGCTGTGTTCGTTGAATTAATCTGTTTGCTAACACCTTTAGTTGTACCCACGAGGACATTCATTACTTAAGACACTTAAGTATTACAATTAGTTATTGTAGATTTCAGCAAATTTAAAAGAAACATTTGTGAAGCTTTTTTTATTAATTGTTATTAACATTTTAGTTTTTTGATTATATTGACCGTTTTTGATGATATTTTAAAAAGGGAGAGAATGCGTCATATACATTTTGAATAATCATAATAATTATAATTATAATAATAATTATTATTGTAATTATAGTTTGTTTTTATTTGTATATTGTATGTATATATCAAAGAGATCAACAATTATCAAAAAATTGTTTTTGTAATATGATAAATGATGAATATAATTGTTACACTGATTATAATTTTAATATTTTTTACGAATAAATATTACCTAATCTGTATTGTGACGAAAGTATAGTAATAGTATTTTAATAACCGTATTATATATAAAAGAAGTATGTGTATTTTTCAAAATACGACAATATATTACATTAATAGTTTAATTTGCAGCGCAACAAGAAGCGAAAATAAATATAAACAAAGGATACGAATAATACACTTCAATCAGCTAAAAAACAGACATATACTCGCAGAAGGCGTTAATATATAAACCAATAGAATACACAGGGGGATTAAGAGATCATAAACCCCTCCTCCAAATGTCTTCCTTCATTAACTTTTTACCATATTTTTGCATAGGGTTATACAAATTAATCTCTGTAGTCAATTATTAATAGCATAAACCCTTCATCCGAAAAAAAAATCCTGTGTGCACTATTAATACAAACTCTATAGACGCCGAACCCGATTCCAACGCTTCTATTGATCCGATGTTTTTAATTTTCAAAAACTCCTTATGCTTCTCGGCTAAAAATTCACTCGCAGTTTCAATCTCGCGCATGGCCATAATTATCGTTCGGATATGGTATCGGTACAATAATCGTTTTCCAACGACTTTAAATTAACGGGTCACAAGGTTGATACTTAAAATTATACTTCGTTGATATTCGTCGGCCATTACACTTTAAGAACATAATATTGCGTCAAGTACTCTTATTCATTGCGTTTGTGATGACACTGGATACGATTATAATACGGTGAATCAACGTTTATTTTTTTTTTTTTTAACAAGAACTAAAACTTACTTCATATTCTATATTAACTGAGTTATCAGGTGTGATAGTGTAGTACAACAACACACTCAGTCTCGGACGTTACGCGTAACAGTGACCGTCAATAACAGTTTCCACCGCGGCCGTGTCGAACTCCCCTGAAGGACGTGGAAAACCGTTTTCGATGCATGTCCTGCTCAACGCATCCTAAAGCATCGGGGAAATCAGAGACCCAGCTGCAGGAGTCATGGAACAGCTGAATCTAATGGCGGAATGCTCAGCTTTCGCAATCATGATCTGTTTATCCGCCATCGTCGGGCTGTACTACGGGTGCGTGGAACGCAAACAGAACACTGTCAGCGATTACTTGCTGGGTGGCAGGGACATGACGCTAATACCGATTACCATATCGCTGATCGCCAGGTAAACTTATGACCAGGGCTTATAACTTATAGCTCTAAAAATGGTAGTTATAAGCGCTATAATATGCTCATAAAAATATTCATATAAGTACTTAAATATGCGAAAAAAAAAATATGAAAAAAGAAAATTGTCTAACTCTTATTATTAAAATACCAATCGCGTCAGTATATGATACAAATAAATATATAATTTAAACCAAAAAAAGAAGAATTAATTAATTTAAATAAGTTAATTATATATATATATATATATAATTAATACTACTATAATCACTTGTTATTATTAAGAATAAATGTTTGAAATGCTATGGAACTGGAGAAAACTTAAAAAAACAAAATAGCAAATAACAAATTTGTAAATATGCAAAAATAAGTTAGTAATATAGAAAATAAAAGCAAAATATCTTTCATACTTTGAAATATGCAAAAATATGCAACATAAAATTTCGTATTTAGCTTCTTAGTTATTTGAAACAGATTTATAGCTCACATAGTTATTTCTAGGACTTCTCAAAAAAAAAAAAAAAAAAATGTAAATGCTATAAGTCATGAGCCCTGCTTTATGATAAACACGAGTTTTCGAAAATGACATTCAATCGCACTCAGGGTTTTATAACGACACGTTTTACCGATTTCTACTTTAGTCATACTTGTATTCTGTCTTAAATATTATTTACAAGTTTTTGTGTTCATGTGACAATAATATGTACCATATACTAATTTATGCGTATAATTGCGCTTAAAATTGTAAGTAAACGCATAAAAAATGCGTAAGCACATAAATAAATGATCAATATATAAAAAAAATTGCTTTCGTAAACTAGTATCTGTACGTTTTAACAAGTCTAAAAAGAAGTTCAAAAATTCCACCTAATTTTTCAATTACATCATTATGCCAAGGCTTTGCACCCGAATAATTTTTTCGGGTTTCAGGTTTCGGATGTTGAATATATTCTAGTGTTCAAACACCGCAATATAACATTTAAACAAACATTTGGGTGTTAATAACCATTATTACTCGGGTTAATATTGGTTAATATGGGTGTTATGTAGTCAAGGAAAAATATTATTTTTCATTGGTGAATGGCAATGGGGAGGCTGAGCCTCCACTAATGAAATATTTATATTTTTTTTTACCTACTTATGTAATAAAATATAAATTTCTTGTACAACTGTGCAACAGTTTTTTAGACCAAACTATCATTATGTTAATTTCAAGAAATGGCCCAGATAGCAAGATAAAATTTTTTAATCGTTTACATGCTATTATTTTTTTAATTATGAGATTAATTAATCATTTGAATTTCATCATATTTTGATTAAATAATATGATATTAATGTTTATATATTGTTGTTTGGCCACCCGTTTGAAATTAAATTAACGTCAAAGACATAACATAAATATATTGTTATTTTTAAAATGATAATTTAACCATAAAATTGTGTTATTTTAGAAATATTGTTTCTCTAGTATACTATAATTATTAATAATATAACATTAAAATATTATTATTTTTAAAATTATAATATAACCATAAAATTGTAATATTTGGGAAATATTGTTTACCTTACATACTAAAATTATCAAATATCATTTCTCCAAATGGTTAAGATTGTATATGCTGTTTTTTTATCTATAGTTTTAAATTATATATATATATATATAGGCACAATTGGAGGGGAAAGGTTGCTAATTATTTTTTAATTAATATAATCCTCACAATTTATTTTATTTATTTATTTATTTATTTATTTACACCGGTGTAACTAAGATTTATTTTCGGGGAAGAGGGAGTTATTTTATATGTGTATGAAGTTTATAAATTATAATATCTATTAAAATTAAAAATACTAACACTATGTCATATTCCTAGTTAGTGCGGGCATATCGTATGCGACAAAAAACAAACTATTTTGTATTCTGCGTTTGTGCTTGTGGCATAGGCGGAAATCAGGGGGGGGGTCTTGAGAGGACTAAGCCTCCCCATAAATATAAAGTACAAGTCTTAGCCCTCTAGCTCTAAAAATTGTTAAGTGACTAAAAGTACAATAATTATTATAATTGTAAAATGCATTTTTAATAACCGAATTAAAAAAAAAATATTCTGTGATAAAAATTAAATCAAATTCGTAAGATTTTACAAACTTCTTGTCATGACTTGGAACGATCGCAATTAATGTAATATTAATAGTATGTAATAATACTCGAATAGGTTGTTTAATTTAATTAAATAATAATTTCTGTTTAGAATATCTACTCCAAAAATGTTAAGATAAGGCACCTAATTGTTTCTTTGTTTAAATTGTTGATTAAAAATGTCAAATTGTCAAAGTTCGTAAATTGACTTGTTAAAATATATAATCGCGCACAGTGGTCTCTATAGGTGTAATAAGCAAATAATGCTCTGTCCCCCCCCCACAATTTCACCACATTTCCGCTTTAGGTTTTTGGTGCGTGCACATACTAAAAACGCACTAGCTAGAACATAGCGTAATACAAAAAATAATAATAATTTGTATTTATGAATGTTACGATGAAATCATTACACCAAAAAAATTAACAACTCACGCCATAGACATATGTACTAAACGCCATACACTGAACAAATACGAATAACGCGAACAACAATTTAGGTAATCATATGCGAGATATCAATTCTATTTCAGACTTACAGTATTGCAATAAATAACGACTCGGTGATTCATAGAATACCTATTACCTATTAAATTATAATAATACGAAGTATCCGCTTGGGATAATTTTAAAAATAGTATCCCAGTTGTCTACACTTGAACATTCAACATACCATACCGTTCATGCACACCTGTCAATATGATATATTGCTATTGTCTTTATTTAGATAAATTTAGATTAATTAACAATTTTGTATATTATTTGTGAAAATTATTCCTGTGAATAATAATTTTACTATTAAACAACTAATGAAAAAATTGAAATAACCACAAAAAATACATACAAAATGATATGTCACATAAAGATTGTAAAATAAAAAAATTTTCAGGTTTTGGTTAATTCGGATGTTTAAAAAAAAAATCGTTCGGGTTGTATGGGTTTTGGGTGTTTAATTTTTAAGGGTTTTTTGGAATATTACGAGTTCGGGTTAATTCGGGTGCAAAGCCCTGCATTATGTTCATTAAAATATCATACTTATGATATATATATAATTCAAAATTTCGTTACGTTTAAAAATTAAAACTCTAATTAATATTATGTAGTCGCTATACTGTTTTGAAGAAATATTACATTTCCTTTTTGACGACACATTGAACGAATTCATATCGTTGTAGCGCTGTAAAACCAATAAATAATAGGATATAAATTTAATAATATATTTGCAGTCACATTTCCGGAATAACACTGCTGGGAGTTCCACCTGAAACGTACATTCATGGAACACAATACGCACTAACCGGTATGGGTTTTGTCTTAACCGGTATCATCGTTGAAAAATTTTATCTTCCTGTATTTTACGAACTCCAACTCACTTCGATGTACGAGGTATGATGAAATGATAATTTGATTTTAATTATTCTTACTCAAACGATCTGCATCTAAATTAAGTTTGGATTGCATTTCAGTATTTGGAATATCGATTCGATGGGAACGTCCGAAGCTTGATGTCAATAATTTATGCCTTTTCACTCATGCTGTACATACCAGTAGTGATTTACATTCCAGCCTTAGCGTTCAGTCAAGGTATGTACATGTTTAAGATGTAAACATTTTACGTGAAATATAGCTGAACACTCATTTTGTTCGCACAATGTACGTAATATACGCGTCGTGCGGTGGTCGATGAAATAATAACAATCTAATCTTAATCGGACGATGTAACAGTTACAGGTCTTAACGTCCACACTGTCACTAAAATCATATGCTCCGTGTGTATATTTTACACCACCATCGTAAGTGTACTTTTTATCACATTGAAATCGTTATGAAATAATACGTGTTGATTTTCGTATGTAGGGTGGACTCAAAGCAGTAGTGTGGACGGACGCGATACAGGGTTTTTTCACTGCTATGTCACTAATAGCTGTCATCGTCATGGGATTGAAGAGCATCGGAGGTTTGCGGAACATGATAAAGGCAAATGAAGAAGGGGATCGGATTGAATTTTTTCGGTAGCTATGTGTATCTACAGTTATCAGTAGAGCTCGGTTTTTGTTGCAAATACTTCTATTGATGGGAGTGCGATAGAAAGACAATTCTTGTACAAAAATATAATTTGAATCGTTTTGATTTCAACGAATTAAGTTTTTTTTTGTTTTTTTTTTTTTTTACGTTTACATAATGTTCATGAAAATGTATTATATTTCTATTTAACTTATAATTCGACTAAACTACTGTTGTCAGAAATGATAAAACTAGTGAAAAAACCAGTAATGAATGGATGAATAATAATAAAGTAACTATTTAAATTTTTTTGGCTACTAAAAGTGATTTTTTAAGGATTTATTTTGCTACAAAATTCAAGCCCTAGTTATCAAGAATGTCATATTTTTTCTGTTATATGTGTAATATTTTAAATCGTACACTCATTAACGATTCGCATTATTAATAATTATATATTACACTACATTATATATTACATAGTTATAATAATATATAATCAATGTCATTTTATGCAACTTTAGATGGATACAAATTAAAATCATATTTTATTCAGGATGGATCCAGATCCGTTTTTAAGAAATTCGTTTTGGACTACTAGTATTGGCTCGTTGATAAATTCGATTGCATATCTAGGTTTAAATCCCAGTACGGTTCAACGGTTTGTGGCGTTACCGACGTACAAATTGGCTCGAAATGCTCTGATGTACTTAATGTTGGGTGTAAGTACAATTACATCAATGACTGTTTTGATCGGAATGCTGATTTACGCCAAGTACAAAAACTGCGATCCCAGTACTGCTAATGTGAGCATATTTTACTTTTGTGTTCTATCAAGGATAAAAATAAACTAATTGTCGAATCTAATAATATTAATATTATCTTAGTACATCGAAGATAATAAAAGTTTGTTACCGTATTACGTAATGGACATTGCTGCTAGCTATCCAGGAATCACTGGTATATTTGTTGCTGGACTCGTCAGCGCCGCACTCAGGTAAATATCATTTTTCATCAATTTATTCACGTGTTCTGTGTCGTACTGCATATTAACAGTATTCTTTTAGTACGATGTCAGCTCACCTTAACAACGTGTCCGGTACTATATATGAGGATTTGATCGTGAAAATGATGGGCAAGCGGTATTCTGAATTAACTGCAAGTATTATTATGAAGTTTACTGTAATAGTGATGGGTGTGATGTGTGGAATTTTGGTATTAATGGTCGAACAATTGAAAGGAATTCTCCAGGCAAGTTTCTTAGTCATTAGATTGCGATTTAGTAATAAAATAATTTATAAACATGTATTTATACTAGATGGCGGTTAGCCTTAATTCCGTAACATTGGGAGCATTTCTATCTGTTTTCACTTTGGGGATTGGTTTTCCTTTTGTGAATACTAGGGTAAGTTTGTTTTAATTTCAGCCTTAAATAATTTTTCGTTTACATATATATATTGATCCATTTTTTTTTTTTTGTTTTAAAAATGATAATATAGCTATACGCAAATATACATATAGTTGTTATTTTTACAGGGAGCGATATACGCGATAATTGCTAGTTTAGGAGTATCAATTTGGATTACTTTTGGTACTCAGATTGCCATAATGAATGACGAATTGAAATTTTCTGAAAAAAATATATCAATTACTGGATGTCCTATTGATTTACAGTTTAAGGATAAAATTGACTATTCGGGGTAAATTTAAAAAATAATACAATTTTATAATTTTAAGCTTTAATAAAAGCGTCTAATATCGATTTTATTGGAATGAACCAAATAAAATTGGCTTAGATTTTCAAATTGCTGGAACGTTAGTCTTATTTTAATGTAATTTAACATAAATATATTATATTTTATCCTTTTTTTTTTTTTAATATAAATATTTCACTATGTGTTAGATCATTTTGGATTGTAAATAATATGCGTTTTTATGGCATGTTTGAGAAGTGGAGATTACTTGCAGCAAAAAAAAATTTGAAACTTCAAAATACTCAAATTTATGACAAAAAAAGGAAATAATTTGTCGTTATTTCTGAATATATTTAATTTTGTATTACTTAAAACATTATATATATCTACATAAAAAGATACTTTAGATTTCTTAACATTAGATTATTAATAACGAATACAGATTTCGTTATATTAAAGCATTGACAGTATATCATTGAAGTATATAGTATGTTCATAGAATTGAGCAAAATGTCTTTGTTCTAGGTTATATCGAATGAATGAAGATGTATACGTGAGCCCAAACGTTCAGAAAGTATTTACTCTTTCGTACATGTATTTCGGCACTATAGGAACTGTTGTTGGAATGGCAGTCGGTATTATTGTCAGCTTGGTGTTCCCTTCAAAGCAGAGTATCGATCCCAAACTTTTAACTCCTTGCATCCGAAAGTATATGCATTACGAACACAAGGGCAAGACAAAGTCTGATGAAATTAAAATAAAAGAACTTAAATCTGCAGAGTCTCAAGATACTCCCTTATAATGTTTCCAAGCTTATGAATTGTATAATTTTTACATTTAAATTTTACAATTTTTTTAATTTAAATCCTAAACTGTAATATTTAAAAACAATAAACTTACCTTTTTTTTTTTTAATATTCCATTCTTTATGTTTTTTAAGATTGTTTTTATATTTATTTGGAGTACAAAGACGATTTCCGTCTAGGACTTTCGTTAGTTAAAGAAATATAGAGAGGCTATGTAATTAGTAATTAGAGGTATGATAATTATGACTTCATATACTTATATTTGATTTAACATTTTTATAACCTTTACAAAATTTGATGATGTTATGAAATAGTTGTTTTCTAAAATCTAAACTTGTAGTATACTGAATGATTTTTTAAGTTATCCCAAATCACGTTGATATGTGAGTTACTTTTTGTGGAGGTGGTATTTGTTTGTATGGAAATTTATAAATATATATATATATATATATTTCCCAATAATTAGATATCATATACTTTTTATGAAGAATCCTATGGTTATAACTAGGGCTAGGATTTTAATGTCCTTAAAAAATCGCGAAAAGTGACCTTAAAAAAATGAAAAATTGACTAAAAAACTCATAAAATGCCTTTAAAATTTAAAAAAATTACATTACATCCACATAAATATTTTATTATACTTCATATATTAATAAATAAAAAATTATTCTTAATTGTTACAATAAATCACGAGAACGTGCCTCATGTTGTTCTCCAATAAGTTTTTGTATACATGTATATATATATAAACATGTAATGTTACTGTTCGTTGTACTCCATTAATATGTTTGTCTCTTGATATATGTTGTATAGTAAAACGTTTTTCAACAGCAACTTTTACATTATATACCTTACACAATAACACTAATCTGTCAGTAGAAAAAATGTATAATCTATAATTTTAAATTAAAAAACACCAAAAATGATTTAAAAACCCTTAAAATGCCCTAAAAATGAGAAAAATGACCTTTAAATCAAAAAATGTCATAAAATGCAAAAAAATAAAAAATAAAATTTCTTATTCTAATTTACAAATACCTAAAACATATTTGTCACAAAACGAGCATCGTACAGAAAGCTTCAGAAAATGCAAAGCGCATCGAAATCCCAGCCCTAGTTATAAAAACTTAGAGTATAAAAATTAAAAAAATTGAATTCACATAGTTAGATCTATTGTAAGTCTTAAAAAAATTAATACTTTACGAATAGATGTAATTGCCATTGTAATAAATTAGTATTAATCAGCTAATAATTTTTCAACAACCAAAGTTGTATTAAGTAATCCGACGTTCTAGTCATCATAGCGATAACGAGAAAAAAATTTACACAAATGTACATACAAACAGTAAACAAACCAATCAATGTAACTAGAAAGAAATAATAAATATATTTCGAAACTTAGACCTAAACAAAAAAAATAATTAATGAGATACATATCTGTTGGCTGTAATTATACAAACCCGAAAATAAAAACATTTTAATTGTGTTTTTTGTATTTTCACAAGTTGTGTCTCTCCGGTTGCATTAGAAAGTATAAGAAACACGGAATTTATCACAAGATCAGTAAACGTATTACTTGTTTTTTATTCTTCATCGCAGGTAACGATCTGTTCATCTCTACTCAAATTATGCTTTTTATTATAATATGACACATTTACATACAAGTATACGCTTATCTATAAATTGTACACAAAACGTACGATGTGTATCTGTAGAAAAAAAATAATTTTACTATTTTCACTATACGTTATTGCTGTTTGCCAAACATTTATGTTTTACCATAACTATTTCGCATTATAAAAACATTAATTTCATATTGTCATACTATTGTCGAAACGCAATAAATAAACGTGGGTATCTTATACATACGCGTCTAATGATCACTGTGTGTTTATTTCTTTTATTCTTTTTTAAAGCTTTCACGTTTATTTTAAAATCAATATTATAGGTACAGTTGAGATTTTCGAAATCAGATACACGTATATAATTTACTACAATGTAAAGATTATATTTCTTGCCTCCTACGTATGGTACGTACATGCTAGATAATGCATATAGTGAGCATACAAGATGAATATTTTTAGTATGGTTACTTAGCTTGAACAAGTTTTTTTTTCCAGTCTCCAAAGGTTCTTATTTAGGTCAGCATTTATTTGAATTTCAATTTTTAAAAAAACTTATAAAATAGATTTATGTAAAAGAAATGTCTTTTTTCTATAATAATTTTTCAAGTTTTTATTTTTCTCAATTAATAATAAATTTTGTTATTTGTTTTTCAAGCAGATTTATTTTTCGAAAATGTTGGCGAATTAAAATCGAGCAACAAATTGATTATTAATTAGCTGTAATTGTTAATGTTCTGAAGAGCATTATTCTGAAATATGTCTGTGATCGTATAAACTTAAAACTGGTGACGGACAATGGGCCGAATCAAATTAGCTGACAAATTATACGCTGAATCCATAGGGCGACATAAATATGTGCCGAATAGAATAAAACAAACTTTTTCGCCCGACAGTTGCTTTAACCTACACAACAATTCTCTATCACGAAAATGTAGGGATTTTTACCAATAAATTTATAATTTAACATATAAGTATAACCAATTTATCAAACGTTATATGGATACTGTAAAGTACTAAGTCATCGACAATAAAATAAATGTGATTTTAACAAATCTAACACATCCAACAAGATAAGATAATAAATTAAGATTTCAGTTATGAACAAATGTAGACACCTACTATTCCGGCCTCCGGGTATCATTTTAGTTGTATAGTGTCTGTTCGCGTGTATCGGCCAATATTATTGTTCGGCTTTTTAATTTGTCGACTACTTTGTATTTCGGCCCATGTGTTTCGGTCATTTGTACCACACCCCTTAAGACACATCTCATAACTATAATTGCATTTTTGACCGTAAGTCAATTTTCATATTATAGAATTAAAATAAACATCAAATATTTAAGAAAATATATTCTAAAAAAAATTATTATTTATTAATAATATAAATAAAATATTGAACTGGTAATTATTTCAATAACGGTTAAGACAGATTATAGATTAATAACACGAATACTAGTACTATTTGTCATTAAATCTTAACTTAATGCATACTAAAACTATAACTATGTTTAGGACCCTTGTATATAGAGTTTGGAGTGTTTATATAATATTTTTAAATTGATTTTAAACTTTAATTTTTAGACAAATATTTCTACTACATATTAAAACAGTAAGCTGTAAAAAATAAAGATTTTTTTACAAACTATACGGTTCTAATTTATTTAAATTCGAATTTTCCAAAGTACAGTAAAAGTTTAAAAATTTAAAGATACTTTCAAGATATATTCTCATGGAGTAACTTCTATAGTTTAGTATTCTGAGACACTAGTTGATATTCTTCGGTTTTATTGGCCTCGCATTTAGTCTTTGTCGAGTTCTTAAGGTACATACATTTTCGAATGCAGGGCGCCAACAGTTTCGGATCTATATTTTGCTCTGTTGGAAACATCAAACTAACGACAATTCCCACTACTAAAGCAATAATAGTGCCTATGGTGTTGTAATGCATGTATGAAAGGGTGAATATTTTGTTAACGTTTGGATTCACATATACATCTGCGTTCATTCGGTATAACCTAAAATAATATTGAACATACAAATACGAATTATATATTTAAAAAAACTGTTAATAAACATTCTGTGTTTTACAAGAATCCTACATTGTTAATCTTACTATACACATTTGAGTGCTGTGTACTACTTTATAATATCTTGTATGCGCTGAAAGTGTTTATAATAAAAAACTATCAAACGAATACAGACTTTCTATAAATATAATTGACTTATTGATTCTAAACGGTTTACATTTTGTAATAGTATCTAATTTAATTATACATTAACAACGATAAATCAAAATATTTGATTTATACACATACCCTGAAAATTCACTATGGTTTCTAAAATGTACATTATCCGGACATCCTGCTATTGAAACGTTTTTCTTGACAAATTTTAGCTCACCATTATACATAGCAATCTGAGCACCAGATACAATCCAAACCATGATCACTATGCTACTAAGCATACCATACATTACTCCCTGCAAAAATAAGGAACCAATCTGTTTAAATCTTCTACTTATATAAGATGTATTGGAAACAATATTAACATTAATTTACGCGAACGTTAAATCAAAATATTAAATTATATTTACTCTAGAATTGGCCCTTGGAAAGGTTATTCCCAACGTGAATACAGATATCACTGCTCCGATTGTCACGCTATTCAAACTTATTGATACCTAGTAGAGTTGTATTTTCAAACAATTAAGCAAAATTATGATTAAGATTCACGATTTTAGTACAAAAACTTACCTGAATGATTCCGTTCATTTTTTCAATCATGTATACTAAGAATGTGCATATAACTCCTATTACAACGACAGTGAACTTTATTATTATACTCGCCGTCAAATCGGAAGGTTTTACGTTCATCGTTTTCACTATCAAATCTTCGTAAATCGTGCCGGATAAAGTGTTGAGTTGTGCCGACATCGAGCTAGACATAAATCATCAGATCGGAAATTTTCATTATTGCGTTTATAGAATGGACTAATTGTACCTAAGTGCGGCGCTGACCACACCAGCAATAAACAATCCTGTTGTTCCCGGGATTTTCGACGCGACATCTACGATGTAAAAGGGTACAATGTGTTTGTCATTGTCAATGTACTGAAACGACAAATTCGATCCAACAATCACATACATACAATATTAAAAAACACTTAACGAAAGAATAGCACGCTCACATTAGCTAGAGTGGGATCGCAGTCCTTGTACGTAGCATATATTAATAGTCCTGTCATGCCGGAAAATAATTTTATCACGCCCATACCAAATGCAAAAAATATCAACGATTTTCGAGCTTCATTGAACGTAGGCAACGCCACAAACCGTTGAACAGAACTAGCATGAATAGCCATATGTGAAATTAAAGTAAACGACATGCCAATGCCGGAAGTCCAAAACGTATTTCTCAAAAATGGATCCAGATCCATCCTGAATTTAATATTATTTAATACTGTGTAAATATAAAACAACCGTATATCGCTTCCAATTAAAACCGATGATACTGTAGTTTTATAAATTATTTTACAACGTTGAATATTTAATATTTCACAATAAATTATCATGCTTCGTATACCTGAAAAATTCTATTCGGTCGCTTTCTTGATTAGCTGTAATCATATTGTTGAACCCTCCGATTCGAATCAGTCCCAAAACTATTACAATTATTATTGAAACCGCAGTAAAAAAACTCTGAATCGCGTCCGTCCATACAACTGCTTTCAGTCCACCCTAAACATTTCACAGCATGAAATCCCACTATGTTTCTTTTTAATATATTTTCCGAATACATTACTTACAATTGTTGTATAAAATATGCATATGCCACATATTATCAGGGTAAAATAGTATAGATTCAAGCCTGTAACTGTATTTAATCATTTTTAAATTATTATTTTCAATTTTAATTATCGATTCTTCGGTGTAATGCATTGAGCTAGAAATAAATTTTTTTTATCCGCGCAGTTAATTAAGCGGCCAAATATAATAACAGTAGATAAAATATAAGTTGAAGGATTAAATAAGTCTAACATGACACCCCTGCGTAATTTCCGCATACTGCATACGTTATATCCTACTGATCTCTCAGTATTCACGGCAGTGGCATCCATACGGGAAGTCCGGGTTCAACCCCCCCCCCCCCCAGGGCCAAAAAAAAAAAGAAAATTGTTTTATTATTGATGACGTGTAATATATTCATAGTTTCATTATTACGCTTTGAACTTAAAATATACAATTATACAAATATTATGATAATTAAATAATTATATTGATAGGTGTTTGAAAAGTTTTGTTAATTATGCTGTTTTTATATTCCAATAGCAATTATTTACTGTAATGGAAAAGTAAATTGTAAATTGGTAAAAAAGTTGTATAAAATAATATCTATTTATAGCAGTTATTTATCTTATTTATCTGTTCAACGAAAAAAAAAAGATAACGATTTTTTTTTTGTTAATCCCCTCCCCCCAGAGCAAGATTGAATGTACGCTACTGATTCACGGTGTCACGTCTGTCACATTCGTCTCTTTTTTTCTAGTGGTTGCAGTTTGTTTTTTCCGATTGTTCTATAAGTTGTGTTTACTCGTCACCTTTTGAAAACGCACTACACGATTTTTCACCGTACGCATCGTTACCTTTCCATCGGTCTTAGCGAACGTATTCGTTAATATTGTGTTTTCGTCGCCCATGGCATTATTCGTATGCACCGTGTTTTTTTTTTTTTTTATTTGTCTTGCGCCTATCGGACATATTTTGATCGCAATAAGTGTATTTGGTTGTTTTGTGTGACATCATTCGTTGTCATCTGTGAATGTACGTGACGATCCTTTTTGACTGCGTGCCTTTCGACCAGAGAGTGCTCTACCATCGCTCGTTACATACGGTGTTCGAAGTTTTCGTCGCGGTAGGAGCCGTTATCCGCCATTGCCGTCAAGTTGGATGCCACAATTAACAACTGGAGGCTATTTACCACTTAAGTAGTTACAGATCGGCTCATTTTAATTGGTTACTTTTGATTATATGATATACTTCAGCTTATACATAATTATTTTTATCCATCTATATACAATTTTTATCATATCTTCAATAGTAAAAGAATCTGTTAATATATCATTCATTTTTATATAATCCATTATATCATATAAATCATATTTTTTTTATATACATAATAAAACAGTCATACATATCTGGTGTATTCATTTGCAAGTCTATCTCCGGTAAATCATATAGCTTCATTCGGGTATTCGCGCATACAGAAAGTAAAAAAAAGCAAACAGAAAATTTGATAGTGGTATAATATCGTATGGATACCGAAAGAGATTATATTAAATATATTGATACGGACATAAAATAAACACCAAGAGGAGACTAGAAAATAACTAAAGAGAACGGGTAGTATGAGAGTGACAAATGTAGTAAGGAACGCAAGATGAGAACGAAAGTGATCGATCTAAGAAGATTATTAAAAAAAAGAAAAATAAGATAGTTTTCGTTCAAATTTTTTCTGGTCGAAATGTTGTATACTTACCATAACTGAATGCCATTGCTGGTACGTAAATTACTACTGGTACATGAAGTATGACGGAAATGGCATAAATAATTGACAAAAATCCACGGATTTTTGAATCAAATCGAAGTTCCAGGTACTAAAATTAAATTTAAATAATCAACTAACCGTAATAGCACATTAATAATCATTGTTCAAATTACCTCAAAAACTGATACTGATTGAAGTTCATAAAATACAGGCAAATATATGTATATTATTATGTAACTACATATTACATAATCTATAGTAAAAATTAAATATTGTGTTCCATAGGAGTATACTTCAGACGGAATTCCTAGTAACGAGATACCAGAAAGTTGACTATAATCAGTATAAAATTAAAATTAAACGGTGAAATCTTTCTGAAAAAAAAAATAATAAACACTTCCGAGAGTAAAACATATTAGTACATTGTTAAAACAAATGTGCTTGGGGCTCAATGAGAGATTAGGTTAGGTTTAAGGCTCAACGAGATACATTTTTGGTATAATTATTACACTACCATAAAGAAAATAAAAGACTTTAAGGAATAATAGTTTTATTTTTAAATAGATTTAAGATACCTAATAAGTTATCGGTTAACTATTATTAATTATTATGATTAGATAATATATATACAGTGTATAAGCATTATTTGTTATTTAAAATATGCGAGCGTTTTCCATACTGCGAATATTATAAACAAAAAAAAAGATTAAAAATAATAATATTTATTATTAATAATATTTAGAATATTATTAAACATTATCCAATCTCACATTTTAAACCGAAATATTATTTTATTTTGTGTTTTTTAATGAAACTAAAATAAAATAGATTTTCGTTTCGGTGTAAACCACTCATAGTGTCGCATTGTACCTAATCGTAATGCGGTCGTATTGCATTATTGGATCGATGCGAGAACGCAGATTTCCAACGAATCCGATGGCATACCGGGGTTTCCGATAGCGGAGGAACGCGGCACCGCCGTCGGTTAGAACGGGCGCATGTAAATTCCGCCCAAAATGAACTACAGGTAAAATAAGGCACATGTAAATTCCACTCGAAAAAAATTGATAGGCTAACACATCCTACATATGCTTTGGAAAATTTAAAATCGTCCAATACTAAAAGTATATTTCCGCTTTCTGATTCGATAAATTAAGTCATTATAGCGTACAAGCGTAGAAAACTCTAGGAAGTGTACTGAACACAATTTATAATATTTCTATCTGATATTTTCAGTTATTAAATTCACAATATGTGGCAAAGCTGATAAGATATGACGTGATTGACGATTGTCGTTTGAGATTCGATTGTTCCATGTTCATTGAAACATTTTGTGATTTCCAAATACCGTAACACGCCGCGTCGCGAACTGTATGGTCGCGTCGAACAGACACGGGACGCTTAGTTTAAAAATATTTATTTTTCCGGGCGGAATTTCCAAATCCATTTTTGTACCTGCATATTTTCTCGGGCGGAATTTACCATAGACCTTGTTTTTACCTATTCATTTCGGGCGGAATTTACAGTACTCCGGTTAAAACAACGTCCGCAATACCTGGTGATCAGCGACATGGTGATCGGTAGGACGGCCATGTGCCTGCCGCCCAGCAGGTACTCGCTGACGGTGTTCTGTTTGCCCTGCACGCACCCGTAGTACAGGCCGACGACCACGGACAGGCCGATCATGATCACGAACGCTACGCATTCCACGGTCCAGTTCAGCTGTTCCATGTCGTTTGGTTCAGGACAACGTGCTTGGGTTTCGCGAGAGCGCGATGCAATGGACTCCTCAAGGTACTTTCACTCGGCAGGGACTGCAACGGGTTTCGTCGTGCTCGCGTTACGGAAAAGCGTTCCGGTCAATCCGGTCGTTATCCCGGCCACCGCCTAAGGGACGCACACCACAGATGGTCCGTTCGATCCACTTGTTCCGCAGTAACGTGTGCTCCGGTGTCGCCCGGCCACAAGTAAGCGTCGCGTGTCCCGACCGTGTAGCTCCGTTTGCGTGAGTGGGTCCGCACTTGAACGACGGGATTACGGTTGATCAACAAGTGATCGAATATCGTTGACGACGTACTTGCGTTACGTACATAAGTACTTGACGAAAACCTTCGCGTCGCGCGTTACGGTTTTACGGAAAACGTGACCGTCGACCTGTACGTTTCGTACGATTTCGTGTGTTCGTGTACAACTTAATTTGCGTACATAGAAAACACTGGTCACATTTTCCAGGACGAAAATGCCACTCACCGGAACTGCGAATCTCGCCCTCTTTTTCTTATAATTTTTAGGCCTATAAGAATAAATAGCAATAGATTATCATAAAATATTTGTACGTTTATACTCATTAACAGTACATAAGTGGTTTATTTATCCATTTTTTCGATTATGACACAATATCGCTATGATAATTAATTAATTGATTAATTGTTTAGATTTTTCAATGGAATTGTTTACTTGTAACGATCACGTGTTCGTGACACACCGGTGCGCCTCCTTTCAATTCGGACCCCGTTAGTGCCTGTGATCATATTGATTAATCTATGCTATATTTTGTTAAACGTTATTTACGCAAGGTCTGCGACAGCGTTTCGACGGCTGTCGATACAAAATAACAATATTATTGCGATAATACGCTACTGCGACGACTACACATGCCTTTCTTATTTTCTGCGTGCCACGCGCACGCGATCGTCGACTATGAAAATCCGGCGCGCGAAATTCACCGCCGCTGACTTTCTTCTCTCACACGGTACGTTATTGTATTATCCACACTGCAGCGCGTATTGCATTATAATAATATTATTGTTGTGTGCGGATCAAAATGACTACTTGCATGGACAGGAGTATTATCATAATAATACGCGCGCACGCATGTGTGTGTGTGTGTGTGTGTGTGTGTGTGTGTGTGTGTGTGTGTCTGTGTGTGTTGTTTGATATTTTCACCGGTTATTTTGTTGACATATATAGATAACGTACCCACTTGAACAACAGATATGTACCTACTAGGTTTTACAGCATAATTTGGCAGATCCAATGACTTTTGTAGAATTATTTTTTTATTTTTTAAACTATATTTACTTATCGGTTAATTTTTTTTCTTTTCATTTGGTACTTGAAATTATAAATCATATTTAGTCTACCGTTAAAAAAAAAAAAATACTAATTCATACACCATCCGAATTTTTGGTATCCATAGTCTTAATACTGTTTAATCCGTTGATTTTCTATTAGAATTTCAAACACCAAAATAAAATAAAAAAATATTAATATATGCATGAATAAACAAATAATACATAGAAATAAATTAATTCTTAGCCTAGAATATTATTATAGTTATAACCGTTTTACTTTATTTTACTATACAAATATTTTAATAACCCATGCTACAAATTTATCTATTTATTTATTTCTATAAATATAAAATTATTATTGTTTGTTAATTTATATATTAATTTACGAGTATTAACCATTTACTAATTTTTAATATTAATTACATTTTTTATTATTATATTATCCAAATAATATATTTACGAAATTATTAAAATTATTATTTTGATTTATATTTAAAACGGTAGAGGTAAATGTTAAATTTTTAATTTCTAGTAAAAAATAAAATTTGAAACTACTATAACTATAGTGCAAAATCAAGATACGTATACGTCGACGGGTCTTTGAAAATCGCGTCTCTCGTACGTCACGAGAAGTCAGCACTGCACGAACAATGTAGACCAGTGGTACCCATTGCGCGGTACTTTTATAAAATATGAATTGTCTATAACATTAGAATTATAAATTATTAAGTTATAGAATTAGTTAATAATAATATGTATTATTTATAATTTTTTATTTTCTTTAATTATTACCATTAAAAATGTATGCGATCCGCGAGTAATTTTCGATGTTATTATTCGGCCCTTTCTAAAATCCTAGCGGGGACCGCCGATATAGACATTAATATCGTTACAACAATACACACGAAATGTACTAATGCACGTTTATACGCATTATATTATTTCACGCTGTTGTTCGATTAGGTCGTTTGGCGCGGTCGGTGAGTGTCTACGAACACACAGAGCCTACGCGATAATTGTACGGCGAATGTAATTATAATACTAGGTATAATATAATATAATACATTGTGGTGTACGACACACTTCTCGCATCGCGGTTAGGAAAAGGCTTAGCAGCGCGATATCCGACCCACGTATATTATAATACTAGCTGAATTACCCGGACGTGCCCGGAGATATTTTACTATTTAGATCAGAGCAAATACTATTTCGATGGAAAAAAAAAGTTGTTGAGTTGAAAGAGTCCCCAAGCTTAAAAGCTCAAAGTAGTCGAATATTCTAACGATAGTTATTGTAGATTCTGAGTGAAACGAAGAATGTATTGGTTTTACCATGATGGATGTGTGTGTTTTATGTCTGTGTACACGATTTAGACCAGAAGGAGTGCTCTGATAACTACCAAATAAAAAGTGAAAGATAGGAAATAGCTTCTGGTTGATACTTTCGGTGGACAATTTTTTGAATCTTTCTACATTTTTCTCGATAATTGCGAATAACTGACGAAAAATGTAGACTTCACATTTTCACTGAATACTTACATCACCGTATGTTCTAGAATATAGTCTAGATAATATAATTGTCAATAGTTTTTTTAAACTATTTATTGAAAATTAAAATGTTAATGTTTTCTTGAATTTTTTTGTTTAAAAAATATAATGATAAAACCATTTTGGTTTAATAAAAATTACCGAAAATGTAATACAGAGTTTTTGATACATATTGGTTATTGAAAAATCAAAAAAATCGAAACGAATTTGAAATTAAAAATGTTACTTAAGTTCGAATATTAATTGTTGACAAAACAACAATCGACTATTATAAATGTGATTTTAAAAAAAAAAAATCCTGTTTTAGTACACTTATACATAAGTACATGCCTCTAAAATTTCAAATGAATCTGTATGATTGTTTTGGATGTATGCAAATTAGTGAGTCAGTGAGTGGTACACGAATTATATATATATATAAATATAAGGTATACACTATAATAATATATAGGTACTAGTGATGGGAATAAAATCCAAAACTCGGATTATTGAATTTCAAATTCCGAAATCCGGATTTTTGAATTAAAAATCTGAGATTTTGGATTATTATTGCAAATTCTGTATTATAATCATATAGCTTTCATAACATCACTTTTTAGTCGTTATTTTAATTCTCGGATAAAATTATGGTGATCTAAATAAGATATCTTAATAATTAGTAAACACTTCAAGTCTTACGTACCATTATTTTTGGAGATACAACTAATAATAACTTAATTTTATTTTATGATATCCGACTTATATATTTAATACTATAAAAAAAAACTGTACGTGTGATTCTTAATTAGTTTAGATAAAAATATCATTTAATTTTGAGGATGTTTAATTATTTTGTATTTACTATAAATAGTTCTTGAAAAAATAATAATTCAATGTTTTCAAATCCGATATCCGGGTTTACAGTTGAATCCGAATTTCGAATTTCGAACTTCAAAAATTCGGATTTTCAAACTTCAGCGAATCCAGATTTTTCCCATCACTAGTACAATACACTGTTCAACTATACAACTATCATTTTTTAGTCTCGATAATTTTTCTATTTTACCGTGTCCCGTATACACTGATTAACGAGTAATAAGATTTGATAATAAGGTTTGGAAATAAGTTTGGTAATTCGTTTAAGCAACCCTCTACCGCGGAAGGCAGATTAAGGTATAGTCCAAACTTATCACACCGTCAATCAATTATTTACTGTGTATTTTCGTGTTACTTTGTTTGATTATAAATCTATTTTTACCATCGGGATTTGTATGATATTCACGTTGTATATTTATATTTACTTTACCTCATGTTTTCGGACGTCCATAAAATTTAAATATTATAATTACGGTTGATTACGGTTAAGTGCTGTGCATATTGGCTATGTAACTATACCCAAAATATCAATTTGACAATGTGAAAACTGTGAGATTGTTATACCGGACGATAGGATGGATCGGCGGCGAAGGGATGTTTTAAGGGCCCGAGATCGAAGAGTGACAAGTCTGCGGACTAATTTAATTGTAATTTGAAGTACATATATATATATATATATATATATATATATATATACCTATAGATAAACCTAACTTGTGAACGAACGAAGAGACTCCCAATGAAATCCCCATGATAACTCGTTTCGGAACATAACGCACCGGTGTAGGTACTACTTGCGTGTATTACATATATTATGTACGACGCAGTGAGAATTGTGTCCGACAAGAAGCAGAACGTCTGCGGGACAATATTATGCTGTATAACGACATCGCGCGAGTAATCGTTTTTCCGGTACACACGTCGCGCGTATGTTGTCCGGTCGGTATTGTTTTTTCGATTTTAAACGCTCGTACGGTTTATAATAATTACTTTCCAAAAATATTAATAACGTGGTGGTACCTGTAACATGAATAGTTTTTTTAATTTTTTTTTTTTTACTTTCTATGTAGAATTTTACCGATAAATCGGAATCTTAGAAGAATACCGCACGGCGTGTGATGCGCGTGTGTGCTCGCTGTGATGCCAGGAACCGATTGGGCGTGGTAATTTTCTGCATAGACGTGTACAACATTGTGTTTTACTGTTCATTTTATTTACTTAGTTATCAACGTTCATCAATGCAGGTACTATTATGATTTTTAACGAGATCCATTGATCAGACGATCCATACGGCTGCTATAATATTATTAAACAGCGTTATGTATGTGTATGACTGCGCACATAGAAAGAGCGTATAAAATTGTCGTGGAAGTCGAACTGTCACACTCCTACACAATATATACGGAATGTTGTACAGAAACAACACAACGGTATAACAAGCGATATATAATTGCTTGTATGTTTATGATGTTTTTAAAGTTTCTTATGGTAGTTGTACCGTTTAGTGGCGTATATAGGGTGGGGGGTGTCTAGTGGGCTACAGCCCCCCCCCCCGAAATGTTTTAAAAAAACTTATTATCTTAAATTATTTTAAACGTATGTTATAATTTAATGGTGCTTTATGCTTATTTAGAATTTGCGTCTAACATCAAATCGTTTTGAGACATTCTGTAAATGAAATATAGATAAGTACCTATTTTAAAATATTTTTTTATGTATTCTGTATTCATCTTGATATGTACAGAGCAAATTTCATTTTTTTTTTTTTTTTTTGTGTAACATTTTAGTGACTATCATTAAATATTGTACATTATATATTAATACTGCTTAATGGTACACTACCTGCATTACTATAATAAACATTAAACACCTAGGTACCTATTGATAATAATGATTATAATTGAGTTTTCATAGATATTATAAGAATTTGAAATATTGACCAAAAAATAACATTTTTTGAAAATATATATTTTTTTTTTATCTAGATAAAAATGAAATTATCTTTTATCTTTATCTAGATAAATTTTGCATTATCTATTCCCAACATTGATAGTGATTACAATTATTTCTATTGTTATTGTCAGGTCTCGGGAGTTAAAGCATTTGCTTATTTTTATGGATTGATTTAAAATATAGCAGAGTGCTATAAAAGTGTATGACAAGTTATAACTCGTACAATTATGAAATTTAAAAGTGCCTTTTTTTGCTTTTTTCAGCAATTTTTCAAAAAAAAAATCCTTATTTCCAGTTTTCTGATTATTTTTTCTTATTTGACCAGTTTTTTTAGGTTTTTATAGTTTTATCCTGCAAAATTGTTTTTGATAGAATTAAAATTAAAAATAATTCTTATCTTATCTATTGTTACGTAGGTCGTCGACGTTCAAGGTATCGTTTTAGGGTTAACAAAGATATTCCAACGCTGAAAATAGAACTGAGTGTCAAACGTCAGAATGATCAAGAACAGAGAGAACAGTTTACATTTTATTTTTCAAAACGATCCCTTAAAAAATCCATTAAAATCCTGAAAGTGAAAATTTATTTTTATTTTGTATGATTTTTTAGTTAGAATTTTATAGTTCTTTTTTTTTTTTAATAAATATTTTTGCTTAATTTTAAATTTTTAAACGTTTATTTTTGTGCTTATAATGATATTATTAAGCGCTTATTTTAATGATTTTAAGTGCTATTAATCCCGAGTCCTGGTTATTATTATTAATTACGGTTTTTGACGGTTCCGGAGCTATTTTTAATCTCGGAACATTTTAACCGCGACGTTCCATTAACAGACACGGATGCGACCTCCAGTGATTATTCGATAGAGTTTTATTCATTGTCACAGACTCTGCAAGGCCTGACTACTCGTACGGAGATTTATTTTTATATTCAAAAGGCGATACGTTATCTTCGTTTGACCGTTCGCGTTATTATTGAGGATTTAATTTCGGATTTCGTTTTTAGAAATATGGACTAAAATCGCATTAAATATGAATCGTACAGTATTATTACAATAATATTGCATTATCCGCTGTTATTTGATTGTCATAAACTCCAGTACTGTATTGCAGCATTTTGTAGACATTAAATATATTTAAGACACAAACTGAGAATATGATGGGGTAAAATCGTAAAGGGCACATCCTACTTTACAGTTAAAATGGTTAAATGGTTGACTGAGAAAAATTAACTGTCAACACAAAATAATTAGATTAACAATACATTACATGACTATTTTTCGATGAATTTTTATTTTTTATTTTTTTATTATTAAGTAAACGATTGTTCGATCGTACATAAATTACGCGAGGAGAAGTGTTTAATGAATTCAGAATTTTAATAAATCAATTTAAAAGTCGACCGTCCTCTGTTCGTCATAACTAAACAGTTGTTCCATTCAGAGGAAAATGGTCCAAATAGTTTACTGCGCTTGAGCCTTTATAAATATTTTAGTGCTGTAAATACGAGTTTGCAGAAATATTCCGTAAAATGGACGTGCGGTGAGCGGCGGAGCGATGTGCTGGATGAAGGCGAAAGGAGATGATTTTTAACCGAAAGAGAGAGCGTTTTTTCTTTCTTTCTTTCTATCCTTCTTCGGGTTCTTCTTCTCGCGATCTCCTCCATGCGTTCAATTCTGTTTTTTTCTCATTTCTGTCTACTATAGTCGCGATCTGTACAGCAGGTGGTAGGTAGAGGCCTCCGCTGCCGCAGTGTGTGCGCGCACGTGGATCATGTTGCACGCGGTACTGTGTCTTTCGCTGGCCGTAGCCTCGGTCGCAGTCTATTCATCCACGACAGAAGGTAAGTGATAATCGTAATTGTTTAAAATCCTCAGCAATGTGAGTAATGTGCATATACATTTCTCAATCATGATTTCTCCTTTAAACATTAGCAGCTAACTTACTACTTTAAGCACTAACTTTTCACCGCAGTGAATCTCAACCAAGAGTATACATTATGCGTATAGTAAAAACTTGTGGAATCGGAAATCATATGGTTAGAAAAAATGATTGTAAAATGGCCTTTCTGAAAAATTTTCACTTATGAATTTTCAGAAAGGCCATTTTCCATCGACTCAATAGATTTTCCATTTAAAGGACAAACTGAAAAAAAACTTGAAAACAATAACTGTACAATTTACTTTCATCCGGTGTTTATATTTCTTTTATTAATTCAAGTATATTTGTAATTTTTGGTTTCAATATTTTATTACACAAAACTTATTAAAATCGTGCAAAATCCATCCCTAGTAATGTTAAAAATCGAGAGATTTGTCCTGGTCGATTATTTAGTTCATGTTTTAAATTTATGGGTACTAGGACAAACTTGATTATTCTCATAAGCTGAATTGATTATTTCTATCTTTTAACACGCGTTTTTTTTTTTGTGGACAATTTTTTAATTTACATATTTTTTAATTTTTTAAATTAATTTTATTTTATTAATTTTATGACTTATGATACAAATACAAGTATGAATTTATTAATAATTCCTTCATCAAGAGATACAATTATGTTCAATGCAATTTTTATAGAAAATATCACCTATAATCGTTCTTGAACATGATCTTAGGCATCTTATCTAATCTGGCATAGCGAACAAATGAACATAAGCTTTTCGACGAAAGGATTATATTAAATTTTGGAAACAGATCTTTCTACTTCCGTCATGGAAACAATTTTGTTTCTATTTACAGTATTGTAGTGTCATCTTCACGAGATATTCGGTTACAGCTCGAGACGAATTCATGAATAAACTTATCGTGTACATGGGTTAACTACTGCTGCAATAGTTTTTTATGGTTTTTATTAAAATAAACATTGATGTTGTGATTCTTGGAACAGATAGAGGAGGAGATCGTTGACACACGTAAACTTTAACAGCTGCTTTATTACGTGGTACGGTATTGTACTATAAGTAATAGTATATTCATACTGATACAAATACACGACTATACGCCAAAATGATACCCTTGAAGACCGTCAGTTCCTTATTCTATGGACAATACACTGTATGAGTGACAGAAAAACAATTAATAGGCACATACGGTATCTTTTTATGCTGTTATTTTTACGCGTATTCGATTTCGTTCGAGAGACGTAACTAAGGACCCGGTTTCAGATCATGTACCGGATGCATATGTTTCTGTTACATTGTTCGGCAGTCGTATAAAACAAATTCATCATTTTGTAAGCACACCACGTACAATTAAATAACACGATGCGAGTATATACGCGTCAATCCGTCGATACGGTATACACGTCAAATATTGATAGGATAAAATCCGTAGGGATCTTAAGTTCTTTTTGTTTTCTTTTCACGACCGATATTTCTTTTCTCCAGAAGCGACATGAATCCAAAGTATTCATTGTGCACTGTCGGTTTTTCGTCACAAACCTCTTCGCTGATACAAGTGCAATGAAATTATCCTGAGCCGATAACATATCCTTAAGATGAAACCTCGATTTTAGGTTTTGTAACAAAAGATTACGCAGATATATCATACTCGCGATACGATTGGGAAAACAATATTTTTGCGAGGTTTCCGTCTTGGACGTCAGAAACTGTACAGTGTGTTTAAACTGCTCGATGGGAGTTCGAAATTTCGAAAAAAAAATTTCGCTCGTTCGCATATGAGCTCGCGGTAGCTGCAGGAAAAATATAACGACGACGATAATGACCGCGTGCACATCATTATAAGGACTGAACGCGCGATGATCACGAAGTTCGTGTGTAACTTGACGACGACTTGCACAAAACGGATCGTGTGAACTAGTTACAGGTCTCGTGTGCGCACGTACCGTGTACGTATTGTAAGTATTTATACGCTTGCGTGCGTGTGTTTTCCGGGACGGTTGTCATTACGCGCGCTCGGATTTGTACGCAACACAATGCTCGTATAAATATTTAGGCCCCCGGACTGCAGAAATCCAAAATCGCGTGTTTGCGTTTTTTTGTTATTTTATACTTTCACCAATCGGGTTTGCACACGCCACCGTCGATTGTTCTTTTTTTTCTTTTTTTTTTATGGTTCACGTGTATACGTACTACAGTCGATCCGTATACTTACGTAAACGCGAAAATCAAACCTACCCACATAATAACAGGTTGACTGTGGTGGGCGCACGTCGTGAGTATATTATAGCGCCTGACTTACGCGGTACTGATCGATCACAGGGTTTTCTCTTTTCGATGGCGTTTCTGGTGAGAATTTTTTCTTTTTTTCCAATCCCCTGAACGAAATGACCATGTTGTCTTCACAACACAGTTCAATAAAAATGTAATACATACCCATATTATAGGTTATTATAGGTTACAATGATTGAGAATCAAATGCCCCGTTAGTCAAAAATTATCGCATTGGTTGGCGATGTTCATGGATACTTTTAGAAAACAGATTTATATTTCTATATAATACTGTATTAAATCTAAAAAAAAAAAAACTGCCTACTTCAAAATTACCTATTTGAAATTAATGATAAATCGATTGTGTTCAGAACTAAATCTTGGATGAGATATTGAGTATTCAATGTGTCTTTAATACGAAAAAAAGTGAGATCGTCGTGTTGCTACATAGATCCATTAATATAATATACTGGGTTCTGTAGTAGGTACATGAAAAAGGCATAAGTCAATATTTTGTTAAAGAAACTACTTCTAGTTAGATAGTTATGCCATTGACGGATTTTAGACCTAACCTAACCTAACCCTAACCCTAACCAGGGGATGATAAGCACCCTCTCTATTTAATTTGGAATACCTAAAAATGTTGTTTAAAGAAGATTATTTTACCTTTATGAGAATAAGTTTTCAAGTTGTAGACTGAATGAGGTTATGAGTTATATAGAATTTAGATGATTTTTAAAGCATTTAATAAAAAAATTATATTAGTATTATAGTTTAAAAATTGAACACGTTCGCGTTCAAATTCTATGAAAAATTGAACACGTTCAAGTTCAGATTCTATGAAAAATTGAACGTGTTAACTTGGCCTTCCATTTATATATTTTTGTTTTATATTTATGAATCACTAACTTGCATTCTGTATAAATAAAACCTTTACAAAATGTAATAAGTATATTTTACTTTATAATAAATTTATGAACGTGCGTTTTACAAACAACATTATTTGCAAACACTGATTTTAATTAAATTTGTAAACCTAAATAAAAATAATACATATTTAATAAATACTATTTTGCTAAAAAACACATATTGGCTAGTACCTAAAAATTAATAATACAACATTAATAATTATTAATTACCTTAATAAGAAAAAGCTATTCTGAGTAAACCTGAAAGAGTGACAACCAAAAAAATAATTCTTCTTATAGTTTTACTGATAATCTCTATAAAAGCAACCACTATTCTTGAAATACAATTTGATCATTAAAAAGGTTGAACATTTGGCCTTGGCTTATTAGAATGTCTAACCATTGTATTATTAATTTGTAACAGCTCTAACCAAAGTATGTTTAAAATATTTTTTTTGTATGTTAATTTGTTGTTTCAAGAATGTGGCTTGAACAACGGTGCGATGAGCTATCGTCAGCCTAGAACAGTCAACGGAGGAGGAGCCAGCGTTGGGGGTTTCAAGTCTAGGTTGGTCAACGGCAAGGAGACCCAGAAAGGAGCTTGGCCGTGGCAAGTGAGTACACCTGTTGAATATTGAACAAGAAAAACTACCAAAGGAATAATTGTTTTTGAATAAAAATTTAATTTCTATTCATTTTTATACGAGTTTGTCCATCAAGAACAGTATCAGTGGCGACTCGTGCTATGGGGCACACGGGCACGTGCCCCACCTATAAAATTGAAAAAAAGAAGATGAATTTAAAATTGGATAGCTATTGGTATTTCTTTTAACCATCATAATATAGTTGGTAATTAGTATATTATTTGAAAATATTATCGAAAAAAAAAATTGTATCAAATACGGATGCTCCTACGTACATAACGATACTATATTATATGGTCATTAGGCGACGAGCACAAATTCGTTGTGCCCCGATCAACAGATAGATTTTCCCCACTTTTTGGTAATAATTAATACGGGTTGCCCGAATTCTATTTTTATAACGTTTTATGAGATTTTGTGGGTCTTATCGTATTCGTATTGTTATCGTAGACCGTCTTCCGTGGCAAAGAACATTGCAAAACAACAACAAGCAAATTGCTTATCGTAGATTAAAGGAACATGATAATTAATTATCATTATTTGTTCATTCTTTTATTTAATTAAGACGATTAATTTAATTTGACGGTGCTCTTTTTTATACGTTACAATTTTTTAATAGATACCTAATTTATTAAATATTTTTTAATTAAATTTAATAAATTCATCAAAGTATTCATGAAGAAAAAAGACAGACAAATCGATTTAGAATTCAAAAATATTACTGATTAACTGTATAATTATATTCATGATTTATTTTAAAACCATAATTTTCTTATTTTTAGATTTTTTATTATTTTTTGTACAACATATATCATAAATGTATACTAAAAGGATTTTATATATAAACAATTTTATTATATTAAAAAAATCAACATAAATTGTTGGTAAATTCAAAGTTTAGATAGTGAAAAAGGAGGAAAATTATGGTGTTCTACCTTTAATGAACCCCACAGGCCGCCACTTAGCAGTATTCATAAAAGTAGTCTTCCTCATGTTTAAAATATTACTGATCATAAAACTGATTTTGTTAATCAAATAATTTCTGGATTTTTAACCTGATTTAGAAAAAGAACTGTTAATAATGAAAAGTTCTGAAAAATAATTTTAACTTATATCCTTAAAATAAATCAAATAGATTAGGTATACTTAATTTTTATTTGAACATTCTTAATCTCAAATTTTTTTTTTATTTCTATATCAGTAAAGAAGGATTCAAAATATTATCAACTATATAAAAACCAATAAAAAATATGTTAGTTTTTATATTAAAACATGAACACAATTTGTCATGGTTACAGAAATGTTATAACTTAAAAAAACAACAAATTGTAAAATTTAATTATAAAAAAGGTATGCCAAATAGAATATTGGTAAATTATAAATAGTTATTAAATTTCAATGATACTACATTAAATTTAATAATATGAAAGATTAGTAATAATTATAAATTATAAAAATAAATAAATTATAAATTAATATTTGGAAATAGTAATAATAGTTATTTTTTTTCAATATTTTGTTTAATCACAAGATTTAAAAACCATAATATAAAATTTTAATGCTAAGGTATATGATTAACAATTAATGCAATTTAAAGTTGGTATCTAACAATACGTCATTTTATTTAGCTTGTTCCCCAAATAGATAATGGTTTTAATAAATTTATTATTTTCCTCCAGGTATCATTACAGTTACTTCACCCAGCATTTGGTTTTGTTGGTCACTGGTGTGCAGGAGTACTAATCCAACCTACTTGGGTTTTGACAGCGGCTCACTGCATTCGAAAGTAAGAGATAGTTTTTCAATAGATTTGAAATATGTGACTGATTATAAAATATAACTTTGGTATTCAGTGAAAAGTTTAGCCTACCGTTGGCAGCTCTTTGGACAGCTGTACTGGGGGACTGGAATAGAGATATAGAAGAGCACACTGAAGAGCGTATACCCATCGACGAGATAGTTATTCATGACAAATTTCACAACTACCAAAACGACATAGGTTAATACTGACATTTTGAAAACTGCTTTTTTACTTTTACTGGTACTAAATATTTGGATTTCGTAGCATTAATGAAATTGTCTAGGCCGACAAATATCACCAATACAAATATACGATGCTTATGTTTACCACCATCGGCCAATGACATTCCAATTCCTAAGGTATGTGTCACGACCGGCTGGGGTAAAGTCAAACCAAATGGACCGTTGTCGGGTAAGCTGCGGCAAATAAAAGTTCCAGTGCATAACACATCTGTTTGTAGGGATAAATATGGGCCAGTGGTGCCTATAACTGATGGTCATTTATGTGCTGGCAGAATGGATGGCAAAATTGGAGGCCCATGTGTGGTATGTTGAACAAGTAATATTATTTATTCAAGTAGTATGATCAATAAATATTTTGCAGGGAGATTCTGGAGGGCCTTTGCAGTGCTCAGGTCCAAATGGTAGATGGTTTTTGGCTGGTCTGACATCATTTGGCTCAGGATGTGCCAAACCAGGTTATCCAGATGTATATACAAAGCTATCATTTCATTTGTCATGGATACTTAAGCAAACAAAAAAGTATGCAGAAGAAAGAAAACAATGAACAGTAGAATTCAACATCAATAGCAGTTATAACTAAATAACAAAATAATATAAAATATGTAATGATCAGACTAGGTAAAGGTTATGTCAGTTGTGATTTAACCCGTGGTCCACACAAATGGTTCCAATCGTTCACCTGGGGGTAGTTTGTTATTCAATAACTGAACATAGTCTAATGTTTTATTCAACAATAAATGACATGCATTCAATTGTTTATTCATGTCATTAATGCACTTGAATTGCTCATTGACTTTGGCAAAATGTTTATATGAAGTCACATATACATTTAATATTCTTGTAGTTTCTTCATCAAGCTGCAAAAAACCAAATTAAGTTATTGTGTTCTAATAATAATATTTATAATTAATAATAATTCAACTATTCATTCTGTTGTTTTAGTAAAATCTTACCTCTACAATTTGTTTATTTATTAAAATTTGATCTGAAGTCACTGCTGTGGCACAACGACTCATATATGCTTGATACAGTTGACATAGTCTATATAATGCATTAGAATCAATTCGCTCTAATGCTTCTCGATCTCTAGCTGCTGGCAAAGACACAGTACCTCTCATTATAGGTAAAAATGATGGTACTTGCTGAAATTGTTTAAATAATAGCATCAATAATAGTATAAATTATTTTTCACTAAGTACTTTATAAAATAAGGTTTGCTTATAATTTTAAACTAAGTAAAGATAAAAATAATTAGTAAATTATATTAGCAATTATTTGTTATTAGATAAAACTAATATGAAAGATTAAAAAACATAAATTATAAAGATTATAAGATACTTTATTTAAGATGTTTTTGATTATATTTTTGTTAATGACTAAATGTTAAAAATTTTGAACTAGATATTACAAATTTTCTATCACATTATTATTATGTAATCAAATTTTCAAATTGTATATTTATGTATAAATTGAATATCATAAGTTAAAATGTTGTTATAAGTCTGTTTGTAAAATACATTTTTATTTATTTTTAAAAATTAATATAGATCATAAGCTAAAAGTAACAATGGATTTAACAGCAAAACATACTTTATTATCTTTAAATTATAAAGATGATTTAATTGAAAAGTACTTTCTATGAGTACATCATTATTTTGATGACTAGAAGTGTGGTAGTATGCAATAGAATTAAATTATACCATATGATCAAATGTATAATAAAACATTATATAATATATACATTTAAAAATGATACATGACTTATTTCATACTTAAACAGACCACATAATTTACCTTCAATCTAAACAAGTCTTCGTCCATATTAGGATTTTCTTGCACAGGTGCCCTGACAACAACAATGTTGTGTTTAGGCGTGGTCTTAGAAGTCTTTTTTGCGGACCGCTGAGATTCCACCTGTACTGATCGTCCTCTACTTATGATGCTGGGTTTCTTAGGCGAATCTAATTATGAATCAATCATAAAAATCAAGTATTAGTACTTCGGTCAAGTAAAGCATTAAAAATAATATATACCTCCAATTGGCCTGTTGACAGTGTAAGAAATGTATGGCAAATCGACATCGCTGCACACACTATGGCCTGGTGATGTATTCGCGCTTGCTGCCCTACTATGCTGGCTATCCTGAGAGTTACATGGCCATGAGCTCTCGGGCACCGATTTACCTCGTTTTAGCTTCGAGTTTTTCGAGCCCGACTCGGAGGCGTTGGATTGCGAGCTCTGTTCAGATCCCATTTCACACAAATATAACTAATGGTCTTCCTACCGCGAACGAAGAAGAGTGTCACAGGTGGGGCATGGTCTGCTTCTGGAGCTCTACCACAGCATTCGTCCACGTCTTATTATTCTTGTATTTTAGTATGGAATTATATGGAGATAATAGTTGACGAAAATAATATTACTATAATTATTTATTATTTGGTATTCTCAATGATATGAATTTATTTTGTCTCTGCGATAACACTCATAGAAAAGGGGTATATACGCAATCGATAAGACCAACACCGTCGTTATCATTTTTTTGTTATCATAAATAAAATTGTTATCATAAATATAATTTTATCATCAATTATAAATTTATAATAAATTATATTTTATTTGTAACTATGTTATATTAAGATATAACATCTTCACTCTTTACATGAAATGTATGTTCCAATTCTAACTTTTTTATTTAGTTTTCAGAATATACAGTTTGAGCAGTGGAAAGTGTATTATAAATATGCTTGACAAATGGTTCAGGTCTTCCATGTAAAAATTTAGGTATAGCATCAGAATTTTTTTTTATACTCTCCTGTAAATTTTACATTTTTTAAATGATATTTTCTTAATGATTCTGGTAAGAGTTGATCAATTATGATTTCTATAGTACTATTTAGAGAATTATCACTTGTTAATTTTAAAATTATTAATTTTTGAAAATTCAATAAATAACTATCTAAACATTCATACTTATTTTAATAAATTACCTTCATATTTCACCGATTTTGCCAAAACCTAATCCTGATAAACGTGTAATAAATAAATTTAAATCATTAGTTTCACCTTGAAGAGAAATATTATTCACTATATTTGAATTGTTTAGGATATGTTCCAGACTGTTGAAATATCTAGTATCTTCCATTTTAATAAAAATAATAATTTAAAAAACCGTACCAAAGAAAATTAAAAAAAATTATTTAATCAAAAAAACTAAGTTTCATTAAACATGTACGTATCATATTGTTACAAATAATCTTTCTTCTTTTTCAGTATTCAATCCTGAGATTGGTTTGTAGCAATTCTCCACTCTTCTCTGTTACTTGCCTTCCTCTTTGTCTCTTTATAAGAAGTACACCCTTGGTCCTCTATTATTTGTTGCATATATTCCATTCGTGGTCTTCCCCTAGCGTTTTTTCCTTCCACGCAGCCTTCTATGATTAGTCCTAGTAACCCACCATGTCTTAATACATGTCCGATCCATTCATTTCTCCTTTTCTTGATATTACTCCATAAAGTTCTTCTCACGGACATTCTTTTTAATACTTCCTCGTTTGATACCATGTCCGTCCAACTTATTTTAAGCATTCTTCTGAAACACCACATCTCGAAAGCTTCTATCCTATTCCGCTCTGCTTTGGCAATCGTCCACGTTTCGCTGCCATACAGCATTATACTCCATACGTATGTCATCAGAAGATTTATTCTGGTGCGAACGCTAATACTTTTTGAAGTAAAAAGTCCTCTTTTTTTGTTAAATGCTATTTTAGCTTGACATATTCGCGTAGCTATTTCTTTTTTACTTCTGCCATCTTTACTTACTATGCTTCCCAAGTATGAGAACTCTGTTACTTGTTTAATTTCTTGATTATTTTGCAGATGTATTCTTATCGTAATATTATTGTTTCTGCTGCATACTAGAACTTTGGTCTTTTGCGTATTTATTTTCATGCTCAGTTCATTTATCAGAGTTTCTTCCATACATCTCAGCATCCTTTGTAATTCTTCTTCATTTTCCGCTTTGACTGCTATATCATCTGCAAACCGTAAAATATCGATTTTCCTGCCATTTATCTTTATACCCAATTGTATTTTCTCTCGTATTATGTCAATTGCCTCTTGGATGTATGCATTGAATATGCTAGGTGAGAGATTACAACCCTGCCTTACTCCTTTTCTTATGCGTGCTTCTTCCTCAGTTTCACCAAATCGTATAACAGCTGTTTCCTTCTGGTATAGTTTAAAGAGTAGTCTCCTTTCAGTGTATTCTATACCCGCTCTTTTGAGTATCTTGAACATTATTGCCCAGTTTACATTATCAAAAGCTTTTTCTATATCAACAAAAGCTATGTATGTAGGCTTATCTTTTCTAATTCTTTTCTCGATAATGTTTCTTAAAGCCAATATTGCTTCCCTCGTGCCCATGTTTTTTCTGAACCCGAACTGGTCTTCTGACAATATGGCTTCAATCTTATATTCCATTCTTCTTGACATGATTATTGTCAGTATTTTTGACACATGTTACAAATAATAATAAAGTGGAATATCCCATTCATATCAAGTTATCTTCACTAATATAGTTATATATATTATCCTTTGTTTTTTGGTACACAGCTACATTGACTTCATAATAATTATTAAATCAACTAGGATAATCAAAAATAGTTTTAAAAGCATTAGAAGTTTTTAAAGTATTTTAATTAAAAAGTTAACTACTACATAGTAAGTTTACTTTAATGGAGATCTAATTGCCTATTATTTGACTATTTAAGTAAGATAAACGGTTAATTAGTAAATTAATTGTAATGTATTGTTTAGGCACCTATATTACATTTTTAAATTCTTTATAGTACTACTGTTACTCAACTATTAATTTTAATCGCAGGCCGCATCAATTTTCTTATACCTACCTATTCTTATATTGAAAGATTAAGCCTTTAAATTATAAATAAATAAATACAGAGAAAACAAAAATATTGAGAACAACTTGACTGCCTACATTATTTAACAAAACAATTTTGAATTTATATCTTAATATTACATTGTAACAAATAAAATAATGTTATTCATTTATTATAAATTTATAATTGATAATAAAATTATAATTATAACAATTTTATTTTTGATAACAACAAAATGATAACGACGGTGTTGGTCTAATCCAAGATCTATAAAGATCCATATTCTTAGATTTAATTTCAATTCTAATTAATTTTAATTTAGATCTAATTTCAATTTCTTAGATCTATATTCTTTATAGATCTTGGGTCTAATCGACTGCGTATAAACAGACCTATAGAAAAGACGAGCGGATCAAAACTGCCCTGATCCATGCACATTATTATCAATTCTCCGTCATCACTGTAACATATAACATATTTGGGGGCTTAGGTCAGTTCTCCTCATTGATAAGAAATAAAAATGAAGTTTCCAAATTCATTGACGCCAACGTCCAAAAAAAAAAATTCTCTCCAATCTAACCTCTACAGTGTCATTAACATAATAACAAAAAAATACCTGAATTTCAAATTTATTTATTTTCAAATTCAAATTTCAAAACCAATATTTTTGAAAAAATTAAAAACCGGTCTGTTGTTCCATATATGAATAATCACAAAATATTATAGCTTGAAACTTAGTATAGTTAATAGTTCGCAATAAATTACATACGAGGCAAAAATAAATGATTGCGGGATGTCGCGGCTAACGACAAGTTTTTATTTAAAAGTAAATTGTGTCTTTTATCGTGAGACTTTGAAGTTATTATAATCTAATTTGGTTTTAAACTATAAAATGTTTGTTTTGTCATTTTTTTCCTAGTAAATTGGGAAAATCAAATCCTAGTGTGTGTTCTGAAGCGTTTGTGGTGATAGAACACTTTTGTAAAGTAACAAGATGTTTCTGTACTTATCCTGTACTCATTATCGTGGTCACCAAAAGGAGAATTTAATAAGTTTTAACCGAAAGGTATCGATATTTACTCTTTGACGGCCTGAGACTCAATAATCGAAATATATCTGTTATATGTCAAGCCTTTGCGTGGCGAATACGACAGGTCATACTGTAAAATACTATAAGTAGATCTATGTGAAAAATGTTCGTAAGGTCATCAGGTGATCGACAAAACGCGTATGAAAATGTAAAATTTCTAATTGTTTGTCATATTTAAAAAAAAAATTGTTAAAATAAATTAAATTTCCACTTTTATTATTCACATCTGCTTAGATTATTTATTTTGAGTATTTGAGATACAATATGTGATTGTTCAAAAAGTGGTAGTGTGCTAATTGCAATAAATAATAAATTCTATTCTCGTATGTTACCCTTACCTCCCTGTTCCGTAGAACATTTATTTGTTATTGTCAAAATTAATTTCGTTTACTATATTTTAGGTAATACTTATTTTCCTCCTCGCCCACCTATAACGTTATACAATAAAAATTCGATATTATTAATGATCTATTAATTTCCTATCCCTACGTTAAAAATAAAATTTTAGTAGGTGATTATAATACGCCAAACTTAAAATGGCAATTCACTTCTCCTTCCTGTTCACCTAACTATTTAAATTTAAATCAATTGTCAGTAGACTTTCTATCTAAAATTTCATTTTTAAGTTTATCCAAATTCAATACTGTTTTAAATAAAAATAATACCATTCTTGATCTAGTTCTTTCTAATATTGATAATATTACAGTTTCTAAATTTACGACTCCTCTTGTTCCTTGTGATGTTCACCATCCATCTTTACTTATAATTATTCCTATTAATACTTATAAGCCAATTTATTATAATTTATTTACTTATGATTTTTTCTCGTGAAATTACTCTGATATCATTAAATGCTTAGGCTTAATAAGTTGGGTTGAAATATTTTCAAATCTTAATGTAAATGAAGTTATAAATTTATTTTATTCTATTATTTATGAAATTATTGATGTATTTGTTCCAAAAAAAAATAATAACTCGTCAAAAATATCCTATATGGTTTGGTTTTGAACTAAACAATTTAATATTTAAAAATAAAATAGCTCATAAAATCTTTAAAAACTGGTGCCATTAACAATTATAATAAATTCTCAAATTTACGTGTCCAGTATAAAGCTCTCTCTAAATTAAATTACCAAAATTATTTAAAAAATATCCAGGAAGATTTTAAACATCAACCATCCAAATTTTGGAAATTTATTAATGAAAAATGCAAAAAAACATTTCTACCTGACTGTATGTATTTAAATAATTCTAAATTTAACTCTCCAAATTCTATTGTTGAAGCCTTTGTTCAACATTTTGCTATTGTTTTTGAACATTATGATAACTCAAAATATACTGATCTAAGTGCAGTTTCTCCGAATAACTCATTGCTAGCACCTTTATTTTCATTTAAAATCACCTTAATCGAAGTTTTTAATGCTTTAAATAACCTTAGTTTAAAGTGTGGTCCTGGACCTGATTTAATTATAAGACAGTCTTATCAACAATGTAAATTTGTTCTCTCTTCTCCTCTACTTTATATTTTTAATTTATCTTTATCTAGTGGTATTTTTCCTGATAGATGGAAAACAAGTATTATCCTTCCTATTCCTAAGACATCATATGACTTATCAAATATTTCTAATTACAGGCCTATTTCTTTACTTTCAACTGCACCTAAAACATTCGAATCTATTGTGTCGGATATGATAACTCCTGAACTTGACAGAATTATTGTTGACGATCAACATGGTTTTAGACCGTCCAAAACAACTACTACTAATTTACTCACCCTTCAACATTCCATAATTGATGCTTTTTCTGTTGGTTTACGTATGGACGTTATTTATACGGATTTCGCTAAAGCTTTATATAAAGTTAATCACACTATTCTTTTACATAAATTAAAATATATTGGCGTATGTGGTCCTCTTCTTCAATGGATTGAGTCTTACATTTCACAGCGTACTCAAATTGTTGTTTATAAAGAATTTCAGTCAAAACCAATATTAGTTACTTCGGGTATTCTTCAAGATTCTCATCTAGCCCCAATTCTATTTCTATTATATATTAATGATATTACCTTTAAAACTACAGTGTAATAAAAAATATAATACATGTATATTTAAAATAATTCTCACTAGAAAACTTTTGTCTTTTATCCAATATTTAAATTATTAATAAATTGAATGTACATCATTGAATACATACATAAATTAATTACCTTAAACCTTATTGCATTTGCAATAACTGAAGTAACATTAGACACATGCCAAATATTAACATACATATTTATATTGTCAAATATGATTTAGAGATTATATTAAGAAGACACTCGCATCGCGAAGCCAACCAGTGAATGTATTGGTTGGGCACTGCAAATATAGATACTTTCGAAGGGGATCTTAAATGTTAAGGTTATTAGAAACCATGTCCGGGTCAACTATTCCATAGGAACGGTGTATAAAAGGTAGTCCCGTACAGACCAATATTCAGATGTGTTTTAGTCCGATTTTAGTAAACACTCACGCCAGTATAATTGTCAATTTAATTAAATACTTATAATTAGAATATTTCAATAAATACAGTTTAACTTAGTTTGAGTATCTCTACTGAAATTATCATAACAAACATCCATATATGAACTGTAGAATTGACTGCACGCAATGAATTAAAATTAACCAAATTCATTCAAATTTAATAACTTACTGAAAGACCAGAGAAACTAACCACACATAGTAAAGCAAGTTAGGTTTCATTTTACAATATGTATATGATAATACTAGTAATGAGGAAAACATTTTTAGCTGAAGAACAACATCATTAAGATTTTAATGACTAGTAAATATTATGAATTTTAATTAAGAAATTGCAGTAGAAACTTAAGTTAAATTAGGCCTACCTTGTAAAACTATCTACTTCTGAAATACTGAAGAAATATTACTTAAAATTAAAAAAAAACATGTGTATAATAGTCAACTTGATTTAACAATAACTATTTGTACATATTACAAGGTAAAAAAAAACAATAATAAAATTAGTTTACAATATATAAAAACAATAAGATTGTAATATTTTATAATATATTAGGATATGGCCGGATTTGTCGTTGAACATAACCATCATTACGGTGACCAGTTCTCCTCAAAAACATCAATAAGTCACCGTTTTGATTTAGCTGCTGTACGCATTCTCTTATCATTATAGATGTATTTTCCCTCTCTTTTTTGCATATTTAATTTCTAATCTAGTACAGTACATAAAATTTAAAGAAATGAACCATAATTGAAACACAAAAAATATGTATAAAAAAAAAAAAAATCAAATTATTACTTTAAAGCCATCTTTGCACTATTGAAATTCTATAAAGATCTGATTCTCAACAACAATCAACAATCAGCTTTTCTGTTGAAAAAAATTAAAATATTAGTATATTTTAGGGTTAACAATTATAAAACATTTTATTATCATGCAAGTATGACTAACATACAATTAATTAAGCATACATATTAGACATACAATTAAGATTTATAACAATACATTCATAAACAATGAGTAATAGTATTTGAAGTAATAATTATTAAAACTACTCAACACCAGATTAAGCATGTCAAGGCAATAGCGCAGTTAAAGCAAATAGAGAAAATATTGGATAATAAAAATAAATTATATGTAATATTATATCTAAAATAAAATATCTAAAATACATATTAGTTTATCTGGCAGATATTATCATAATAAAATGTTATTCACCTTTGTATAATGAAACCAACAACATACTAATTGACTATTTGGAAATATTTCCTTGATAGCATTCATAAGAGCAGCTCGTTCATAATCAGTGACAAAACTGATTCTATTATAACGAAGAGGTAAAATATTGCGTATTACTGTTAATAGTGAAGAGTAAGTTTCTTGTGTTTCACTCCTCAAAAGGGCATAGTCCATTGGAAATTCCTAAATGAAAAATAAAACGTATTAAATCATATCTTAACTGTATATTAACAGTATTATAACCAGAAGGTATTGCTTACAACATCTTTGTAGAGTACTTGAAATGTAAGGAAAGATTGTAAGGCCCCTGGCACTTGAGGAACAGTTTTATATGTGGGATCTACTCGAACCAGCTCTACTGAAGTTAACTCTTCGCGATATCTATAGATCTCATCAATGTTGGCAGAAACAACTGCTACACTAATATCATTCACAATTAGTTCTTGTTGAAAAAATGTTAAGGGTATAATTTGAAATGTGGATGATTTGCGGTATTTTTGGTCTCCGCAACCTTTTCATCTTTTTCAACCTTTCTGAGGACTGGATGTACGTATACTTTGTAGCTGCTTCTTAGTGTTTACCAAAATTACAGTTCAATTACAAATTACAATTTAAAGAACACTGTTAGTCAATTGTTAGCAAATAAATATATTAATGATAAAATAATGATTTTAATAGTATTATAAAACATAACAAAAATTAAATTAATCTAATCATAGAAAATTGTTCTAAATTTTTATTTTGTATAAAAACATGCTACAAGAAAAGATCATTAAAATTTAATATCTTTAAATCCTAACATATCTAGTAAAATAGAAGCGTATTAAAATAATTAGTTTCATTTGAGTTATAATTTTATAACTCTGACATTGCATACACATAACAATGATTATACAATAAAAGTAAACTTACCTAATTATTTCACTGTTATAAATGTGTTATGTGCACCACAGCATATTATAGTATATTATTATTATACTTATTATTATTATTATTATTATTATTATTATTGTTAAGTATGTATATGTTAATATATGGGGACAAATGCTGACTATGCGTTTGTCCATTTTATACATACATGCCTGACCACTCGTTATCGAGCAGTCAGTCGTGTAACAACCAAGCAATTGTAAAATCGTTCTTTCTGTATTATAATTTTCAGCGACTCAATAAAATAAATACTTTTAATAAAATTGTTGAATTGAGAACTTCCTCGTGGTGTTTTTTTTTCTAAAGTGCGAACTTAAAAAACGTTACTGTAGTGCCAACGGACTCTATCGAGTTTACCCGATCTGGCATACAACAACTGATGGCAGCGGTGCTCTTTCGAAACAACAACTCGAGGAATTCTACAGCATAACAAATTAAATCAATCTAGAGATAAATCGATGAAACCGACGATTATCCGGTAAGCGAACATAATATTTCTGGAAGAACATTGCGTTAAAATATATTATAAATTAAAATATTACGTTTTATACGTAATCTACTTATAACACACACAACACGTACACGTACGTAAAATATTACGACAAGTGGTGCAGCAACGAATTTTGTCACCATCAGCAAAATTCTTGGGCGTGGCATTCGGTCACAACGGGTACAACATGCGGAGGCGCTTAAAAAAAAAAAAACAACAACTGAGGAAAAATTCTTTTTTTTCTTCCTTCTCTCAGGGAGGACTACGTGCCCACTAACCAAGACCCTCTTGTATACATCGTAAGAGGCGCTAATACAGGCGCAGTCATCATCGTTGTCCACGACCGTGAAATATACCACGAGTATATAAACACTACATTATACGCGTCCGTTGTACAATATACACACCGCCGACGTCGTCAATAATACAATACACATTTCGGGGCGTAGAACGTCTAAGAAGTTACTTCAAGACATCGTGGGACTTCCTTTACAAACAGTGGTATCAAGGAGAAATCAGTCAACCATCGTCAACGAAAAACTTCAGCAGACATGTACGGACCAGCGATAACAGAAATAATATTAACAACATTACTAATCAGCAGCTTAATTCAGAAAGGATTAACGCAGTTCACAAATAACGTTATTCAACAACCTTCCGGTATCTACTTCCAATCTATTGGACAGATGTACTTGACAAATTCAAATTGGCGACTATTAACTTACGTGAATATCTCTAACTATAATGAGAAATACCTTCAAATCCACGAGATCGTACAACAGATTGAACAATCCTGTCAATTAGGAAAAGACCTGGAAATAGAAGCTAGCGATAATCCGTGTATTCATTACAACCAGCAATCGATGAACTTCTTAAACGAAATCAACAATAACAGAAATAATGTCATTAGAATCATTGAACAGCCAAGCACAAATGTACTGCGCTTCAGAAGAAGTCTTATAAACTTGATAGGACGCACAGCTAATGTGTTATTTGGTACATGTGATGACCAAGACGCTGAATATTTTTGTAAGAAGATCCGAGAACTCGAAAGTGCAAAAGCACAACTTCTACAGGTAGCAGAGACACAAATTAACATTGTTCAGTCGATAGTAACTAATGTAAACGACTCTCTTATTCAAATAGAAAAAATAGAGGGATCATTAAAAGAAAAATACAATCATCTACTGCACGAAGTCCAAGTACAGAAAGCCGCAATCGGGATGGTAGAATTTAAAACTGCTTTAACACAAAAGATTTCTTTATTGAATCTTATTCTAACCCAATATGCTTACGAAACAGAGACACTGGAAAATATTGTAAATACTGCTTTACAAGAATTTGTACACTCCAATATCATTAACATCAATAGCATAGTACAACAACTAAGAGAAATAAAGTCAAACCTACCCTTAGGATTAAAATTACCTCCTAATATTGATAAAATCGGATTGTCTGATCTGATGCGGTTGGTTGATATTAGCGTAGTTTATGTACAAAATGTATTAATCTTTACTTTGGAAGTACCATTAATTAATAATTATGACTTTATATTGTATAAGATATTACCATTACCTGTTAAAATAAAAAATGATTTATATGCTATTATAGAATCCACATCAGATTATTTAGGATTAGGAAAATCTAGATTATATTATATACAAATGACATTGCCCGAATTAACAAATTGTAAAAGAAGCGTAGAATTGTTTATTTGTCCACATGAACAACAAATTCATCAATTAGATGACACTTGTGAAATGAGGATTTTTCGAAATCCACGTTCATTACCAAATTCATGTATTATTAGATATGTTAAGTCAAACGTAAATATATGGCATAGATTAGAAAAAACAAATTCTTGGGTATATGTAACTAATGGGGAAAACGTTTTGGTAAAATGTGAAAATATAAGTACACCCACCAATCACTGTAAATATAAATGGTACGGGTGTATTTACTTTAGAAAATTATTGTGAAGCAAACACTGATGACAATAATATTTTAATGCCTAAAAGGTTAATTGTTTCCAAAACAAATGCAGATTTTGTACCTCAATTAAATTTTACTATAAATTTTCAATCACATATCAACCTAGCAGATAAAATTTCAAATGAATCACTTTTTGTAAAAGAAAATAGAATAAGAGATAACTTAATAAAATTAAACGAGAATGCAAAATCAATAAAGGAACTACACAGTAAATTGCAGGAAACACATAATGATGATGCAGAAAAACAGCAAAGATTTTTTTATAACACAATTTCATTAATAACAATCATCAGTGTAGTAGTGTATATTAGATTTAAGAATATTTGTCATAATGTTGAAAAAAATATGATACAAAAGATATACGAAGATGTAAACACACCTAACCTAACTGTGAAAGTCCATTGCCTAGGATAGTTCAACTTTTCAATAGACAATGAACTTTCATTTAGTGCTGGGGGTGTTATGTGCAACACAGCATATTATAGTATATTATTATTATACTTATTATTATTATTATTATTATTAGTATTATTATTGTTAAGTATGTATATGTTAATATGTGGGGACAAATGCTGACTATGCGTTTGTCCATTTTATACATACATGCCTGACCACTCGTTATCGAGCAGTCAGTCGTGTAACAACCAAGCAATTGTAAAATCGTTCTTTCTGAATTATAATTTTCAGCGACTCAATAAAATAAATACTTTTAATAAAATTGTTGAATTGAGAACTTCCTCGTGGTGTTTTTTTTCTAAAGTGCGAACTTAAAAAACGTTACTGTAGTGCCAACGGACTCTATCGAGTTTACCCGATTTGGCATACAACAAATGCTTAGAACTGACGATGTTGTAATTGTATGATCAAGATCTCTTTCACTGATTGCATCCCTCAAGAATGGTACATATAAGTCAAAACTAAGTAATTATTATTATTAGATTATTATTAAATATAATCGCTGAAATTTTTTTCATGAAATAATCGCAGGTGATAGTGTTAAACAATAACCAATGTGATAATGATTTATAATTTTAAAATGTAATCAGTAAACCGTTAAATACATAATATACATAAACACAGTATAGCCTAATTCTTTGGCGTTAAATTCTTGGCAGTAAAAATTTTGATTCCGAACAGTTGGTGTTTCATGATAAAATGTTTTTTTATCATTTTTATCTCTTATCAATGAGGTGAACTGACCCAAGCCCTTTTTTTGGTTGATGCTCTTATCATATTACTATATTATCTATATTATGTGTATTATGTACTAGAGATGGGACTTATTGTTCATTAAGGTCAACTAGTTCAGTCGTTCATCGTTCACTAAATTGAACTAGTTCATCGTTCATATATTTGAAGATTCGTTCGTATGAATACGTTCTCCGTATCAAAGAATTGTTCATGAACGAACTAGTACAATAATTATTACTCTGTATCGATGAATCGTTCATGAACGATTAAGATATTAGCTTGTACAAAGTGAACGGTGAACGAGTCGTTCATCAAAAGTGAACTAGTACGAAACCGGTTACTTGGGTGAATAGTTCAATTGAACTAGTTTGTTCATGAACATCATATCTCTATTATGTACAATAAATAATTGTTATTGTTGTGTGATATAACCACAAATTATATGAATAATAAATAATATTATAGACATTATAATATATTATTATAAAATGATGTATATAATATATATCTGTATTATACAATGGTGGTGGCACTAGTGATGAACCAGTCCCTTGATTTGTTGTAAGTGGATACAAGTTACACTAACATTTTGTATCTAATTAATTCTCATGACAAAAATAACAAGATTTAGATAGGTACTTTGAAATTTACTCGTTTTATGTTTATTTCTTCATGAAAATACTGATATCTACCACTAAATATTAGTTTGTATGAGGTGTTCACGAAAAAAAGTGTACAATGTAAAAACACATTTCAATTACTATTTGGGATTGAACGTCAATGTTCTGAAAAATATGTACTAATAATTCAAATGCTTGGATAAATAATACTTTTTCTAAATATATTTAATGCATTTACCTGATTTTATAAGTAAATCAAATTTTGATATTAAATAATAAATCAAATGATCAAATTAATATTATAATTCTATTTTTATGAAAGAGTTAGCTAATATTTATTTTTGTTACATTTATGGCAACAGTTTTCGCTATTATGTTTTGTTATTTTATTCATATTACACAATAGAGTTAATAATTATACAAAATAGAACTAAACGGTAACAACAATAATAATTATTTTTTTGTACATAATACAGTAATATAGATGATATAGTAAAATGATAAGAGCATCAACCGAAATTGAATTGATAATAATGTGCATGGATCAGGGTGGTTTTGATCCGTTCGTTAGAAAAGGGGTCGTTATCACAGATTGTTTTATATATCTGTGTCTGTAACTTATTACGACACCACAACATTTTTATCATTATGCAGTCATTATCATTTGTTGTTATCAAACAAATATCTGTTATTTAAAATAAGCACGGCAATTCGTATTTTGATTTTTGATGGTTGAAATCCAGTTAACTCGACATTTAACTTTATACAATGTAGGTCGTAAGTGCAATGAAATATATTGTAGTACACAATGCCATTGATGCTATTAAGATAAGACCAAATAATTTATGACTTGAAATAATATGTAGTATTCCAAAACTGTTAAATATAATAGGTAATTTATTACAGTACAGTACTGTTATACTTCCATAGTTCTATGAAAAATATCCAAATATAAGAACATAAACAATGAATTGTTAGAAAACTGGTATTTATATTTTCCTAGTAAATTGACAAGAAAAAATCTTTCTTCAAATCACTTTAGTACATAGTATAGTTTACTTTTATGAATAAGGAAACCTATTTAACCATTGCCTTATATTCATCACGAGTGGCAGTGACTCTTTTAATGATTTAAAATCAATATTAATTAATGCAGTGAACTGTTATGCAAAAATAATTGGGGAGGCGGATAATTCTGAGCTTTTTTTTTAAACAAATTAATATATTAGGTTATGAATTTGTAAAAAGCAAAACAACAAAATATTATGGTAATTATTATTTGTACTTGAAATTACAAACAAGTCTAGTATTGTAAAAAATACTTTTAAAAAGTATTTGAGTAAATGCTCAAATATATTTTTTTTTCATGTAATTTTAACAATATTTTATTAATATTTGACATATTATAGTTTAGTAGGTTTCTTATTATTTAATTTATTTATTAAATAAATATTCATTGCATTTTAAAAACATAACCGTAATACAAACTAATTTATTTGTTTATTTAATTTATACGGGTTTTACGCCGCCGGCCAATGGCGCACACAGGATTCTTTTTTCGGAGTGGAGGCCAAGGTAAAAATATAACACATTTTACAATTAACAAAATTATGCAAATCCTTAATAAATTTTGACTTAAATAATAGCATTAATAATTGAATAGATTATTCTATAATCAATGATATGAGGTATTCAATACTTGCTCTTTAATTCAATAGTATTCAATACTAGAACGTTTACGTTGTTGACCTTGTAATTAATTTAAAGTGTTTGTATTACGATTGCGTACGTTTTACATTCCTAAATTTAGTGCAATGTTGCCATTGTTTGGAGCCGTAAACATTTGTAATGTAACTTACAGGGATTCAAAACGTTATATAAAACGTTATAATTTATAACGTTATAACGGAAAAAAAAATTAAAATAAATAAAGGAAAAACGAAAAATGTCGAATAACTTTATAAATAATATATTATTAATCATAATTAATGATTAAATATAAACAATAAATGTGTTAGTAACGTAAAAAAATTGCAAATAAAGTTATGTGGAAAAAAATCTGTCCTTTTTTACTTTGAATCCAACATAATTTTTTTTTTAAAATATATAGTTATGAACAATTCAAAGTTGGCTGTGTTGATAATAATTTATATTTTCCGAATTATTTTATGAAGGTTTATTTATAAATATTGAATTTCTTACTTGATAAGAAAATAGATACCTATTCAACTAATTGTCCATTAATGTTCGATTTAATTGATGAAAAATGCAGGTGTGTTATTTGGAGTATTATTTAATGTAAGTAATTTCATGTTGCTAGACAGTTGAAGATATTTTGTCGTGAATTGAGATAACCCTTTAATTCCATAATAATTATATTTATATATATATATATATATATATATATAAAAATTTAATTCCATATTTATTTTTAAATTACTAGCTGGACAAGGCAATGCATTGCTATTGCTAGGTTTGTGTGATTATGAGAACAGTGTATTACCAGGTTGGCAATCTACTTGCGGTAGATTGTGGACTTCGTGTGTACACAGGGTCCCCACAAGGGGGTACTGATGGACCTTGAGTACAGGAGCCCGGCTATTTTAAGGGCCTGTGAGCCCGTTGAAATTTATTTGTTATTTTTTTGAAATTTTAGTAGGAAGACTTATTTTACATTAAATAATATTATAAAATAACATTATACATAGGTATATATATATATTTAGTTATTTTGATAGTTCATAATGCGGATTAACCAATGATTACTTATAAATGAATGGATTGACTTTGACAATCAATTTTGACGATATCATTACTGAGTTCACTGAGCTCAGAGCTCGCAAAATACAATTTTTACTTAAAAAAAATATAATAAATATAAATTAAAATATACTTGTTTTTTTCTTTTTTAATTTAAATAATATTGTAATAACAAAATATAATAGACATTATTAATGTTGAAATGCTTATGAATCTTGAATTTCAATTGGTATAATTAAAAAAACAAATTATTATTTCTTAAATTGTTATATATATACGAGTACCTATAAATAGTAAATTGTATTTTTGGAAGTTTTATAAAGGGCCCGGACAAACATTTCGTACAGAGGCTCGAAATTATATGTGGGGGCCCTGCGTGTACATTTTTTCCGTGGTTTTTTTCGTTTATAATTTACTATAGTAACCGTTTATTAACATATTTTATTTTTTATTACCTGTAAGTAAAAAAAAAAACATTATTATTAAAACATTTAAAACCAATAGCAACCATTTATAAACAAAAATAATAATAATTTCAATATCCCTGTTTGAGAACATCGCCGCGTTGAATCTTTTATTTACCTTTTTTCGCGTCAAAATGTAGCTTAAACCTTCCCCTAGGTCTAATCTGCTACTGTAACGAATTTTATCGCAATCGGATAAACGGTTTAGGAATGCATAATGGACATACAAACTTCTTTTGTCTTTTATATATAATATAGATAACGTTTAACAAAAAAAGAAAAATTAAAATAACGTTTAAAAATGTAATAACGTTAAACAGAAAAAATCAAATAATGTTTCAACGTAATACATATAACGTTAAACATTAAAACTGTATAACGTTTCAAAGTGCAATAACGTTAAACGTTAAAATTGTATAATGTTTAAATACCAAAAAACGGAAAAACGATATTTTTTTTTAGAATTTAAGCTCTGGTAACTTATTTTATAAAATTATTGCTAATAATTTTGATACATTTTTATAAACATTACTGACTATTAATGTTCCTGTAAAAATACTTTATTTTAGTACACGATAAATTGTTATTATATAAGCCATTGGTAAAGTTTATTTGAGTAAATAGTAAATAGTAAATAGTGCGATATTTATTAATATTTTTTTGAAATATTCTGAGGATGGAGAATTCATTAAAAATCATAACATTGGAACGTGGAAAATAATTAGCAGTAGTTTATTTACATAAATATAGTTTCATAAAAAAAATGCAAGGACAAGTTGTTAAAATGGTTATGTTCTAATAAAAATTGTTATACTAGCATTTTAACTGATACCGAAAAATCCCGAGTAGCACAGCTCTTTAGTGAGCACATTAGTATTGTTAGTATCGTTCGCAAAATTGAGCATCAAGTATTCATAGAAAATTGTAAATGAGAGCCAGAAATTTAATTCCTATTCGACTAAATAAAATTATTCGGAAAGAAATACTTACAAATTTAAATACAGATATTGTTCGTATATCCTTATAGTGATATTTTTTTCCGTCTGAAAAGCCATGTGACATAGTGAAAAAACTTTCTTACATATCCAAAATCATTTGATGTAGTGTTACCTTGCACTCATTTTTGTACGTAATCGTAATATTCTTAAAAGCCAGGTAAAAAAATTGTACGCAATCGTACAAGTGTAAAGAATCGTAATACTAAAATGGACAAACGTCCTATATCACCATTTGAAGGGAAGGAAAACAATATTGTGGTATTACGTATTTACGCATTGAATACTTCACTAGAAGTACCGATAGGTTGTGTACACGGGGATAAAAAAAAATAAGTTCAACTACAATTCTACCTAATTAAAATTTAGTTGAATGTGGCATAGCTATACTTATAACTGAAAATACTATTGGCTTATGGTTAATATTTAACTATAATTTATAGTTCATTACTTAATTTATTACTTATTACATACACTTTTATTAAACCTATACTATATTTAACTAAAAAAAAATAATCGTTTTTACTAAACATTTCAGTTAAATAAATATTTTACACAAATAACAAAATCTGTATAGTAGTATTATTTTAGATGTATCAAATAATATGTACATGTCATAGTACACTTAAATTATAAAGCATACATTTATGGTACATTCAGTGTCATGCATTCCCATGATTTTACTATTGTATTTTTATGGGTCCGAGGCTCAATTATGATCGGGCGAACATTGAGAGGCAGGCAACGTAGCACAGCATAGTTTTCAATATTCTATTATTTTAACCTAGAGCAAGGACTTTTATGCATTTCGTGTATCAAAAAATTAAAATTACGTGGTTAAATATGCCTTTAAAAAATTAAAACACTACAACTTATAGCTCTAAAAATTATATTTTTTCTTTAAAAATTAAATTTAAATAATTTTATTACCAACCCACACTGTTCACTAGCTTAGTTGTTGACTTTGCCGATGACAAAACTTTACTAGCTAACAATCACGACTCAGTTGTTACTTCCTCAACATCCAAGATCACCTTCTCATCCTTGAAAAATGGTACAAGGAATGGGGCGTCAAAATAAACGAGATCTAGTCTATATATTGCACGTTCATTCTTAGGAAGGGAAAATTTCCATCAATTATTTTCAACGAACAAACAATATCAACTGCGCAACACATTCGTTAATTAGGCATCATTATCGACTAACGCCTTACATGGACACCAAACCTACGCAACAAACTCCTAACCCTAAATTATCATTTTCGCCTTCTTCGCCCTCTTTTAACTTTTAATCATATCAAATTGTTAACCAAAATATTAATATACAAACTATTTCATAGTTTGTAACTATGAACCAACCATACTAACTAATAACTAACTAATATGGACGTACGGCGTACAACTATGGGTTTCTGCAAAGATCTTGAGCACAAACCGTATACAGCGATTTCAATCTAAAACCCTCTGTGATATAACCAAAGCACCCTATTTTGTCTCAAACCAGTCCTTACACAACGATCTTGTCATTTCCTATATTCAAGATGTAGCAAAGTAGCAAAACCTGTTATAAACGATTTAACTAAAACCTCCAAGACCACTCGAGACCTTTAATAAAGACTCTTGCATCAGCAAACATTCCTGGTAATCCCGAAAAAAAATTAAAAATTTGGTGGAGTAGGGACCTACTCACCTAAAATGAAATATCTAAATATCGTAAAAATATTTTAATAATTATGTTGTAATGATAACAAACATACTGTCAAAGTGCCTTCAATGGAAGGTTTCTTTATTTTGGAGTTTTCGTCTGTGAACATATTTTAACACTTATGATTATTGTTCTAAAATGTAACAGATTGTTTAAATATTTAAAAAAAATAAAAATAAAAAAAATCATTTTATTATTATTCTCTATAAGTTATAACTAGATTTATTTTATTATATCAAATTGATTTGAGTCTTTTTTTAATGTTGGATCCCATTAACAACTAGATCGCGATATAAGGCAGAGTGTATTTAATAAAAAAACTCTGCTGTCGGAAAATTTTAGCTCGATGTATAACCATGCAATGTATAACCGGGGTTCGGGATCATGCCGGAATATCTGGCAATGGAGAAGTGGTCGCAGGGACGGCGCGAGTGGGTGAGCAATAGGGGCAGTTGCCCAGGGCCCCGTGCCTTAAATTATAATTAAGGCCTCGCGGTTATGATTTAACTGAACTTAAAATATTTTATTAATATAAATTATAAGACCCAACATTAATTTTGCCCAGGGCCTTGCAAACTCTAGCACCGTCACTGAGTGATCGGATGTTCGAAAATTATGTGTTCGAATACCGTATGTTGAAACACTAAATGTATGAAAATCATTTGTACAAAAATATAGGTGAATCATTTTAAAGCATATTTATACATTTTTAAGCATAAAATGCATGCAATTCTATGCATGTTAAGAAAATTAAGTTCCGTGTCTTAGTTATAGCTAACCTACGATTTATATTTCTAATAATAACTTTCTTCTAAATAATTTTAATGTGGCACCCTTTTATGAATAAATTTACCCCCTCCCCCCTACCACCATATCTATACCAGAAGAAATTAAGAAAATAAATAGGTATATGTTTCCAATTTTCAAATATACTATAAACAATAAACATAAAAGAAATACAATTTTAGTACTTATTTTTTTATATTAATTTATTTAAAACCAAAAAATGTTAGAAGTATAACTTTTCTAAAAATTAAAATATTTGAAAACGTAAATATATATATATAATATTATTTAATAAGAAAATATATCTGCCTGGTCAACTCGTTAACTAGTCGTTGTAAACTACGATTGGCTTAAAACACAACCAAAGACCATTTTTCGGAGAAAAAAGACCTGCCATTGCTTTTACTTGTAGAGGAATTTCGGTTTTTTCGCAAGGCATTACTTCGAACTTTTGTAGGATTATTGATAAGACCAGTTTCATTTCCAACTCGGCTAATCGTTTTCCTAAAACACATAAACAAGTCACATACAAATAATCGATTAGACAATTGTGTGTGAAGTTAGCCTTTTGATTTTATTAATTTAACGTGTTAAACGTGTACACATTATAGTGTCGGAAGTCCATTCGCATTTCTTACAGTCAATACATTTGAATACCAGTGAAAATCGCTAGCTAGTTTTGTGGCAAAACTTAAACGTGTTATATAGAGTCGTTGCAAAATGTATACTATAATAAGGGTAAAAAATTGTAATGTTCAATCGAATGTTTTGGATTGCTGCAAAGAATCAATGGAACTTTTCCTGATGAAGGGAATAAACACAAATCAAAAAAGTATATACAATTAGGGCGAAAAACATATATCTGAGTAAAAAAAAGAAAATTAAATTTATGAATCAAAGACTGCAGGCAGTGGTGGATCTACGAGAGGGGGGGAAAACTTCCACCCAAAATCAGGAAAAATATATATTAAAAATCAATAATTTTATGAATTAAGAAAAAGATTTTTTTTTTTTAAAAAGTATGAGGGAAAGTATATAATTTTAATTTTATACAAGAAATTAGTAGTCTTAGATTTAAATTAATGTATTAGATAATTTACTATTATCTTAATTAATTATCAATCACTGACTGCAATTTTAAAAAAAATATCTCAAGGGAAAACATTTTTCAAAACCTGTTGAGGAGTATCAAAATTGTTTAAATTTTAAAAACGTATACCTAAACACAACCGAGGCCCATCGCCAAACGGCAGATAAGTGCCGTTGGGTCGTTTAGATTTTTCTTCCTCGGAGAATCTCTCTGGATCGAACTTGAAGGGATCGGGATAATATTTCGGATCGTGGTGAATGCTGTATGTTGGTATAATAATCTTTTGTCCTTTTCTGATGACCAATGATGAACCGGGTACTTTATAATCTTCCGTCACTTCTCTGAACAACGATAATGTGATCGAGTACAAACGGGAAACCTCTGAAACGCAATTATTGTTGCAATAATTTGTTATTTTAATCAAAACGAGTGTTACAGTCCAACGTATATGAATACCACAGATAATTATATTATAAATTATTCATAGATTAATTATATTATAATTATATGACGTGTTAAATATAATTTATCTATACCTTAAAATATATATTAAATCTGAGACGCAGAATCAAGGCGGAGGACGATAAAGGAGTATGGATCACATTAACGGTCATGAATACATTATATTTGTATATTTTTTATTACGTAATACAAATCAGTTATATATACATAGATATCGTTTAAAAAAAAAAACAAGAAAACACCAACGTCCTAACCAATACTATCTATCTATCTATTATATATATATACATATAAAAGACAATATCGACGACATTGAATTCTGCAAGAAAATCAAACCTCTAAATGACTTCGAAGAATGTAACTCTAAAAGCTCTTAATCTGGTTTAAAATTGATGACATATTCAATATATGCGTAGAGATATAAATCGTGGATAAATTTTTCCGAGTAGTGATTCGCCACCTCTATCATATCAGACCAATCGCATACATTAAAGAAGAGCTTCATATTCTTGGTTTTACCACTAGTTAAAATATAAATTGACTCCAAAACAAAATTAAAATTTCGTTTTACCTATTTTTTGTGTACTTGAAACCTTCATCATCAAATCAACACATTTACAAAGTTGATTCAATATGCTATACCAAAATTAAAATCAAAACGCCACATCCAAAAATAAACCCAGTTTAATGTTAAATGTTTAAGATGTCAAAATTACGGCCATATCAAAAGTTATCATCATACGGCCAGATGTGTAAAATGTGATAGTACCCACCTCTCAAACGGATGCCAAAAGATGTAAATTTCTCAGCAATATGCGCTCTTTGCAATGGAGCTCACCCAGCATTTTAAAAAAAAACCCCAAATTTAAAAGTATCCAAAAAGGATGAATACTAACCAAACCTGAAAATTTAACTGTAACTTAAGACACCATAAAAGTGTGGTTGGGTTAATCTTATAAAAAAAAAAAAAAAAACATAAATTTGATTAGAGTAATGTTAAAGGTCGAAGAGTCCAGTGGCATATCCATTGGGGAGTTGGGGGGTTGGGAATCAGAACCCTCCCCATGAAATTAAGATGGTAAATTAACTTTTACATGAAACACGGTTTTTTCTTTAATATTTTTTTATTTTAGAATTTTGACTTGGAAATCATATTAAAGTTTGTATAAACACTATAAACGTATTATACTCACGCTACACACGCACACACACACACAACTCATAATAATATGATCATATTTAGATACTTTAATACTATTTTGATAATTTTTTTTTACCTGAATCAAAAAAACTAATGTCAACCAGACTTAAAAATACCGAAATCAATACGAATAGTAGTCAAAATGATAGTGATAAGATTAAATGGGCGAGTCTGTTTCCGACCAAAACCGTACCCTTCCCTTTTTGGCCAATTCACTTTTCGACCAAACGTACCCTTCCCTTTTCGGACGATTCACTTTTCGAGCAAATTTAAAATAGGCCGATTCCCTTTTCGACCAAAATAAAAATTATACAATAAATTTAAAATAATAAAATAATGATGTACAATGTTTGATTATGATGAAAACTACTATAATATATTTATGACGATTCAGGGTTTCACTCGCGTAGCGAGGTTTTAGGTTCATATACAGAGTATAATCCTATTTGCAACAGTATCAAGGTTTGTACAAAAACTAGGTTAGACTTAGATTATTAATCCCTTTGGGGCTAAACTCCATCCCCCCAAAAAGTGCCATCCAGTGACACAAGATTTTGTGAGTGGAGCCGGCAGTCGTAACGAGCGAGGTCCTAACATTTTTAAAATTAAAGTTCCGATTTTTCAAAAAAAAAAAAATGCAAACAATTTTCATTACGATAAGAGATCAAAACTGGATATAAAATACCATTATTTTAAATTTATTATACAAATTTTTGTTGTGGTCGAAAAGGGTACGTTTTTGGTCGAAAACGGCCATGCCCGATTACATATATATTAATTAGCTGAACCCCTGAATTTAACAATTTTTGCGATAGTTTAGGGGAGCATAATATTGTAAAATTGAAAATATACTAATGAAATGCTTTAGTATTATCAATTATCTTCCCTATTTTACGTATATTACGTTTTTACTTCTGTTATTGTAATATACTATATTGTTTATTTTGATTCTATTTACTTTTATGGAAAATAAATATTATCGATATTTGATTATTTTCTGATAACTGAGAGGAGGATAAAAATTAAGACATTAATTTTTCCAAAAAACTTTAGTGAGTATAATATAGAAAAAAAACACTGAGATATAATAACTATTAATAAATGGTATGTCACCCACATACATATACGAGTATGCATACTCGTTATGCTGTGTATTATATATTATTGCAGTATTAATTACCATCCAAAACCATATTCTTGTAATGAAGATCGGTAATACAGTTAACGTAATACGATAACGTAATCGAATGCAAACGGGAAACCTCTGAAACGCAATTATAGTTGCAATAACTTGTTATTTTAATAATCAAAACGAAATCTTATAAATGGTTTTTCATTAAATGTGTATATATTAGAGTTAATATATATAATACGTCATTTTATTAAATAACTAGTTATTCTATAAAAACCCACATTGGCATGTACATACACGTAACGCTATAATTGTAGACTTTTGTAGAATTAATTACCTTCCAAAACCATATTCAGGTAATGAAGATCAGTAAAACAGTTGTAGCTTAACTGTCCACCATTTTTCTTAATAACCTTGATAATCTCTTCGCGTACTTTATCCTGAACGTCCTTATTCAGTGCTAATTCATACAGCAAAAAGCATATTGTGACGGACACTGTTTCGGATCCGGCCACAAACAGTAGGATTGCGTTCGAGATAATATCCATTTCGGTGAACTTAGCTGCAAAACGTGTAATCAAAATGGTTTAAAATATTTCAATTATTGAAAAATCGATTATTTTTTATATTTTTGTAAATCGAATCTTTAAAGTTTCATGGTAGTATAAAATTAAAATATGGAGGGAAAAATTACTACAGACGAATCAAAATCGTAAAGGCTTTTATATCAAAACAACCACATGTATTATATTTGTATGAATTGCATGTGATTTGTTTCCCGATTTTAAAGTATATACATTGAATTATAAAGGAGCGGTATTTTATGTTCATAGTTTTTGTAAAAACTTCTGAGAACCAACAAAATGTCAAATGTTTAGTAATCGTCCTTTATTATATGCTCGAAATTGCACTGCGTAACCATTTGCATCATGCATAATGCTAACAATAACATTTATCCCTGTGAAAATTGACCCTTTAACCACGAAATAATTTTGGAAAGAACATAGTGCTTAGAAGGTACCATATTATACGTTCGTTTGTCCGTCTATACCTTTTTCGGTCGAATCACTGACGTCAAGCACCAACTCTTTCCTGGCTTGCATCAGGGTCTGCGCCACGTCGTTTCCGACCACGTTGTTCTCGTGCCTGTACCTGATAAGGTCGGTGAACACCGCACGGTAGAATTGCGTCGTGTCCTCCGGAAACTGTTTCAGCTTAAAGAACTTCACCAGCTTTGGGCACAGCATGATCAGCATCTGGCTGAGCTGTTGCTGGAGGCTTAACTCGGACAGCTTGTCGCTGTACTTGCGGAACTCCGAGGTGTCGTCCAGCTGCAGGCCGAACGCGCACGTGGCTATGACGTTGGTAGAGAACTCGGCAGATAGCTTCTTCAACTCGATCCCTTCGCCACCGGACGCGGACATCTGCTGGTCGATGGTCACGGTCAACCGGTTCACGCACTCGACGATCCGGTCATGCGCGTCCTTCAGCCGGCCCGTCGTGAACCCCGGGCTGAGCTTCTGGCGCATGTTCTTCCACCGGTGGCCGTTCAGGAAGAACAGGCTGCTGGCTAGCACGTTGATCTCCGGGTCGGTGTCCAACCCGTGGTCGGTGAAGTGCCCGAAGTCGCGGACGGTGATTCTGCTGATCAGTTCAGGGTCGCGGACCATTAGAAATGGCGTGGTCATCTGGTACAGGCCGCACACCTTCTCGCCGGCGAACCGCTTGTACACACGGTCGAAGAAGTCCACCGGGTATTCGAGCCCCGTAAACATGCGGAACGTATTACCGAACAGCGGCATCGGCCGATCGTGCGGCACGTTCGCTGTCCGCCACCGGTCGTGGCCAGACGTTGAGAAGCGGTACAAGAGCACGAAGACGGTTAGCGCGGCCACCACTGTCCAACCGAGCACCGGGTCCAACGACCAGCTGGACGCGACAATGGCCGACCTATCACTCGCGACGTCCATCGTTGAAATACGTGCAGCGGTAACGCAAGCGCGGCACTGATAGAAATGTGCAAGTACTGTTGAGCGACAGGACGAGAACAATAATATATGGGAAAAAGCTTATTCGATGGGTGATCGCGGTGGTGCTGAACGGTACATCTGAAGAGTGGTCGGTTCGTTTTATAGACGATCAACGTGTGCGGCGAGTTTAAAACGATTTTTACTTATCCGAAACTATGTTTGCGCTACGAGTCGGAGTAACGCGTGGATGGATCGTATTAGCGATACCTGTGACATGCCGCGAATGACGCGCGAACACACATTACTCCTTAGATAAATATTGTCTTAATTTGTTACGATAATAATCATATTACTTACATTGCGAAAGATTGCTTTGCTGACCTTGTGATCGGTTTGAAGTGATGGAAAATAATATTGTACTGTAATATTGTTTACGCGACAACGGATCGACCACTTAACGAAAAGTTCCGTGCGTGTATACGGGGATAAGAAAAAAAAAATTAGTTCAGCTACATTTGTACGTACTTCGGCTGTAAATTATAATTGCGAGTGGCATACGATTACACATACTTTTAATTGATAGTACTTTTGGCCTATGAGTAACGTTAACTATATTTTATAATTGAACCAACCATACGCTTTTATACATTCGCCTATATAAACCTATAGTATATTTAACTAAAAAAAAAATATTCGCTTTAACTAAATATGTCGGTTGAATTATTTTACACAAATAGCAAAATGTATATACAGTAAATTCTCGATCAACCGTCACTGTCAGGATCGGAACTACGACGGTTAACATAAATGTTGGTATAAAAATGTGTATTTTAAGTGTGTATTTTCAGAAAAAAATAATACACATATATACCAAATATTATTACATACCACGCTAAATTAAAAAACTAACAATTTTAAACAAAATAATCAGTTTTTTCTTTAGCTTTTTTGAAGCTCGATCTTTTTTAGCTACAATTTTTCATATTTTATGTAACCGTAAGACCAAGTTACCCGTCAGTCACTGATTAACTTTAATTAAAAATAATTCAATTTGGTCGTTCATGCCGCGTTTTTCACATAAGATGTTGGATATTAGAAAAAAATTATATACGTTTGATAGTTACCGCAACGAGTGTATACAGCTGACGGTTTATCGAATTTCTACTATAAAAGTATTATTTTAGATGTATTTAATATTATGTTCATGCCATTATGTAAAACGATTGTAAGTAAACTTAATTTATAAACCATGTATATTCTGTTTCCCCATGATTTTACTAATACATTTTTATGGGTCCGAGGTCATGCCGGAATAACAGTTAATGAAGTAGGTAGCTGACCTTCTGGCCACCTCCATCTTATAGAGTAAAAAACCCTTCACTCGATAAATTCTGCTTTCTGCCATTTTAAATTTACTCAAAATCAATTACAAATGAGCTTGGCAAAACTGAATTTTGTGGTGAATAGATCGAAAGTAGAGTTAACACTATATATTGCATCAGTGGTTCTCATATTTTTTTTTTTATTCATGAAGCCCTTATGTTCTAAAAAAAATTTGCTAAGGATCGAAAATCAAGAATTTGTATTCGAGACAACATTAATTATCAATATTTCATATATATAAAAAAAAAATACACAGTTCAAAATTAAATTTTTTTTTTAGAAGCTCGGATTCGGTCATTTGCTATGGAAACTGAGGTCATTTTACGTTGTTTTGATGAATTTACTTTATTGAATTTTGTAAAAATATCAGCTAAGTAATAAAATCGAAATAATCAAATTTTATCAGATGTCTGAGTTGTAAATTAGATGGGTGTTACTAAAACGTACCATTCATTTTGCAATTCAAGTAATCATATCAGTGAATTTCCTTGATAACTAAGAAATGTATTATATTAATATTTAAATTTGATTAGTTCAGATTTGTCCACGGAGCCACGGAGTAAAGTTTGAGAACCGCTATGTTAGAAGGTCAGTAATCTAGATAATAAGGACGCATGTTAGCTCTAGTAGATTTTACCATTACAAGTCTGGATAACTAAGTGATATTTTGAAACTTAGTTAAGTATTTTTTTTTTTTTGGAGGGTATCATCGCTGGATGACTTTCCTCATCTTGTGCTTCATGTGTTGTTTTTATTATGTATATAGTGTTATGTCAGTCATCTATTTTAATTATTGTGTCTTGTAATACAGATTGTAAATTTTCTATAATAAAAATAAAAAGTATTTTTTTTTTTTTTAAATAGACTAACGATTACATCTACATGTTAATTATATCAATTAAGTTTAAAATTAAGTAAATAAATATCTTTGGTTTATCTTCTCTTAAATTGTTAAGTTACATTATTATAATTTAATCATTTTTCTATTAAAGTTTTATTTAAATTTGCAATTATGCACTCCAATAAAAAAAAAATAGTGGAAGGGATCTTTATATACCTTCGAAAATTTTCCCTTGTGTGACAACATATTAATATAAAAGTTAATAAATTTAGAGCAACTGATCATTGTGGTTAATATTGAAAAACTTAGAAGGTAAACTGTAAAATGATAATATAGTAGTGAAATATGTGGATGTAGGCATTATATTGTAAGGATAAAAGATATATTAGTAGTACATATATATAAGTAATAATAAAGATAAAGTCAAAGATTAAATATACTTATATTATACTCATGGCTGATGAGAGGGGGTGATGGAGGGGGTGTAATACCCTTCTAACCACGAATAATTTATTTATACAGTCGGCAATCATTAATAAATTAAGTAATATTTGTATTGTAGAATTTTGTTTTAAAAAGTAATTGACAAATTTGTATGTTTATAACCCTCTCCCCCATCAATATTTGTTTGCGCTGGCCCTGATTATTATACTATGCTAATAATATTTACTCTGAAAAATAATTGAACAGTTTCTCAAAATTGAAAAACTTTTAAAGTAGTTGGTCTATTTGTTAATTATTTATACTTACTTAATACATTTTTTTTACTTTACATAGTTTATAGGTAGGTAATTTATTATTATTTGTAATTAGTATTGAGTGAAAAATCATTTAACTTGCATTAATAAAAATATAAGTGTGGTTTTAAAACTTTTCTACTTTTTTTTATTTTTTTTTATTTAAATAAGGCTTCAACTCCTGAGGTTATTAGCCTGTAAGTCTACTTTTATAAGTACTTATTAAGCACTTGTTAAATAATCAAACATTGATAATAAATCAATGATATTATTGTTTAAAATAATGAACAATATTATCTATTTTCTACTTACAGTGTTATCAGCTATTTGGGTCATGTGATAATTTTACATTTATACTCATTATTGATAATTTTTATATCGATTTTAATTATCTTAAAAAATATTTTAATTTGTATTTTATGATAACTTGAATATTTCTTTTTTGAACAAACAAAATACAAGTTGGACAGCGCTTTTATAGGCATTTAATCGACATATAACTTGAAACATATTTAATATGTTTAAACATTTCTTGAAACATGTTATGAAATATTTGAAATTCATCAAATATTTTTGTATAATAATGGAATTTCTTTTTCTTTTTTTCAATAAGTTTATTTTTATGTATATTTGTCATATTAAGGTTAAATAAATTTCGTAAATATAAAAAATAATACCAATAAAAGAAAAAAATTCAGAGTTTCACGTTTTTGAGAAATATTTTATTATATACTGAAATATATAAGACTTTCAATACTAAATATATTGTTAATGGAGTTATAGTTATTTTATTAAATATTTTGAGCGATGCCTTTATTTATCTATTAATACACATAACAGCAGCCGTTACTTCGACAACAGTATATTTATTTATTTATATATCATACAGGCTTTGAAGGTTTAAGTATAGTATAGATAAATGACAGTAAAAAATTTAACTATAAAAAATGGTTGAATGGAAAAAAATATAAAGTATTATATAAATATTAAGTATATAATGACAACAAAAATAATAAAAAGACAACATTTGTGATGAAAACGCATTATTATTAAGTCTGTATTTTCAGCACTGTCTGATAGGTTTGCATGCAATTATTTCCAAGCTATACAAATAGTGGATAAAACGTAATACTATATTTCCAAGTTATTTTTGGTGTTTTTACGGTTAAAAAAAATATTGAAAAATCGTTTTCTACCACTCGTATATTAATACTGTATATTTCAACGTTCCTATGTAAAAATCGAATTATGATGCATTCGATAACAGAGATATACCGCGTAAAAATAATTTCCAGAAGCAAAAAAATGTTATTACGTAGGTAATATATTGTTGGATAAGAGCTAATAACGAATAGATAAAAATAACTACGCGAAAGTAGAACGGCTTGGATCGATTGAACGAGCTAAGCAGTCGGTGGTGCAAGATAAATAGTGTATAAAGTCTCGATTACATTGAGCGATTTTACTAGCGATTAAAGTCGCGCGCGTGTAGCGACTTGTCCGATTACATTGAGCGATTAAATTCGCTCGTTCGCTAGTCGCGTACACGCATTCATGTGATATACACGTAAAAAAAAGTTGTCATTGATATAGATAACTTATTCGTTTTCGTTTATATTTTAAATTGTATTATTTATTAATTATTTATTATTATTTATTTAACTGGGCCCCGTTCATCCTTAGAATATTTTGATAGGATGTAAAGTCTTCGTGTTTTAGTTCTTTTAATGATGTATTGGATGCACCATATTTCTCTCGCCTTGAAATCTAACTTCTGATCCATAACCTTTTCTTTTTATACTTTTTCTTTTCCAACTCCTGTCGCAATAAATGAGAAATCGCAATAACTCCCGCGCGAACTACAGCTTCCGACATTTTGACCAGTCACTAATCGCTGGCACACTAGCGATTTCACCAGCTATGGCGATTACATTGAGCGATTTCACTCGTTGGAGTGTAAAAACGTCAGTGACTAGCGACTAAAGTAACCCGGGCGTTAACATTAATCGCGTGCGAGTAGCGAGTATTCAACACGCGGCGAGTAAGCGACTAAGCTGATTATATTTAGCGACTTTAGTCGCAGCGAGTTAATTCGCCGGTGCCTAGTGTGTAAACTCGCTCAGTGTAATCGAGGCTTAACGCGGGGTGGTGATCACCTAAGAATAGTATAAACGTGAATAATACATGTGCGCGCGTATCAGCACAGCTGGCCGACGGCAGTGGAAAAGTTTAAGGGAAAGGGCGTGCTGCGGAATGCGCGACGCGAAATAATAATAATATTTGCTCTTGCGATATTCGTCCACCCCTGGAACAACAACGGTTTTTGTTATCTCATCGGCAGAATTTCACCCGAACGCGATTATGATAATTTCGTTACGTACACGAAACAGAGGGAATGTGCATACGAGTATATGAACGAGGAATGTTGAGGGAGAGAGGGAGAGAGAGAGAGAGAGAAGCGAATTTCGTCGATTTCCCTCCGCCAACTAATGTCGTTGGTCCGCACGTACGTTAAACCGGGTATCGG